GATGTGGTGATGTAGGTGTGGTGATGTAGATAAGGTGATGTAGGTGTGATGTAGATGTGGTGATGTAGGTGTGGTGATGTAGATGTGGTGATGTAGATGTGGTGATGTAGATGTGGTGATGTAGATGTGGTGATGTAGGTGTGGTGATGTAGATGTGGTGATGTAGGTGTGGAGATGTAGGTGTGATGTAGATGTGGTGATGTAGATGTGGTGATGTAGATGTGATGTAGATGTGGTGATGTAGGTGTGGTGATGTAGATGTGATGTAGGTGTGGTGATGTAGATGTGGTGATGTAGGTGTGGTGATGTAGGTGTGGTGATGTAGGTGTGGTGATGTAGGTGTGGTGATGTAGATGTGGTGATGTAGGTGTGGTGATGTAGATGTGGTGATGTAGGTGTGATGTAGATGTGGTGATGTAGGTGTGGTGATGTAGATGTGGTGATGTAGATGTGGTGATGTAGATGTGGTGATGTAGATATGGTGATGTAGGTGTGGTGATGTAGATGTGGTGATGTAGATGTGGTGATGTAGATGTGGTGATGTAGGTGTGGTGATGTAGATGTGGTGATGTAGGTGTGGTGATGTAGATGTGGTGATGTAGGTGTGATGTAGATGTGGTGATGTAGGTGTGGTGATGTAGATGTGGTGATGTAGATGTGGTGATGTAGATGTGGTGATGTAGATGTGATGTAAGTGTGGTGATGTAGATGTGGTGATGTAGGTGTGGTGATGTAGATGTGGTGATGTAGGTGTGGTTATGTAGATGTGGTGATGTAGATGTGGTGATGTAGATGTGGTGATGTAGGTGTGGTGATGTAGATGTGGTGATGTAGATGTGGTGATGTAGATGTGGTGATGTAGGTGTGGTGATGTAGATGTGGTGATGTAGGTGTGATATAGATGTGGTGATGTAGGTGTGATATAGATGTGGTGATGTAGATGTGATGATGTAGATGTGGTGATGTAGGTGTGGTGATGTAGATGTGATGATGTAGATGTGGTGATGTAGATGTGGTGATGTAGATGTGATGTAGGTGTGGTGATGTAGGTGTGGTGATGTAGATGTGGTGATGTAGATGTGGTGATGTAGATGTGGTGATGTAGGTGTGGTGATGTAGGTGTGGTGATGTAGATGTGATGTAGATGTGGTGATGTAGGTGTGGTGATGTAGGTGTGGTGATGTAGGTGTGGTGATGTAGGTGTGGTGATGTAGATGTGGTGATGTAGGTGTGATGTAGATGTGGTGATGTAGATGTGGTGATGTAGATGTGGTGATGTAGATATGGTGATGTAGGTGTGGTGATGTAGGTGTGGTGATGTAGATGTGATGTAGATGTGGTGATGTAGATGTGGTGATGTAGATATGGTGATGTAGGTGTCGTGATGTAGGTGTGGTGATGTAGGTGTGGTGATGTAGATGTGGTGATGTAGATGTGGTGATGTAGATGTGGTGATGTAGATATGGTGATGTAGATGTGGTGATGTAGATGTGGTGATGTAGGTGTGGTGATGTAGATGTGGTGATGTAGGTGTCGTGATGTAGGTGTGGTGATGTAGATGTGGTGATGTAGATGTGGTGATGTAGGTGTGGTGATGTAGGTGTGGTGATGTAGATGTGGTGATGTAGGTGTCGTGATGTAGGTGTGGTGATGTAGATGTGGTGATAAAGATGTGGTGATGTAGGTGTGGTGATGTAGATGTGGTGATGTAGGTGTGGTGATGTAGATGTGGTGATGTAGATGTGGTGATGTAGGTGTGGTGATGTAGATAAGGTGATGTAGATGTGGTGATGTAGATGTGGTGATGTAGATGTGGTGATGTAGATGTGGTGATGTAGATGTGGTGATGTAGGTGTGGTGATGTAGATAAGGTGATGTAGATGTGGTGATGTAGGTGTGGTGATGTAGGTGTGGTGATGTAGATGTGGTGATGTAGATATGGTGATGTAGATGTGGTGATGTAGATGTGGTGATGTAGGTGTGGTGATGTAGATGTGGTGATGTAGGTGTCGTGATGTAGGTGTGGTGATGTAGATGTGGTGATGTAGATGTGGTGATGTAGGTGTGGTGATGTAGGTGTGGTGATGTAGATGTGTGATGTAGGTGTCGTGATGTAGGTGTGGTGATGTAGATGTGGTGATAAAGATGTGGTGATGTAGGTGTGGTGATGTAGATGTGGTGATGTAGGTGTGGTGATGTAGATGTGGTGATGTAGATGTGGTGATGTAGGTGTGGTGATGTAGATAAGGTGATGTAGATGTGGTGATGTAGATGTGGTGATGTAGATGTGGTGATGTAGATGTGGTGATGTAGATGTGGTGATGTAGGTGTGGTGATGTAGATAAGGTGATGTAGATGTGGTGATGTAGATAAGGTGATGTAGATGTGGTGATGTAGGTGTGGTGATGTAGGTGTGGTGATGTAGATGTGGTGATGTAGGTGTGGTGATGTAGATAAGGTGATGTAGATGTGGTGATGTAGATAAGGTGATGTAGATGTGGTGATGTAGGTGTGGTGATGTAGATGTGGTGATGTAGGTGTGGTGATGTAGATGTGGTGATGTAGATGTGGTGATGTAGATGTGGTGATGTAGATGTGGTGATGTAGGTGTGGTGATGTAGATGTGGTGATGTAGGTGTGGTGATGTAGGTGTCGTGATGTAGGTGTGGTGATGTAGATGTGGTGATGTAGGTGTGGTGATATAGATGTGGTGATGTAGGTGTCGTGATGTAGGTGTGGTGATGTAGGTGTGGTGATGTAGATGTGGTGATGTAGGTGTGGTGATGTAGGTGTGGTGATGTAGATGTGGTGATGTAGGTGTCGTGATGTAGATGTGGTGATGTAGGTGTCGTGATGTAGGTGTGGTGATGTAGGTGTGGTGATGTAGATGTGGTGATGTAGGTGTGGTGATGTAGGTGTGGTGATGTAGATGTGGTGATGTAGATGTGGTGATGTAGATGTAGATGTGGTGATGTAGATGTGGTGATGTAGATGTAGATGTGGTGATGTAGATGTGGTGATGTAGGTGTGGTGATGTAGGTGTGGTGATGTAGGTGTGGTGATGTAGGTGTGGTGATGTAGATGTGGTGATGTAGATGTGGTGATGTAGATGTGGTGATGTAGATGTGGTGATGTAGGTGTCGTGATGTAGGTGTGGTGATGTAGGTGTGGTGATGTAGGTGTGGTGATGTAGATGTGGTGATGTAGATGTGGTGATGTAGATGTAGATGTGATGTAGATGTGGTGATGTAGATGTGGTGATGTAGGTGTGGTGGTGTAGGTGTGGTGATGTAGGTGTGGTGATGTAGGTGTGGTGATGTAGATGTGGTGATGTAGATGTGGTGATGTAGGTGTGGTGATGTAGATGTGGTGATGTAGATGTGGTGATGTAGATGTGGTGATGTAGATGTGGTGATGTAGGTGTGGTGATGTAGATGTGGTGATGTAGATGTAGATGTGGTGATGTAGATGTGGTGATGTAGATGTAGATGTGGTGATGTAGATGTGGTGATGTAGGTGTGGTGATGTAGGTGTGGTGATGTAGGTGTGGTGATGTAGGTGTGGTGATGTAGATGTGGTGATGTAGATGTGGTGATGTAGATGTGGTGATGTATGTGTCGTGATGTAGGTGTGGTGATGTAGGTGTGGTGATGTAGGTGTGGTGATGTAGATGTGGTGATGTAGATGTGGTGATGTAGATGTAGATGTGGTGATGTAGATGTGGTGATGTAGATGTAGATGTGGTGATGTAGATGTGGTGATGTAGGTGTGGTGATGTAGGTGTGATGTAGGTGTGGTGATGTAGGTGTGGTGATGTAGATGTGGTGATGTAGATGTGGTGATGTAGGTGTCGTGATGTAGATGTGGTGATGTAGATGTGGTGATGTAGATGTGGTGATGTAGGTGTGGTGATGTAGGTGTGGTGATGTAGATGTGGTGATGTAGATGTGGTGATGTAGATGTGATGATGTAGATGCAGATGTGGTGATGTAGGTGTGGTGATGTAGGTGTGGTGATGTAGGTGTGGTGATGTAGATGTGGTGATGTAGATGTGGTGATGTAGATGTAGATGTGGTGATGTAGATGTGGTGATGTAGATGTGATGATGTAGATGTAGATGTGGTGATGTAGGTGTAGATGTGATGATGTAGATGTAGATGTGGTGATGTAGATGTGGTGATGTAGATGTGATGATGTAGATGTAGATGTGATGATGTAGATGTAGATGTGGTGATGTAGGTGTGGTGATGTAGATGTAGATGTGGTGATGTAGATGTTATGTAGATGTGGTGATGTAGATGTGATGATGTAGATGTAGATGTGGTGATGTAGATGTGGTGATGTAGATGTAGATGTGGTGATGTAGATGTGGTGATGTAGGTGTGGTGATGTAGATGTGATGATGTAGATGTGGTGATGTAGATGTGGTGATGTAGATGTGATGATGTAGATGTAGATGTGGTGATGTAGGAGTGGTGATGTAGGTGTGGTGATGTAGATGTGGTGATGTAGATGTGGTGATGTAGATGTGGTGATGTAGAAGTGGTGATGTAGATGTGGTGATGTAGATGTAGATGTGGTGATGTAGATGTGGTGATGTAGATGTGATGATGTAGAATGTGGTGATGTAGATGTGGTGATGTAGAAGTGGTGATGTAGATGTGGTGATGTAGATGTAGATGTGGTGATGTAGATGTGGTGATGTAGATGTGGTGATGTAGATGTAGATGTGGTGATGTAGATGTGTTGATGTAGATGTGATGATGTAGATGTGGTGATGTAGATGTGGTGATGTAGGTGTGGTAATGTAGATGTAATGATGTAGATGTGGTGATGTAGATGTGGTGATGTAGATGTGGTGATGTAGATGTAGATGTGGTGATGTAGATGTGTTGATGTAGATGTGATGATGTAGATGTGGTGATGTAGATGTGGTGATGTAGGTGTGGTAATGTAGATGTAATGATGTAGATGTGGTGATGTAGATGTGGTGGACTCACAAAGATATTGGCTTGATTTTTGTATTTTCCATCTGAAGCAGAGACAGTGAAGTTGAATTGGCTGCGGCTGTCATCATTGAATGAGATGATGTTAGAGACAGCACCAAAGTCGTCAACCACAAACGCATCAGTTCCTGACAGTGAGTACTTGATCGTTGCACTGTCTCCCTTGTCTTGGTCCGTGGCTGACACAACTAGGATGTCTTGACGGAATGGGGTGTCCTTTGATACACCTACAATGTGACATATGACATTTCAATGACATGCACAAGGGGTCACTTACACTGATAGTACTGGGTCTGTGTGAAGACTGGGGGGGTCACTTACACTGATAGTACTGGGTCTGTGTGAAGACTGGGGGGGGGGGGGTCACTTACACTGATAGTACTGGGGTCTGTGTGAATACAGGGGGGGGGTCACTTACACTGATAGTACTGGGTCTGTGTGAAGACTGGGGGGGTCACTTACACTGATAGTACTGGGTCTGTGTGAAGACAGGGGGGTCACTTACACTGATAGTACTGGGTCTGTGTGAAGACAGGGGGGTCACTTACACTGATAGTACTGGGTCTGTGTGAAGACTGGGGGGGGGTCACTTACACTGATAGTACTGGGTCTGTGTGAAGACTGGGGGGGGGTCACTTACACTGATAGTACTGGGTCTGTGTGAAGACAGGGGGGTTGTCATTGACGTCAGTGACTTGAACAACCACTGGCAGAATGCTTGGGTTCACCTCACGTCTGTAGCGCTGGACCCTGTCGTCATTGTTTGCATTGTAAGCATAGATGTCAAAGTTGAGCTGGGGGTTACTCTCAAAGTCAAGTGACTTGACCAGGTAGATCTGACACGTCAGGTTGTCCACTCGGATGTAGTTGGCAGCGTCATTCAGGCTGGCTGCCAACAGGAACATATTGACATACAAACTACAGTTGCCAACAGGAACATATTGACATACAAACTACAACTGAGAACAGGAACATATTGACATACAAACTACAGCTGAGAACAGGAACATATTGACATACAAACTACAGCTGCGAGCAGGAACAAATTGACATACAAACTACAGCTGCGAGCAGGAACATATTGACATACAAACTACAGGTGAGAATAGGAACATATTGACATACAAACTACAGCTGAGAACAGGAACATATAGACATACAAACTACAGTTGAGAACAGGAACATATTGACATACAAACTACAGCTGCGAGCAGGAACATATTGACATACAAACTACAGTTGAGAACAGGAACATATTGACATACAAACTACAGGTGAGAATAGGAACATATTGACATACAAACTACAGCTGAGAACAGGAACATATAGACATACAAACTACAGGTGAGAACAGGAACATATTGACATACAAACTACATTGAAGAAGTTGAAGCATGACATTGAAGAAGTTAAAGCATGACATTGAAGAAGTTAAAGCATGACATTGAAGAAGTTGAAGCATGACATTGTTACCTAAAAGTCTGTAGTAGATTTTGTTGTTGGCTGTGTCTGAATCAGCATCAGTGGCGTTACATTGGCCGAGTAGAAGGCCTTGTCCGAGGACAGCGGAACCATCGCTGACACTTGTTCCTAGCACCAGAGGGGTCACCACACCATCCTGACAATATAGCAAGATATCACTACACCATCCTGACAATATAGCTAGATATCACTACACCATCCTGACAATATAGCTAGATATCACTACACCATCCTGACAATATAGCAAGACATCACTACACCATCCTGACAATATAGCAAGATATCACTACACCATCCTGACAATATAGCAAGACATCACTACACCATCCTGACAATATAGCAAGAATATAAATAGATTTGAAAATAAAATGTGAATTTCAATTATGGCTGGTTCACATGATGGGTGGCTACAACTGTAGCTGGTTCACATGAGTGGCTACAACTGTAGCCACCCATGATGAGAACCAATGCTAACAGACTGTACAAGGACCTTCATGGGAAAGGCTGGCTTGTTGTCGTTGACATCCAGGATGATGATGGTGATGGTGGTCTCTGATGATGCTGCTGGTACACCTTGGTCCACAGCTACCAGAGTCAGCTGAAATCAGAGAGTTCCAGAGTCAGACAGTTCTAGAGTCAGACAGTTCTAGAGTCAGGCAGTTCTAGAGTCAGTCAGTTCTAGAGTCAGGCAGTTCTAGAGTCAGGCAGTTCTAGAGTCAGTCAGTTCTAGAGTCAGACAGTTCTAGAGTCAGACAGTTCTTGAGTCAGGCAGTTCTAGAGTCAGACAGTTCTAGAGTCAGGCAGTTCTAGACATGAAGAAGTCACAAAGTAGGTGTCTCTCTGTTCTAGAGTCAGGCAGTTCTAGAGTCAGACAGTTCTAGAGTCAGACAGTTCCAGAGTCAGGCAGTTCTAGACATGAAGAACTCACAAAGTAGGTGTCTCTCTGTTCCCTGTCGTAGACAATCTCAGCACGGATGACCCCACTCACGCGGTTGATGCGGAACTCGGACGTGTTGGATACACGGTTGTTGCCATTGACAGAGAAGAAATAATCCACAATTCCATTGGGGCCTGTGTTGTTATCCACAGCCTTGGCTCCGTAAACCAGCATACCATCATACTGGCTCTAAACATAACAAATATACCATCAACCTAGACCAGCATACCATCATACTGGCTCTAAACATAACAAATATACCATCATACCTAGACCAGCATACCATCATACTGGCTCTAAACATAACAAATATACCATCATACCTAGACCAGCATACCATCATACTGGCTCTAAACATAACAAATATACCATCAACCTAGACCAGCATACCATCATACTGGCTCTAAACATAACAAATATACCATCATACCTAGACCAGCATACCATCATACTGGCTCTAAACATAACAAATATACCATCATACCTAGACCAGCATACCATCTTACTGGCTCTAAACATAACATACCATCATACCATCACACTTAGACCATCATACCAGCATACCATAACTTACTTCAAGAACATAAATGACAAAATTCCTCTGTGGGGGTCGGACCCACTGCGGCGCATCATTCTGTGATTCCTGCACCAGGACAGTCACTGGGACCTGCACAGTGCAAGGGTTCAAACCTCTGTCAGTGGCGGTTGCATTGAATTGGTAGATACCAGCTTTCTTCCTTAAAGGGTTGTTCACCATCAGACGGCCATTGGGACCAAATTGAAAGAGTGAAGTTGTTTCTAGAAATAAAACCAAAAGCTATTGAGACCAAATTGAAAGAGTGAAGTTGTTTCTAGAACTAAAACCAAAAGCTATTGGGACCAAATTGAAAGAGTGAAGTTGTTTCTAGAAATAAAACCAAAAGCTATTGGGACCAAATTGAAAGAGTGAAGTTGTTTCTAGAAATAAAACCAAAAGCTATTGAGACCAAATTGAAAGAGTGAAGTTGTTTCTAGAAATAAAACCAAAAGCTATTGGGACCAAATTGAAAGAGTGAAGTTGTTTCTAGAAATAAAACCAAAAGCTATTGAGACCAAATTGAAAGAGTGAAGTTGTGTCTAGAAATAAAACCAAAAGCTATTGGGACCAAATTGAAAGAGTGAAGTTGTTTCTAGAAATAAAACCAAAAGCTATTGAGACCAAATTGAAAGAGTGAAGTTGTTTCTAGAAATAAAACCAAAAGCTATTGAGACCAAATTGAAAGAGTGAAGTTGTTTCTAGAAATAAAACCAAAAGCTATTGAGACCAAATTGAAAGAGTGAAGTTGTTTCTAGAAATAAAACCAAAAGCTATTGGGACCAAATTGAAAGAGTGAAGTTGTTTCTAGAAATAAAACCAAAAGCTATTGAGTGCACACAAACAGAAATCTGGCCAGGACAAACAACTAGTTAATCAATAGCATTTCCATACAGATAACCTCAAATCTATCATATTGCCTCGGCCTACTAGCCACATCAAGCCTACACAACTCATCCCCACAACACTACACCAAACCCCCACAACACTACACCACACCCCCACAACACTACACCACACCCCCACAACACTACACCACACCCTCCACAAAATGATGACCCCTCCAACACATACCTACCTGCTACCCCTGCCCACCTATACCTGCTGGCTACCCCAGCCCACCTACCTGCTGGCTACCCCAGCCCACCTACCTGCTGGCTACCCCAGCCCACCTATATCTGCTGGCTACCCCAGCCCACCTACCTGCTACCCCAGCCCACCTATACCTGCTGGCTACCCCAGCCCACCTATATCTGCTGGCTACCCCAGCCCACCTACCTGCTACCCCAGCCCACCTACCTGCTACCCCAGCCCACCTACCTACTGGCTACCCCAGCCCACCTACCTACTGGCTACCCCAGCCCACCTATATCTGCTGGCTACCCCAGCCCACCTACCTGCTACCCCAGCCCACCAACCTGCTACCCCAGCCCACCTATATCTGCTGGCTACCCCAGCCCACCTACCTACTGGCTACCCCAGCCCACCTACCTGCTACCCCAGCCCACCTATATCTGCTGGCTACCCCAGCCCACCTACCTGCTGGCTACCCCAGCCCACCTACCTGCTGGCTACCCCAGCCCACCTACCTACTGGCTACCCCAGCCCACCTACCTGCTGGCTACCCCAGCCCACCTACCTGCTGACTACCCCAGCCCACCTACCTGCTGGCTACCCCAGCCCACCTACCTACTGGCTACCCCAGCCTACCTACCTGCTGGCTACCCCAGCCCACCTACCTGCTGACTACCCCAGCCCACCTACCTGCTGGCTACCCCAGCCCACCTACCTGCTGGCTACCCCAGCCCACCTACCTACTGGCTACCCCAGCCCACCTACCTGCTGGCTACCCCAGCCCACCTACCTGCTGACTACCCCAGCCCACCTACCTGCTGGCTACCCCAGCCCACCTACCTACTGGCTACCCCAGCCTACCTACCTGCTGGCTACCCCAGCCCACCTACCTGCTGACTACCCCAGCCCACCTACCTGCTGGCTACCCCAGCCCACCTACCTGCTGGCTACCCCAGCCCACCTACCTACTGGCTACCCCAGCCCACCTACCTGCTACCCCAGCCCACTTACCTGCTGGCTACCCCAGCCCATCTACCTGCTGGCTACCCCAGCCCACCTACCTGCTACCCCAGCCCACCTATATCTGCTGGCTACCCCAGCCCACCTATATCTGCTGGCTACCCCAGCCCACCTACCTGCTGGCTACCCCAGCCCACCTATATCTGCTGGCTACCCCAGCCCACCTACCTGCTACCCCCAGCCCACCTACCTGGTGGCTGACCCAGCCCACCTACCTGGTGGCTGACCCAGCCCACCTACCTGCTGGCTACCCCAGCCCACCTATATCTGCTGGCTACCTCAGCCCACCTACCTACTGGCTACCCCAGCCCACCTACCTGCTGGCTACCCCAGCCTACCTACCTGCTGGTACAGCACTGCCTGCCTGGATGCCAAAGACCACCTACCTGCTGGTACAGCACTGCCTGCCTGGATGCCAAAGACTACCTACCTGCTGGTACAGCACTGCCAGCCTGGATGCCAAAGACTACCTACCTGCTGGTACAGCACTGCCTGCCTGGATGCCAAAGACTACCTACCTGCTGGTACAGCACTGCCTGCCTGGATGCCAAAGACCACCTACCTGCTGGTACAGCACTGCCAGCCTGGATGCCAAAGACTACCTACCTGCTGGTACAGCACTGCCTGCCTGGATGCCAAAGACTACCTACCTGCTGGTACAGCACTGCCTGCCTGGATGCCAAAGACTACCTACCTGCTGGTACAGCACTGCCTGCCTGGATGCCAAAGACCACCTACCTGCTGGTACAGCACTGCCAGCCTGGATGCCAAAGACCACCTACCTGCTGGTACAGCACTGCCTGCCTGGATGCCAAAGACTACCTACCTGCTGGTACAGCACTGCCTGCCTGGATGCCAAAGACCACCTACCTGCTGGTACAGCACTGCCTGCCTGGATGCCAAAGACGACCTACCTGCTGGTACAGCACTGCCTGCCTGGATGCCAAAGACTACCTACCTGCTGGTACAGCACTGCCTGCCTGGATGCCAAAGACTACCTACCTGCTGGTACAGCACTGCCTGCCTGGATGCCAAAGACCACCTCAGCATTGATCCCTTCATCTCTGTCAGTCACAATGAGATCAAAGATGTTTGTCCCCACCCCTGCGCTTTCTGGCACCCTGCCCTGGTAGGCGGAGCTTGAGAATACTGGGCAGTTGTCATTGACATCTGTGATAGTCACATAGACCTGCAGAGTTGGACCAATCAGAACTCACTTCAATCAAATGGTGGACCAATCAGAACTCACTTCAATCAAATGGTGGACCAATCAGAACTCATTTCAATCAAATTGTGGACCAATCAGAACTCAAGTTACATTGCAAAAAAACACAGCAAAGTGAAAGAAAACCTACTATGCTAAAAAAATAGAAGATTCTATCTTAACTATCTACAAGAAACAGAGCCTACTGAAACACTGCTTTGCTTGCGCACGCTGGCGTTGAGAGGGCTGTCATATGCAAACACTTCAAAGCTGTAAAATGGGGTGGTCTCACGGTCAAACGTTGCTCCTGGGCTGATGAACAACTCACCCTGTGGACATGTTTAAAGCAGTTCATTACATTCATGCTCAACTCTACTACATCTATGGTCAACTCTATGACATTGAGGTCAGCTACTACATTCAACTCTAGAAAATAGTGAACAAGAAAGTAAATGTAAAAAAAAAAAACAGGGTAGGTACACTATTATGAAAATGAAATTCCAGACCTTTTCCAGACTTTATAAAAGAAATTCCAGACTTTATACAAATAATGTGTTAGCGACTAACTTATAAAATGATGCAATATGTGTACCCTCATTATAAGTACAGTATAATGACAATTATTTTAGGCAATTGAGCTAATGTTTATATTGAACTTTCTCTAGCCAAATTGACAGAAAATAACTTTTCTAAGATTGCCTTCCCCTATCCCCACCCCCAAATTTTAAATTATTGAAATAATCGATTAATATGATGAAATTCCAACATTAAACTTATGTTATTTGTTCATGATCTAAGTGTAGTGTTTTCAATTAAATTATTACTAAAATAGCAGTCTTATCAATTTGGCATAATAGTGATAGTTAATTACTTTAAAGAATAATAAAAAAGTAATTTACTAAGGTCTACTGTTGTTGAGAAGCCTAGACGTTTTTACCCTAGGGCCTAGGTCTTAGATCTAGTAAATAGTGTTTGTGAAATAATAGGCTACTTGTAAAGAAATTTGGAGCAAAGAAACACTTTGCATATTGTAAACACACCATTATTTGTGCTCATAGCAGAGAACATTTTGTCTGCTATTAAACTTTACGGTTTCCCCCCCTCCACAAGACATGGTGGGGGGGGGGGGGGGGGTCACAGAAGTCCAGACACGGTGGGGGGGGGGGTCACAGAAGTCCAGACACGGTGGGGGGGTCACAGAAGTCCAGACACAGTGGGGGGGGGGGTCACAGAAGTCCAGACACGGTGGGGGGGGGGGGGTCACAGAAGTCCAGACACGGTGGGGAGGGGGGGGGGGTCACAGAAGTCCAGACACGGTGGGGGTCACAGAAGTCCAGACACGGTGGGGGGGGTCACAGAAGTCCAGACACAGTGGGGGGGGGGGGTCACAGAAGTCCAGACACGGTGGGGGGGGGGGGGTCACAGAAGTCCAGACACAGTGGGGGTCACAGAAGTCCAGACACGGTGGGGGTCACAGAAGTCCAGACACGGTGGTAAGGGGGGGGGGGGGGTCACAGAAGTCCAGACACGGTGGGGGGGGGGGGGGGGTCACAGAAGTCCAGACACGGTGGGGGGGGGGGGGGGTCACAGAAGTCCAGACACGGTGGGGAGGGGGGGGGGTCACAGAAGTCCAGACACGGTGGGGGGGGGGGGTCACAGAAGTCCAGACACGGTGGGGGGGGGGGGGGTCACAGAAGTCCAGACACGGTGGGGGGGGGGGGGGTCACAGAAGTCCAGACACGGTGGGGGGGGGGGTCACAGAAGTCCAGACACGGTGGGGGGGGGGGGGTCACAGAAGTCCAGACACAGTGGGGGTCACAGAAGTCCAGACACGTGGGGGGGGGGGGGGTCACAGAAGTCCAGACATGGTGGGGGTCACAGAAGTCCAGACACAGTGGGGGGGGGGGGGGTCACAGAAGTCCAGACACGGTGGGGGGGGGGGGGGGTCACACAGGTCCAGACACAGTGGGGGTCACAGAAGTCCAGACACGGTGGGGGGGGGGGGGGTCACAGAAGTCCAGACACGGTGGGGGGGGGGGGTCACAGAAGTCCAGACACGGTGGGGGGGGGGGGTCACAGAAGTCCAGACACGGTGGGGGGGGGGGGGGGGTCACAGAAGTCCAGACACGGTGGGGGGGGGGGGTCACAGAAGTCCAGACACAGTGGGGGTCACAGAAGTCCAGACACGTGGGGGGGGGGGGTCACAGAAGTCCAGACATGGTGGGGGGTCACAGAAGTCCAGACACAGTGGGGGGGGGGGGGGGTCACAGAAGTCCAGACACGGTGGGGGGGGGGGGGTTCACACAGGTCCAGACACAGTGGGGGTCACAGAAGTCCAGACACGGTGGGAGGGGGGGGGGTCACAGAAGGTCCAGACACGGTGGGGGGGGGGGGGGGTCACAGAAGTCCAGACACGGTGGGGGGGGGGGGGGGGGGGGTCACAGAAGTCCAGACACGGTGGGGGGTGGGGGTCACAGAAGTCCAGACATGGTGGGGGGGGGGGGGGTCACAGAAGTCCAGACACGGTGGGGGGGGGGTCACAGAAGTCCAGACACGGTGGGGGGGGGGTCACAGAAGTCCAGACACGGTGGGGGGGGGGGTCATAGAAGTCCAGACACGGTGGAGGGGGGGGGGGTCACAGAAGTCCAGACACGGTGGGGGGGGGGGGGCGGTCACAGAAGTCCAGATACAGTGGGGGGGGAGTCACAGAAGTCCAGACACGGTGGGGGGGGGGGGGGGGTCACAGAAGTCCAGACACGGTGGGGGGGGGGGGTCATAGAAGTCCAGACACGGTGGGGGGGGGTCACAGAAGTCCAGACACGTGGGGGGGGTCACAGAAGTCCAGACACGGTGGGGAGGGGGGGTCACAGAAGTCCAGACATGGTGGTGGGGGGGGGGGGTCACAGAAGTCCAGACACGGTGGGGAGGTGGGGGGGGGTCACAGAAGTCCAGACACGGTGGGGGGGGTCATAGAAGTCCAGACACGGTGGGGGGGGGGGGGGGGGGGGGGTCACAGAAGTCCAGACACGGTGGGGGGGGGGGGTCATAGAAGTCCAGACACGGTGGGGGGGGGGGGGGTCACAGAAGTCCAGACATGGTGGGGAGGGGGGGGTCATAGAAGTCCAGACACGGTGGGGGGGGGGGGGGGTCACAGAAGTCCAGACACAGTGGGGGGGGGGGTCACAGAAGTCCAGACACGGTGGGGGGGGGGGGGGGTCATAGAAGTCCAGACACGGTGGGGGGGGGGGTCACAGAAGTCCAGACACGTGGAGGCGGGGGGGTCACAGAAGTCCAGACACGGTGGGGGAGGGGGGGGTCACAGAAGTCCAGACACGGTGGGGGGGGGGGGGGTCATAGAAGTCCAGACACGGTGGGGGGGGGGGGGGGGTCACAGAAGTCCAGACATGGTGGGGAGGGGGGGGTCATAGAAGTCCAGACACGGTGGGGGGGGGGGTCATAGAAGTCCAGACACGGTGGGGGGGGGGGGGGTCACAGAAGTCCAGACACGTGGAGGGGGGGGGGTCACAGAAGTCCAGACACGGTGGGGAGGGGGGGTCACAGAAGTCCAGACACGGTGGGGAGGGGGGGTCACAGAAGTCCAGATACGGTGGGGAGGGGGGGGGTCACAGAAGTCCAGACACGGTGGGGGGGGGGGGTCATAGAAGTCCAGACACGGTGGGGGGGGGGGGGGGTCACAGAAGTCCAGACATGGTGGGGAGGGGGGGTCATAGAAGTCCAGACACGGTGGGGGGGGGGGGGGGGTCACAGAAGTCCAGACACAGTGGGGGGGGGGGTCACAGAAGTCCAGACACGGTGGGGGGGGGGGGGTCATAGAAGTCCAGACACGGTGGGGGGGGGGGGGGGTCACAGAAGTCCAGACACGTGGAGGCGGGGGGGGTCACAGAAGTCCAGACACGGTGGGGGGGGGGGGGGTCACAGAAGTCCAGACATGGTGGGGAGGGGGGGGTCATAGAAGTCCAGACACGGTGGGGGGGGGGGGGGGTCACAGAAGTCCAGACACGGTGGGGGGGGGGGTCACAGAAGTCCAGACACGGTGGGGGGGGGGTCATAGAAGTCCAGACACGGTGGGGGGGGGGGGGGGGGTCACAGAAGTCCAGACACGTGGAGGGGGGGGGGGTCACAGAAGTCCAGACACGGTGGGGAGGGGGGGGTCACAGAAGTCCAGACACGGTGGGGAGGGGGGATCACAGAAGTCCAGATACGGTGGGGAGGGGGGGTCACAGAAGTCCAGATACGGTGGGGAGGGGGGGGGTCACAGAAGTCCAGACACGGTGGGGGGGGGGGGGGTCACAGAAGTCCAGACACGGTGGGGGGGGGGGTCATAGAAGTCCAGACACGGTGGGGGGGGGGGGGTCACAGAAGTCCAGACACGTGGAGGGGGGGGGGGGGTCACAGAAGTCCAGACACGGTGGGGAGGGGGGGTCACAGAAGTCCAGACACGGTGGGGAGGGGGGGATCACAGAAGTCCAGATACGGTGGGGAGGGGGGGGGTCACAGAAGTCCAGACACGGTGGGGGGGGGGTCATAGAAGTCCAGACACGGTGGGGGGGGGGGGTCACAGAAGTCCAGACACGTGGAGGGGGGGGGGGGTCACAGAAGTCCAGACAACGGTGGGGAGGGGGGGGTCACAGAAGTCCAGATACGGTGGGGAGGGGGGGGTCACAGAAGTCCAGACACGGTGGTGGAGGGGGGGTCACAGAAGTCCAGATACGGTGGGGAGGGGGGGGGTCACAGAAGTCCAGACACGGTGGGGGGGGGGGGGGGTCACAGAAGTCCAGACATGTGGAGGGTATGAATGAAGTTGGTGTGAAGAGAAGCTTACAGTGATGTTGGTGATGGTAAAGTACTGTAGAAGCGTGGGATCCTTGATGTAGTACCGGACCACGCCGTAGTCTCCCTTGTCAGCGTCAGTGGCCACCACAGTCACATTCAGGGGGGCCACCAGTGTACGTGCCCTCAGGGATGCTGGTTCTGTAGATCGGCTGAAAAGTGGATTTTTTTTTTCATTCACATGGACAGAAAAGTAGATTTTTTTTTCATTCAGATGGACAGAAAAGTGGATTTTGTTTTCATTCAGATGGACAGAAAAGTAGATTTTTTTTTCATTCAGATGGTCAGAAAAGTGGATTTTTTTTTTTCATTCAGATGGACAGTAAAATGGATTTTTTTTTTTCATTCAGATGGACAGAAAAGTGATTTTTTTTTTCATTCAGATGGACAGAAAAGTAGATTTTTTTTTTCATTCAGATGGTCAGAAAAGTGGATTTTTGTTTTCATTCAGATGGACAGAAAAGTAGATTTTTTTTTCATTCAGATGGTCAGAAAAGTGGATTTTTTTTTCATTCAGATGGACAGTAAAATGGATTTTTTTTTTTTCATTCAGATGGACAGAAAAGTGGATTTTTTTTTTCATTCAGATGGACAGAAAAGTAGATTTTTTTTTTCATTCAGATGGACAGAAAAGTAGATTTTTTTTTTTCATTCAGATGGACAGAAAAGTGGATTTTTTTTTTCATTCAGATGGACAGAAAAGTGGATTTTTTTTTCATTCAGATGGTCAGAAAAGTGGATTTTTTTTTTCATTCAGATGGACAGAAAAGTAGATTTTTTTTTCATCCAGATGGTCAGAAAAGTGGATTTTTTTTTTCATTCAGATGGACAGAAAAGTGGATTTTTTTTTTCATTCAGATGGACAGAAAAGTAGATTTTTTTTTATTCAGATGGACAGAAAAGTAGATTTTTTTTTCATTCAGATGGACAGAAAAGTGGATTTTTTTTTCATTCAGATGGACAGAAAAGTGGATTTTTGTTTTCATTCAGATAGACAGAAAAGTATATTTTTTTTTTCATTCAGATGGACAGAAAAGTGATTTTTTTTTCATTCAGATGGTCAGAAAAGTGGATTTTTTTTTCATTCAGATGGACAGAAAAGTGGATTTTTTTTTTCATTCAGATGGACAGAAAAGTGGATTTTTGTTTTCATTCAGATGGACAGAAAAGTAGATTTTTTTTTCATTCAGATGGACAGAAAAGTAGATTTTTTTTTTTCATTCAGATGGACAGAAAAGTGGACTTTGGTTTGATTCAGATGGTCAGAAAAGTGGATTTTTTTTTTTCATTCAGATGGACAGAAAAGTGGATTTTTTTTTTTCATTCAGATGGACAGAAAAGTAGATTTTTTTTTATTCAGATGGACAGAAAAGTAGATTTTTTTTTCATTCAGATGGACAGAAAAGTGGATTTTTTTTTCATTCAGATGGACAGAAAAGTGGATTTTTGTTTTCATTCAGATAGACAGAAAAGTATATTTTTTTTTTCATTCAGATGGACAGAAAAGTGGATTTTTTTTTCATTCAGATGGTCAGAAAAGTGGATTTTTTTTTCATTCAGATGGACAGAAAAGTGGATTTTTTTTTTCATTCAGATGGACAGAAAAGTGGATTTTTGTTTTCATTCAGATGGACAGAAAAGTAGATTTTTTTTTCATTCAGATGGACAGAAAAGTAGATTTTTTTTTTCATTCAGATGGACAGAAAAGTGGACTTTGGTTTGATTCAGATGGACAGAAAAGTGGATTTTTTTTTCATTCAGATGGACAGAAAAGTGGATTTTTTTTTCATTCAGATGGACATAAAAGTAGATTTTTTTTTTATTCAGATGGACAGAAAAGTGGATTTTTTTTTCATTCAGATGGACAGAAAAGTGGTTTTTTTTTTTCATTCAGATGGACAGAAAAGTGGATTTTTGTTTTCATTCAGATGGACAGAAAAGTGGATTTTTTTTTTCCATTCAGATGGACAGAAAAGTAGATTTTTTTTTTCATTCAGATGGTCAGAAAAGTAGATTTTTTTTTTATTCAGATGGTCAGAAAAGTGGATTTTTGTTTTCATTCAGATGGACAGAAAAGTGGATTTTTTTTTTCATTCAGATGGACAGAAAAGTGGATTTTTTTTTTTCATTCAGATGGACAGAAAAGTGGATTTTTGTTTTCATTCAGATGGACAGAAAAGTAGATTTTTTTTTTCATTCAGATGGACAGAAAAGTGGATTTTTTTTTCATTCAGATGCACTAAAAAGTGGATTTTTTGTTAGTTGAATTACTTTTGAAAGAGCGCTAAAAGGTTTCCTGGCCACCAAATGTACAAAGATTGAGTTACCTGCTGGAAGACTGGAGGATTGTCGTTGATGTTGCGGATGTTGATGATGATCTTAGTGTAGTTGGACAACGGTGGCTGGCCAGAGTCTGTACACATACCAGTCTTACAATCAAAGCACCTGAAAATATTCAGGTTCCCAATTAAAGCTATGCCTTGTGAAAAAGTAATGAATAAAATACTTGAGACAAGTAGCTGATTGTGTAATGAGGTAGCTGAATGTGTACTGAGGTAGATGATTGTGTACTGAGGTAGCTGATCGTGTACTGAGGTAGCTGATTGTGTACTGAGATAGATGATTGTGTACTGAGGTAGCTGATTGTGTACTGAGATAGATGATTGTGTACTGAGGTAGCTGATTGTGTACTGAGGTAGCTGATTGTGTACTGAGGTAGATGATTGTGTACTGAGCTAGCAGCTGATTGTGTACTGAGCTAGATGATTGTGTAATGAGGTAGATGATTGTGTACTGAGGTAGATGATTGTGTACTGAGGTAGAAGATTGTGTACTGACCTGAGCCAGGCAGAAGAGTGAGGTAATTAATTCGGTCTCGAGGCAGGGTCTGGGTGATCTGGTAGCTGGCAATTTTGTCCCGCGGGTCGCGACAGTTTAGGCTCAGCACAAAGGAGTTGATGTTCACTTCCTCGTCTATGGTCACGTTGTACACGTCCTCATCAAACTGGGGGGCGCGGTCATTCACCTCCATTATGTAGATGATGAAGGAGCCTACAGCATAGAGAGCGTTAAGTGCCTAGCACCAGACATCACTGACAGCTAGAACCAGACATCACTGACAGCTAGAACCAGACATCACTGACAGCTATAACCAGACATCACTGACAGCTAGAACCAGACATCACTGACAGCTAAAACCAAACATCACTGACAGCTAGAACCAGACATCACCGACAGCTAGAACCAGACATCACTGACAGCTAGAACCAGACATCACTGACAGCTAGAACCAGACATCACTGACAGCTAGATTATTAGAGTACAACATGACAGTGGCAGTATGACAATGATGACATAACAGTTGAAAGTGACAATAACAGTTGAAAGTGACAGTTGAAAGTGACAATAACAGTTGAAAGTGACAATAACAGTTGAAAGTGACAGTTGAAAGTGACAGTTGAAAGTGACAATGCTCACCATTTCCTTTTTGTATGGGTGTGGCAGCAATGTCTTCCACCACGACAGTGTACGTGATGCGGGCCACACTGTCACGGTCCAAAGATGCGTTGACAAAAATATTTCCAGTTGGACTGTCGATCCTGAACATATGCTGGGGGTCACAGATACAAAACATGGATTGGATATGCTGGGGGTCACAGATACAAAACATGGATTGGATATGCTGGGGGTTACAGAACATGGATTGGATATGCTGGGGGTCACAGATCATGGATTGGATATGCTGGGGGTTACGGATACTAAACATGGATTGGATATGCTGGGGGTCACAGATACAAAACATGGATTGGATATGCTGGGGGTTACAGATACTAAACATGGATTGGATATGCTGGGGGTTACAGATACTAAACATGGATTGGATATGCTGGGGGTTACAGATACAAAACATGGATTGGATATGCTGGGGGTTACAGATACTAAACATGGATTGGATATGCTGGGGGCTACAGATATAAAACATGGATTGAATATGCTGCTCACAGAAAGCAAATATGGATTGGATATGTTGCTCACATACAAAACATGGATTGGATATTATGCTCACAGATATAAAACAGGGATTGTAAATGGTTTTTCTATCTTGATATCAGGACATACATGATATGGGACAGGTTGTTTTTGAGTGATATCAAAAAACACAGACGTGAGAGAAAGATGTGAGAGAAAGATGTGAGAGAAAGATGTGAGAGAAAGATGTGAGAGAAAGATGTGAGAGAAAGATGTGAGAGAAAGATGTGAGAGAAAGATGTGAGATTAAGACGTGAGAGAAAGACGTGAGAGAAAGATGCGAGAGAAAGATGTGAGAGAAAGATGTGAGAGAGAGAAAGATGTGAGAGAAAGATGTGAGAGAAAGATGTGAGAGAAAGATGTGAGAGAAAGATGTGAGAGAAAGACGTGAGAGAAAGACGTGAGAGAGAGAAAGATGTGAGAGAGAGAAAGATGTGAGAGAAAGATGTGAGAGAGAGAAAGATGTGAGAGAAAGATGTGAGAGAGAGAAAGATGTGAGAGAAAGATGTGAGAGAGAGAAAGATGTGAGAGAGAGAAAGATGTGAGAGAGAGAAAGATGTGAGAGAGAGAAAGATGTGAGAGAGAGAAAGATGTGAGAGAAAGATGTGAGAGAGAGAAAGATGTGAGAGAAAGATGTGAGAGAAAGATGTGAGAGAAAGATGTGAGAGAAAGATGTGAGAGAAAGATGTGAGAGAAAGATGTGAGAGAAAGATGTGAGAGAAAGATGTGAGAGAAAGATGTGAGAGAAAGATGTGAGAGAGAGAAAGATGTGAGAGAGAGAAAGATGTGAGAGAAAGACGTGAGAGAAAGATGTGAGAGAGAGAAAGATGTGAGAGAAAGATGTGAGAGAAAGACGTGAGAGAAAGATGTGAGAGAAAGATGTGAGAGAAAGACGTGAGAGAAAGACGTGAGAGAAAGATGTGAGAGAGAGAAAGATGTGAGAGAGAGAAAGATGTGAGAGAGAGAAAGATGTGAGAGAAAGACGTGAGAGAAAGATGTGAGAGAGAGAAAGATGTGAGAGAGAGAAAGATGTTAGAGAAAGATGTGAGAGAAAGACGTGAGAGAAAGATGTGAGAGAAAGATGTGAGAGAAAGACGTGAGAGAAAGACGTGAGAGAAAGATGTGAGAGAAAGATGTGAGAGAAAGATGTGAGAGAAAGACGTGAGAGAAAGATGTGAGAGAGAGAAAGATGTGAGAGAGAGAAAGATGTGAGAGAAAGATGTGAGAGAAAGATGTGAGAGAAAGATGTGAGAGAAAGATGTGAGAGAAAGATGTGAGAGAAAGATGTGAGAGAGAGAAAGATGTGAGAGAAAGACGTGAGAGAAAGATGTGAGAGAGAGAAAGATGTGAGAGAAAGACGTGAGAGAAAGATGTGAGAGAAAGATGTGAGAGAGAGAAAGATGTGAGAGAGAGAAAGATGTGAGAGAGAGAAAGATGTGAGAGAGAGAAAGATGTGAGAGAAAGATGTGAGAGAGAGAAAGATGTGAGAGAAAGACGTGAGAGAAAGATGTGAGAGAGAGAAAGATGTGAGAGAGAGAAAGATGTGAGAGAGAGAAAGATGTGAGAGAGAGAAAGATGTGAGAGAGAGAAAGATGTGAGAGAGAGAAAGATGTGAGAGAGAGAAAGATGTGAGAGAGAGAAAGATGTGAGAGAGAGAAAGATGTGAGAGAGAGAAAGATGTGAGAGAGAGAAAGATGTGAGAGAGAGAAAGATGTGAGAGAGAGAAAGATGTGAGAGAAAGATGTGAGAGAGAGAAAGATGTGAGAGAAAGATGTGAGAGAAAGATGTGAGAGAAAGATGTGAGAGAAAGATGTGAGAGAAAGATGTGAGAGAGAGAAAGATGTGAGAGAGAGAAAGATGTGAGAGAGAGAAAGATGTGAGAGAAAGATGTGAGAGAGAGAAAGATGTGAGAGAAAGACGTGAGAGAGAGATGTGAGAGAGAGAAAGATGTGAGAGAGAGAAAGATGTGAGAGAGAGAAAGATGTGAGAGAGAGAAAGATGTGAGAGAGAGAAAGATGTGAGAGAGAGAAAGATGTGAGAGAGATAAAGATGTGAGAGAGAGAAAGATGTGAGAGAGAGAAAGATGTGAGAGAGAGAAAGATGTGAGAGAGAGAAAGATGTGAGAGAGAGAAAGATGTGGGAGAAAGATGTGAGAGAAAGATGTGAGAGAAAGATGTGAGAGAAAGATGTGAGAGAAAGATGTGAGAGAGAGAAAGATGTGAGAGAGAGAAAGATGTGAGAGAGAGAAAGATGTGAGAGAGAGAAAGATGTGAGAGAGAAAAAGATGTGAGAGAGAGAAAGATGTGAGAGAGAGAAAGATGTGAGAGAGAGAAAGATGTGAGAGAGAGAAAGATGTGAGAGAAAGATGTGAGAGAAAGATGCGAGAGAAAGATGTGGGAGAAAGATGTGGGAGAAAGATGTGAGAGAAAGACGTGAGATTAAGACGTGAGAGAAAGATGTGAGAGAAAGATGTGAGAGAGAGAAAGATGTGAGAGAGAGAAAGATGTGAGAGAAAGATGTGAGAGAAAGATGTGAGAGAAAGATGTGAGAGAAAGATGTGAGAGAAAGACGTGAGAGAAAGACGTGAGAGAAAGACGTGAGAGAAAGATGTGAGAGAAAGATGTGAGAGAGAGATGTGAGAGAGAGAAAGATGTGAGAGAAAGATGTGAGAGAGAGAAAGATGTGAGAGAAAGATGTGAGAGAAAGACGTGAGAAATGTGAGAGAAAGATGTGAGAGAGAGAAAGATGTGAGAGAAAGATGTGAGAGAAAGACGTGAGAGAAAGATGTGAGAGAGAGAAAGATGTGAGAGAGAGAAAGATGAGAGAGAAAGATGTGAGAGAAAGATGTGAGAGAAAGATGTGAGAGAGAGAAAGATGTGAGAGAGAGAAAGATGTGAGAGAAAGATGTGAGAGAGAGAAAGATGTGAGAGAAAGATGTGAGAGAAAGATGTGAGAGAAAGATGTGAGAGAAAGATGTGAGAGAAAGATGTGAGAGAAAGATGTGAGAGAAAGATGTGAGAGAAAGATGTGAGAGAAAGATGTGAGAGAAAGATGTGAGAGAGAGAAAGATGTGAGAGAGAGAAAGATGTGAGAGAAAGACGTGAGAGAAAGATGTGAGAGAGAGAAAGATGTGAGAGAGAGAAAGATGTGAGAGAAAGATGTGAGAGAAAGACGTGAGAGAAAGATGTGAGAGAAAGATGTGAGAGAAAGACGTGAGAGAAAGACGTGAGAGAAAGATGTGAGAGAGAGAAAGATGTGAGAGAGAGAAAGATGTGAGAGAGAGAAAGATGTGAGAGAAAGACGTGAGAGAAAGATGTGAGAGAGAGAAAGATGTGAGAGAGAGAAAGATGTTAGAGAAAGATGTGAGAGAAAGACGTGAGAGAAAGATGTGAGAGAAAGATGTGAGAGAAAGACGTGAGAGAAAGACGTGAGAGAAAGATGTGAGAGAAAGATGTGAGAGAAAGATGTGAGAGAAAGACGTGAGAGAAAGATGTGAGAGAGAGAAAGATGTGGGAGAAAGATGTGAGAGAAAGATGTGAGAGAAAGATGTGAGAGAAAGATGTGAGAGAGAGAAAGATGTGAGAGAGAGAAAGATGTGAGAGAGAGAAAGATGTGAGAGAGAAAAAGATGTGAGAGAGAGAAAGATGTGAGAGAGAGAAAGATGTGAGAGAGAGAAAGATGTGAGAGAGAGAAAGATGTGAGAGAGAGAAAGATGTGAGAGAAAGATGCGAGAGAAAGATGTGAGAGAAAGATGTGAGAGAAAGACGTGAGATTAAGACGTGAGAGAAAGATGTGAGAGAAAGATGTGAGAGAGAGAAAGATGTGAGAGAGAGAAAGATGTGAGAGAAAGATGTGAGAGAAAGATGTGAGAGAAAGATGTGAGAGAAAGATGTGAGAGAAAGATGTGAGAGAAAGACGTGAGAGAAAGACGTGAGAGAAAGATGTGAGAGAAAGATGTGAGAGAGAGATGTGAGAGAGAGAAAGATGTGAGAGAAAGATGTGAGAGAGAGAAAGATGTGAGAGAAAGATGTGAGAGAAAGACGTGAGAAATGTGAGAGAAAGATGTGAGAGAGAGAAAGATGTGAGAGAAAGATGTGAGAGAAAGACGTGAGAGAAAGATGTGAGAGAGAGAAAGATGTGAGAGAGAGAAAGATGAGAGAGAAAGATGTGAGAGAAAGATGTGAGAGAAAGATGTGAGAGAAAGATGTGAGAGAGAGAAAGATGTGAGAGGAAAGATGTGAGAGAAAGATGTGAGAGAGAGAAAGATGTGAGAGAAAGATGTGAGAGAAAGACGTGAGAGAAAGATGTGAGAGAAGATGGTGAGAGAAAGATGTGAGGAGAAAGATGTGAGAGAAAGATGTGAGAGAAAGATGTGAGAGAAAGATGTGAGAGAAAGACGTGAGAGAGAGAAAGATGTGAGAGAGAGAAAGATGTGAGAGAAAGATGTGAGAGAGAGAAAGATGTGAGAGAGAGAAAGATGTGAGAGAGAGAAAGATGTGAGAGAGAGAAAGATGTGAGAGAAAGATGTGAGAGAGAGAAAGATGTGAGAGAGAGAAAGATGTGAGAGAGAGAAAGATGTGAGAGAAAGAGCTGAGAGAGAGAAAGATGTGAGAGAAAGACGTGAGAGAGAGATGTGAGAGAGAGAAAGATGTGAGAGAGAGAAAGATGTGAGAGAGAGAAAGATGTGAGAGAGAGAAAGATGTGAGAGAGAGAAAGATGTGAGAGAGAGAAAGATGTGAGAGAGAGAAAGAAGTGAGAGAGAGAAAGATGTGAGAGAGAGAAAGATGTGGGAGAAAGATGTGAGAGAAAGATGTGAGAGAAGATGTGAGAGAAAGAGTGTGAGAGAAAGATGTGAGAGAGAGAAGATGTGAGAGAGAGAAAGATGTGAGAGAGAGAAAGATGTGAGACGAGAGAAAGATGTGAGAGAGAGAAAGATGTGAGAGAGAGAAAGATGTGAGAGAGAGAAAGATGTGAGAGAGAGAAAGATGTGAGAGAGAGAAAGATGTGAGAGAGAAAGATGTGAGAGAAGATGTGAGAGAAAGATGAGAGAGAAAGATGTGAGAGAGAGAGATGTGAGAGAGAGAGAGAGATGAGAGAGAGAGAAAGATGTGAGAGAAAGATGAGAGAGAAAGATGTGAGAGAGAGAAAGATGTGAGAGAGAGAAAGATGTGAGAGAGAAAGATGTGAGAGAGAGAAGATGTGAGAGAAAGATGTGAGAGAGAGAAAGATGTGAGAGAGAGAAAGATGTGAGAGAAAGATGTGCAGAGAGAGAAAGATGTGAGGAGAGAGAAAGATGTGAGAGAGAGAAAGATGTGAGAGAAAGATGTGAGAGAAAGATGTGAGAGAGAGAAAGATGTGAGAGAAAGATGTGAGATGAGAAAGATAGTGAGAGATGTGAGAGAAAGATGTGAGAGATGAGAAAGATGTGAGAGAAAGATGTGAGAGAAAGATGTGAGAGAAAGATGTGAGAGAAAGATGTGAGAGAAAGATGTGAGAGAAAGATGTGAGAGAAAGATGTGAGAGAAAGATGTGAGAGAAAGATGTGAGAGAAAGATGTGAGAGAAAGATGTGAGAGAAAGATGTGAGAGAAAGATGTGAGAGAGAAAGATGTGTGAGAAAGAAGTGAGAGAAAAAGACTGACTCTGTAGTCAAACACTGTGGATGATGCTTCATTGCCCACTCCATCAAAAGCTTTGTCTGGGGTGAAAGAAAACCTCAAGATGCTGTTGGCGTCGGGGTCTTCTGCCAGGATTCTGTAGACACTCACACCCAGAAACTTCATCTGGAAAAAATGTGTTGACAGCTGGTGTGAGGGGTTGACAGTTTGTGTGAGGGGTTGACAGCTGGTGTGAGGGGTTGGGTATGTTGACAGTTTGTGTGAGGGGAGGGGTATGTTGACAGCTGAGTGTGAGGGGTGGGGTATGTTGACAGTTTGTGTGAGGGGTTGGGTATGTTGACAGTTTGTGTGAGAGCGAGGGGTATGTTGACAGTTTGTGTGAGGGGAGGGGTATGTTGACAGTTTGTGTGAGGGGAGGGGTATGTTGACAGTTTGTGTGAGGGGAGGGGTATGTTGACAGTTTGTGTGAGGGGTGGGGTATGTTGACAGTTTGTGTGAGGGGGAGGGGTATGTTGACAGTTTGTGTGAGGGGAGGGGTATGTTGACAGTTTGTGTGAGGGGAGGGGTATGTTGACAGTTTGTGTGAGGGAGGGGTATGTTGACAGTTTGTGTGAGGGAGGGGTTATGTTGACAGTTTGTGTGAGGGGTGGGGTATGTTGACAGTTTTGTGTGAGGGGAGGGGTATGTTGACAGTTTGTGTGAGGGGAGGGGTATGTTGACAGTTTATGTGAGGGGGTGGGTATGTTGACAGCTGGTATGTGTGAGGGGGAGAGTTATGTTGACAGTTTTTATAGAGGGTGGGTAAGAGAGCTTGGGGGGTGGGGGCAAGTGAACAAACAAATAAATGTGGACCAACAAAGTGAATGTGGACCAACAAATGAATGTGGACCAACAAACAAAGCAACAAATAAATGTGGACCAACAAACAAAGCAACAAATGAATGTGGACCAACAAATGAATAAAGACCAACAAACAAAGCAACAAATGAATGTGGACCAACAAATGAATGTGGACCAACAAATGTGGACCAACAAATGAATGTGGACTAATAAACAAAGCAACAAATGAATGTGGACCAACAAACAAAGCAACAAATGAATGTGGACCAACAAACAAAGCAACAAATGAATGTGGACCAACAAATGAATGTGGACCAACAAACAAAGCAACAAATGAATGTGGACCAACAAATGAATGTGGACAAACAAATAAATGTGGACCAACAAACAAAGCAACAAATGAATGTGGACCAACAAATGAATGTGGACCAACAAACAAAGCAACAAATGAATGTGGACCAACAAATGAATGTGGACAAACAAACAAACCAACAAATGAATGTGGACCAACAAATAAATGTGGACCAACAAACAAACCAACAAATGAATGTGGACCAACAAATAAATGTGGACCAACAAATGAATGTGGACCAACAAACAAAGCAACAAATGAATGTGGACCAACAAATGAATGTGGACCAACAAACAAAGCAACAAATGAATGTGGACCAACAAATAAATGTGGACCAACAAACAAAGCAACAAATGAATGTGGACCAACAAACAAGCAACAAATGAATGTGGACCAACAAACAAAGCAACAAATAAATGTGGACCAACAAACAAAGCAACAAATGAATGTGGACCAACAAATGTGGACCAACAAATGTGGACCAACAAATGAATGTGGACAACAAATGAATGTGGACCAACAAACAAAGCAACAAATGAATGTGGACCAACAAATGAATGTGGACCAACAAACAAAACAACAAATGAATGTGGACCAACAAACAAAGCAACAAATGAATGTGGACCAACAAATGAATGTAGACCAACAAACAAAGCAACAAATGAATGTGGACCAACAAATGAATGTGGACCAACAAATGAATGTGGACCAACAAATGAATGTGGACCAACAAAATGAATGTGGACCAATAAACAAAGCAACAAATGAATGTGGACCAACAAATGTGGACCAACAAATGAATGTGGACCAATAAACAAAGCAACAAATGAATGTGGACCAACAACAAAGCAACAAACGGTGTTGAACCTACTCTCTGGTACACTGACTGACTGTGACAGGGGGTTGATGCGGGGGTCTCTGTTGTTGATGTCTAGGAGTCTCCACCGTCAGCTTGGTGGTGCCCATCTTTGAGGTTGGGGTGCCTGCATCTCGTGCTAGTAGCTGTAGATAGAGCAAGACATTGACACTACTGATACATCTCATGCTAGTAGCTGTAGATAGAGCAAGACATTGACACTACTGATACATCTCATGCTAGTAGCTGTAGATAGGTGCAAGACATTGACACTACTGATACATCTCATGCTAGTAGCTGCAGATAGGGCAAGACATTGACACTACTGATACATCTCATGCTAGTAGCTGCAGATAGGGCAAGACATTGACACTACTGATACATCTCATGCTAGTAGCTGCAGATAGGGCAAGACATTGACACTACTGATACATCTCATGCTAGTAGCTGTAGATAGGGCAAGACATTGACACTACTGATACATCTCATGCTAGTAGCTGCAGATAGGGCAAGACATTGACACTACTGATACATCTCATGCTAGTAGCTGCAGATAGGGCAAGACATTGACACTACTGATACATCTCATGCTAGTAGCTGTAGATAGGGCAAGACATTGACACTACTGATACATCTCATGCTAGTAGCTGCAGATAGGGCAAGACATTGACACTGACTGATACATCTCATGCTAGTAGCTGTAGATAGGGCAAGACATTGACACTACTGATACATCTCATGCTAGTAGCTGCAGATAGGGCAAGACATTGACACTACTGATACATCTCATGCTAGTAGCTGTAGATAGGGCAAGACATTGACACTACTGATACATCTCATGCTAGTAGCTGCAGATAGGGCAAGACATTGACACTACTGATACATCTCATGCTAGTAGCTGTAGATAGGGCAAGACATTGACACTACTGATCTACTGACTGAATACTGATACATCTCATGCTAGTAGCTGCAGATAGGGCAAGACATTGACACTACTGATACATCTCATGCTAGTAGCTGTAGATAGGGCAAGACATTGACACTACTGATACATCTTGTGCTAGTAGCTGTAGATAGGGCAAAGACATTGACACTACTGATACATCTTGTGCTAGTAGCTGTAGATAGGGCAAGACATTGACACTACTGATACATCTCATGCTAGTAGCTGTAGATAGGGCAAGACATTGACACCTACTGATACATCTCATGCTAGTAGCTGTAGATAGGGCAAGACATGACTACTACTGATACACTCTCATGCTAGTAGCTGTAGATAGGGCAAGACATGACAACTGATACATCTCATGCTAGTAGCTGTAGATAGGGCAAGACATTGACACTACTGATACATCTCATGCTAGTAGCTGTAGATAGGGCAAGACATTGACACTACTGATACATCTCATGCTAGTAGCTGTAGATAGGGGCAAGACATCTGAGACATCCATACTGATACATCTCATGCTAGTAGCTGCAGATAGGGCAAGACATTGACACTACTGATACATCTCATGCTAGTAGCTGTAGATCGAGGCAAGACATTGACACTACTGATACATCTCATGCTAGTAGCTGTAGATAGAGCAAGACATTGACACTACTGATACATCAGTCATGCTAGTAGCTGTAGATAGGGCAAGACACTTGACACTACTGATACATCTCATGCTAGTAGCTGTAGATAGGGCAAGGACATTGACACTACTGATACATCTCATGCTAGTAGCTGTAGATAGGGCAAGACATTGACACTACTGATACATCTCATGCTAGTAGCTGTAGATAGGGCAAGACATTGACACTACTGATACATCTCATGCTAGTAGCTGTAGATAAGGGCAAGACATTGACACTACTGATACATCTCATGCTAGTAGCTGTAGATAGGGCAAGACATTGACACTACTGATACATCTCATGCTAGTAGCTGTAGATAGGGCAAGACATTGACACTACTGATACATCTCATGCTAGTAGCTGTAGATAGGGCAAGACATTGACACTACTGATACATCTCATGCTAGTAGCCTGTAGATAGGGCAAGACATTGACACTACTGATACATCTCATGCTAGTAGCTGTAGATAGGGCAAGACATTGACACTACTGATACATCTCATGCTAGTAGCTGAGTAGATAGGCATAGACATTGACACTACTGATACATCTCATGCTAGTAGCTGTAGATAGGGCAAGACATTGACACTACTGATACATCTCATGCTAGTAGCCTGTAGATAGGGCTAAGACATTGACACTACTGATACATCTCATGCTAGTAGCTGTAGATAGGGCAAGACATTGACACTACTGATACATCTCATGCTAGTAGCTGTAGATAGGGCAAGACATTGACACTACTGATACATCTCTGAGTAGCTGCAGATAGAGACATTGACCATACTGCTCATCTCATGCAGTAGCTGTAGATAGGGCAAGACATTGACACTACTGATACATCTCATGCTAGTAGCTGTAGATAGAGCAAGACATTGACACTACTGATAATAGGGCAAGACATTGACACTACTGATACATCTCATGCTAGTAGCTGTAGATAGGGCAAGACATTGACACTACTGATACATCTCATGCTAGTAGCTGTAGATAGGGCAAGACATTGACACTACTGATACATCTCATGCTAGTAGCTGTAGATAGAGCAAGACATTGACACTACTGATACATCTCATGCTAGTAGCTGTAGATAGGGCAAGACATTGACACTACTGATACATCTCATGCTAGTAGCTGTAGATAGGGCAAGACATTGACACTACTGATACATCTCATGCTAGTAGCTGTAGATAGGGCAAGACATTGACACTACTGATACATCTCATGCTAGTAGCTGCAGATAGGGCAAGACATTGACACTACTGATACATCTCATGCTAGTAGCTGTAGATAGGGCAAGACATTGACACTACTGATACATCTCATGCTAGTAGCTGCAGATAGGGCAAGACATTGACACTACTGATACATCTCATGCTAGTAGCTGTAGATAGGGCAAGACATTGACACTACTGATACATCTCATGCTAGTAGCTGTAGATAGGGCAAGATATTGACACTACTGATACATCTCATGCTAGTAGCTGTAGATAGGGCAAGACATTGACACTACTGATACATCTCATGCTAGTAGCTGCAGATAGGGCAAGACATTGACACTACTGATACATCTCATGCTAGTAGCTGTAGATAGGGCAAGACATTGACACTACTGATACATCTCATGCTAGTAGCTGTAGATAGAGCAAGACATTGACACTACTGATACATCTCATGCTAGTAGCTGTAGATAGGGCAAGACATTGACACTACTGATACATCTCATGCTAGTAGCTGTAGATAGGGCAAGACATTGACACTACTGATACATCTCATGCTAGTAGCTGTAGATAGAGCAAGACATTGACACTACTGATACATCTCATGCTAGTAGCTGTAGATAGAGCAAGACATTGACACTACTGATACATCTCATGCTAGTAGCTGTAGATAGGGCAAGACATTGACACTACTGATACATCTCATGCTAGTAGCTGTAGATAGGGCAAGACATTGACACTACTGATACATCTCATGCTAGTAGCTGTAGATAGGGCAAGACATTGACACTACTGATACATCTCATGCTAGTAGCTGCAGATAGAGCAAGACATTGACACTACTGATACATCTCATGCTAGTAGCTGTAGATAGGGCAAGACATTGACACTACTGATACATCTCATGCTAGTAGCTGTAGATAGGGCAAGACATTGACACTACTGATTTTTTTATCTCAACTAATGGGGCAGTAGTGTATTTGGGGGTCATGGTGAGGTCTAGTTTTCATAGTCACCTTTTGCAAGGATTTCAATGTTAATTTGAGGTTGCGAAATACAATAGAAGCAGAAAGAAAGTGTAGATTTGGGTAGCTTTAAAAACAGAGGGCGAGTGAAAATACTGGTAGATAAATTAGGCTACAGCTAGCCATGTAAGACATATGAATGTGTATAAGACGTGTAAGATGTATGAATGTGTACACATCAGATGTATACATGTGTACATGTAAGACATATGAATGTGTACACATCAGACATATAAATGTGTACGTGTAAGACATATGAATGTGTACACAAGTAGACTGCCCATGAACCCACCTGCATCTCAAACAACTTTTGTGTATCATAATCAAAAGTGGCATCAGGCGTAGTGTAGATGTCAGCAGTAAAAAACTTGCCACTCTCTACATAGGTGGCGTTGTAAACTGTGAACTTGCCCAGGGCACCATTCTGGATGGAAAAATCTATTCGCCCATTGCCAGTGGTAGGGGAATCCCCATCAGAAGCTGTCACTTTTATGACAAAAACATCTGGAAATGAAGTGGATATGGCATGAGGCAGTGCAATGGGCAGGGCAGTGGGCATGAGACCAGCATATTAAAGCATGATAATGTAATGAGAAAGAAAATGTGTACGAACTAACGTCCTCTATGTAATAAGAAAGAAAATGTGTACAAACTAACATCCTCTATGTAATAAGAAAGAAATGTGTAGGAACTAACTTCTATGTAATAAGAAAGAAATGTGTAAGAACTAACGTCTTCTATGTAATAAGAAAGAAATGTGTAAGAACTGATGTCCTCTATGTAATTAGAAAGAAATGTGTAGGAACTAACTTCTATGAAATAAGAAAGAAAATGTGTAGGAACTAACTTCTATGAAATAAGAAAGAAAATGTGTAGGAACTAACTTCTATGTAATAAGAAAGAAATGTGTAAGAACTGACGTCCTCTATGTAATAAGAAAAAAATGTGTAAGAACTAACTTCCTCTATGTAATTAGAAAGAAATGTGTAAGAACTGACGTCCTCTATGTAATGAGAAAGAAAATGTGTAGGAACTAACTTCTATGAAATAAGAAAGAAAATGTGTAGGAACTAACTTCTATGTAATTAGAAAGAAATGTGTAAGAACTAACTTCCTCTATGTAATAAGAAAGAAATGTGTAAGAACTGACGTCCTCTATGTAATAAGAAAGAAATGTGTAAGAACTAATGGCATCTATGTAATAGAAAGAAATGTGTAAGAACTAACGTCCTCTATGTAATTAGAAAGAAATGTGTAAGAACTGACATCCTCTATGTAATTAGAAAGAAATGTGTAAGAACTGACGTCCTCTATGTAATAAGAAAGAAATGTGTAAGAACTGACGTCCTCTATGTAATAAGAAAAAAATTTGTAAGAACTAACGTCCTCTATGTAATTAGAAAGAAATGTGTAAGAACTAACGTCCTCTATGTAATAAGAAAGAAATGTGTAAGAACTGACGTCCTCTATGTAATAAGAAAGAAATGTGTAAGAACTAACGTCCTCTATGTAATTAGAAAGAAATGTGTAAGAACTAACGTCCTCTATGTAATTAGAAAGAAATGTGTAAGAACTAACGTCCTCTATGTAATAAGAAAGAAATGTGTAAGAACTGACGTCCTCTATGTAATAAGAAAGAAATGTGTAAGAACTAACGTCCTCTATGTAATAAGAAAGAAATGTGTAAGAACTGACGTCCTCTAACTAATAAGAAAGAAATGTGTAAGAACTGACGTCCTCTATGTAATTAGAAAGAAATGTGTAAGAACTAATGTCCTCTATGTAAGAACTAACGTCCTCTATGTAATTAGAAAGAAATGTGTAAGAACTAATGTCCTCTATGTAAGAACTAACGTCCTCTATGTAATTAGAAAGAAATGTGTAAAATCTAACTTCCTCTGGTGTCCTCTCGAATCTGTGCTCTGTAAGCCGTTGAAGAAAAAACTGGGGCGTTGTTGTTTATGTCCTACATCAGAAATACAAGATAACCATCATCACCGTACAGTAGGCTAAATTGATGGAGTACTTAAAATGACAATAACTGTGACAGTACAGTAGGCTAAATTGATGTAGTACTTAAAATGACAATAACTGTGACAGTACAGTAGGCTAAATTGATGTAGTACTTAAAATGACAATAACTGTGACAGTACAGTAGGCTAAATTGATGTAGTACTTAAAATGACAATAACTGTGACAGTACAGTAGGCTAAATTGATGTAGTACTTAAAATGACAATAACTGTGACAGTACAGTAGGCTAAATTGATGTAGTACTTAAAATGACAATAACTGTGACAGTACAGTAGGCTAAATTGATGTAGTACTTAAAATGACAATAACTGTGACAGTACAGTAGGCTAAATTGATGAAGTACTTAAAATGACAATAATTGTCACAGTACAGTAGGCTAAATTGATGAAGTACTTAAAATGACAATAACTGTGACAGTACAGTAGGCTAAATTGATGAAGTACTTAAAATGACAATAATTGTCACAGTACAGTAGGCTAAATTGATGAAGTACTTACAATGACAATAATTGTCACAGTACAGTAAGAAATTTGACTCCCATCTGTGACTGTAACTGTGAACTGAAATCTGTAAACAAAATTGAGAATCCCCATCAAAGCAGAAATACAATGGTTTGTGTCATGTTGGTATTGTGTTGGGATGAGGTTTGTATGGTTTGTGTCATGTTGGTATTGTGTTGGGATGAGGTTTGTGTCATGTTGGTATTGTGTTGGGATGAGGTTTGTATGGTTTGTGTCATGTTGGTATTGTGTTGGGATGAGGTTTGTATGGTTTGTGTCATGTTGGTATTGTGTTGGGATGAGGTTTGTATGGTTTGTGTCTAGTTGGTATTGTGTTGGGATGAGGTTTGTGTTATGTTGGTATTGTATTGGGATGAGGTTTGTGTCATGTTGGTATTGTGTTGGGATGAGGTTTGTGTTATGTTGGTATTGGGTTGTGTTATGTTGGTATTGTATTGGGATGAGGTTTGTGTCATGTTGGTATTGTGTTGGGATGAGGTTGTGTGTCTATGTTGGTATTGTGTTGGGGATGAGGTTTGTGTTATGTTGGTATTGTGTTGGGATGAGGTTTGTGGTCATGTTGGTATTGTGTTGGGATGAGGTTTGTGTCAGGTTGGTATTGTGGGTTGAGGTTGTGTCATGTGGTATTGTGTGGGATGAGGTTTGTGTAATTGGTATGTGTTGGATGTGTTGTGTCTGTTGGTTTGTGCTGGTTGGGAATTGGGGTTGTGTGGTTGTGTCATGTTGGTATTGTGTTGGGATGAGGTTTGTATTGTTTGTGTCTATGTTGGTGTTGTGTTGGGATGAGGTTTGTATTGTTTGTGTCATGTTGGTGTGGGGGTTGAGGTTATATTTATGTAATTAACAATTATTACTTGTAAATAAACTATAGTCTAAATACCATAATACATGTTGGTGTTGTGTTGGGATGAGGTTTGTATTGTTTGTGTTATGTTGGTGTTGTGTTGGGATGAGGTTTGTATTGTTTGTGTCATGTTGGTGTGGGGGTTGAGGTTTATATTGTTTGTTTTTTTTCTCAGCCTTTTGTATCAGTGTGAGATGGAGTGGTTCACTGAGCCACGTTGTAGCCATCTTTTCAAGTTTGTAAATGATATTGTTGGTCAATATTTTTTTTTTGAAAATAAAATTCGATCAACGTTGACCAAGCTCAATAAATATTAAGTGCAAGTTTGGGAGGGATGGTAGAGTGAGGTCTGACGTCATTTTGTCAGTTAACTTCTGGAACAATCTGGGGAGGCTGGGAGGTCAATGGCCATTTATGGTATGGATGAGCCCGCTATACATACCATAAATGGCCACTTATGGTATGGATGAGCCCGCTATACATACCATAAATGGCCACTTATGGTATGGATGAGCCCGCTATACATACCATAAATGGCCACTTATGGTATGGATGAGCCCGCTATACATACCATAAATGGCCACTTATGGTATGGATGAGCCCGCTATACATACCATAAATGGCCACTTATGGTATGGATGAGCCCGCTATACATACCATAAATGGCCACTTATGGTATGGATGAGCCCGCTATACATACCATAAATGGCCATTTATGGTATGGATGAGCCCGCTATACATACCATAAATGGCCACTTATGGTATGGATGAGCCCGCTATACATACCATAAATGGCCACTTATGGTATGGATGAGCCCGCTATACATACCATAAATGGCCACTTATGGTATGGATGAGCCCGCTATTCATATGAATACCATGATTTATTTAAAGTTTGTGGTGGTTTTAAAAAGCATGACCACTGCTGTCTTAAGTTTTACATTTTATGTACAAGATATGATCTTTCTGTTTGTTTTTAAAATAAGTACGCATTGCTAAATTCCACATATGGATGTACACTCCCCCCCTCTCCTCCCCCCCCCCCCCCCCCACACAGAAGTCTACTGGGACACCCTGGTCCCTCCTTAAGAAGGGACATAAATGGCTGGCTTACTTAACTTTATCCCTGTTGATTAAGATGAAATTCCAATACTGTTGAATGACATACATTGTATTTTTTATATTAAGTTTGATTATTTCACTGGTGTTTTTTAAGCTTACTTTCTTCATTTGAATAGGTCTCGAGTTTATAATCTATTAAATAAGAAAGTGAAAACCAGCAAGATGAAACAAACTCATTTCTTCCTAAATATTTCAAGTATTTTGCCCGGAGATATTTTTTCTCTGGGATGATTTGTCTGAGATGTACAAACATACGTCATAGACTCAAGCAAATGTATGTCACAGAAACATACTAACTTATATCAGACATAACCAAACAAACATCACAGACTCAAGCAAACGTATGTCACAGACAAAAGCAAGAGTATGTTCACTAAAACATTTAAAACGTACGTTCCGTTGCTGGGAGCGTCCCCATACATAACTGGTTGTACGGCTGTGATGTTGGCGTAGTTCTGGTTGTTGGTGTTCAGCCCTTGAGTTGTTTTCCAGATGCCAGTTTGGTCGTTGCTGGTAAACTGGAGTGGTCCTCCAACTGTGTCTGGGTCAATGGCCTGGTCAAGGAGAGTTTCAAATCTGTAGTTTCAGGAACTTCTCTAATGGGATCTTATTAGACAGACAAAACAAGTCCACATTAAATACTGACTGTTATAGTGAGTCCATTGATAGGGACTGTGTCGCCCTCGTTGATGTATCTCAGGTAAGTTCTGTCTATTTGTGGCGCGTTGTCGTTGACATCTTTGATCCTGATGGTGAGTGGCACCGAGCTGGCCCTGCCATTGCCGTTGTCGTCTGTGGCTGACACCGTCAGACTGTACTCTTTCTTCCTCTCATAGTCAATGCAGGGGAAGGTACCCGGTGTGTTACACGCTGCCACTGTTACCCTGCCAGTCTTCTCGTCTATTGAAAAACTGGGCAAAAACAATTTGACTCAAGTAAAAAACACAGGTGGGATATTGCCATAAACACACAGGTGGGATATTGCCATAAACACACAGGTGGGATATTGCCATAAACACTTACACAGGTGGGATATTGCAATAAACACTTACACAGGTGGGATATTGCCATAAACACTTACACAGGTGGGATATTGCCATAAACACTTACACAGGTGGGATATTGCCATAAACACACAGGTGGGATATTGCCATAAACACTTACACAGGTGGGATATTGCCATAAACACTTACACAGGTGGGATATTGCAATAAACACTTACACAGGTGGGATATTGCCATAAACACTTACACAGGTGGGATATTGCCATAAACACTTACACAGGTGGGATATTGCCATAAACACTTACACAGGTGGGATATTGCCATAAACACACAGCTGGGATATTGCCATAAACACTTACACAGGTGGGATATTGCCATAAACACTTACACAGGTGGGATATTGCCATAAACACTTACACAGGTGGGATATTGCCATAAACACACAGGTGGGATATTGCCATAAACACACAGGTGGGATATTGCCATAAACACTTACACAGGTGGGATATTGCCATAAACACACAGGTGGGATATTGCCATAAACACACAGGTGGGATATTGCCATAAACACACAGGTGGGATATTGCCATAAACACTTACACAGGTGGGATATTGCCATAAACACACAGGTGGGATATTGCCATAAACACTTACACAGGTGGGATATTGCAATAAACACTTACACAGGTGGGATATTGCCATAAATACTTACACAGGTGGGATATTGCCATAAACACTTACACAGGTGGGATATTGCCATAAACACTTACACAGGTGGGATATTGCCATAAACACTTACACAGGTGGGATATAGACATAAACACTTACACAGGTGGGATATTGCCATAAACACACAGGTGGTATATTGCCATAAACACTTACACAGGTGGGATATTGCCATAAACACTTACACAGGTGGGATATTGCCATAAACACACAGGTGGGATATTGCCATAAACACACAGGTGGGATATTGCCATAAACACACAGGTGGGATATTGCCATAAACACTTACACAGGTGGGATATTGCCATAAACACTTACACAGGTGGGATATTGCCATAAACACTTACACAGGTGGGATATAGCCATAAACACTTACACAGGTGGGATATTGCCATAAACACTTACACAGGTGGGATATTGCCATAAACACTTACACAGGTGGGATATTGCCATAAAAACTTACACAGGTGGGATATTGCCATAAACACTTACACAGGTGGGATATAGCCATAAACACTTACACAGGTGGGATATTGCCATTGTAACGTTAACCTATCTATCAGCCAAATAGAAGGAGAACGTCCCCGGATTCTTTTTTCGGGGTCATATGCAAATGCCTATCGGCCTAAGTGGATGAACACTTAACACAACGACCACTAGGGCTCGAATTTAATGTCTAGGGAAGCTAGTGATACTATTGTAATTAACACTCATCCAATCTACATACGACCTTTTAATCAGCGAACACAGTTGTGGCAGAACACAAAGATGAACTAGATAAAATATTTAATGTATAAAATATCAAAAACCCAACTTACACAATGTAGGAAAAAACACTATCACAGATTTCTACACTGTCTAAAAAACAGCCACAGGCCACACAACACTGCTGTAGCTTCAGGAATTACTTAGCGACAAGTAATATTAAACTAGAAGACTAAATCACTTAAGAAAGCAAGGCACACACAGGTCTTAAGTACTCTCACGTTCAAATGGTCAGAGTCTATAGCCGGACAATATGGACGGCTGCCTGAATAAGGTAAAACGGCCTGTAGACTGCCTGGTCAAGAAAAACTGCCTCGTGTTGCGAGTGTGCAGTGCAATTAAAGACTTCTGTGACAGGGGAGGTTATCCTCAACTCATGTCGCCATTGGTTGGGATAATCATCTGATCAGAATCATTCAATCAGATTTTAATGGAAAATTTCTATGTCTCAAACACCTTAATAAGTCAGTGGAAAAACCCCAGGTGTTACACCATCATTCCATATAAGGAATTATACAATGTCAAAATAAAAATGACTCGACCTAAGTAGGTCACACCATAAACACACAGGTGGGATATTGCCATAAACACACAGGTGGGATATTGCCATAAACACACAGGTGGGATATTGCCATAAACACTTACACAGGTGGGATATTGCCATAAACACACAGGTGGGATATTGCCATAAACACTTACACAGGTGGGATATTGCCATAAACACTTACACAGGTGGGATATTGCCATAAACACTTACACAGGTGGGATATTGCCATAAACACTTACACAGGTGGGATATAGCCATAAACACTTACACAGGTGGGATATTGCCATAAACACTTACACAGGTGGGATATTGCCATAAACACACAGGTGGGATATTGCCATAAACACACAGGTGGGATATTGCCATAAACACACAGGTGGGATATTGCTATAAACACTTACACAGGTGGGATATTGCCATAAACACTTACACAGGTGGGATATTGCCATACAGTTTGTAAACAATACCAGATGTGCCAAAATTCCCCTCTTCAGAATCTGTGGCCTAAAAGGATTTGAACAAGTTATGCTCAAGTTATTTGGTCAAATTCAATCTATTTTCAAATTTTTTGTAATGCTTTTTTGTATCAGTTATTAGGCTGCCACCCCCATCCCCACAATGAGATATTTACTGATCTTAGCATTAGAACTTAATGCCCACTGACCCCTATCATGTACCTAATGACCCCTATCAGATAACCACTGACCCAATCTATCAGATACCCACTGACCCCCTCTATCAGATACCCACTGACCCCCTCTATCAGATAACCACTGACCCAATCTATCAGATACCCACTGACCCCCTCTATCAGATACCCACTGACCCCTCTATCAGGTACCAACTGACCCACTCTATCAGATACCCACTGACCCCTAACAGGTACCTACTGACCCCTATCAGATACCCACTGACCCAATCTATCAGATACCAACTGACCCCCTCTATCAGATACCCACTGACCCCATCTATCAGATACCAACTGACCCCCTCTATCAGATACCCACTGACCCCATCTATTAGATACCAACTGACCCCCTCTATCAGATACCCACTGACCCCTATCAGATACCTACTGACCCCCTCTATCAGGTATCCACTGACCCCCTATATCAGCCCCCCCTCCCCCCGAGTCTGTCTGCTGCCCTTACATCCATATCTATGACATCAAAATTGGCTGGAGCTGTTTCCAGAATCTCTACGACGTACGAGGCTTGGCTGAAGGCAGGGGTCTGGTCATTGACGTCTCTCACGTAGATGCTCACAGTGCACGTACCCGTCAGGAAATTAGAAGTAGCTTTATATTCTCTGGCCTCCACCTGGGGTAAACAAACATTTTCAGGAAATTAGAGGTAGCTTTATATTCTCTGGCCTCCACCTGGGGTAAACAAACATTTTCAGGAAATTAGAGGTAGCTTTATATTCTCTGGCCTCCACCTGGGGTAAACAAACATTTTCAGGAAATTAGAGGTAGCTTTATATTCTCTGGCCTCCACCTGGGGTAAACAAACATTTTCAGGAAATTAGAGGTAGCTTTATATTCTCTGGCCTCCACCTGGGGTAAACAAACATTTTCAGGAAATTAGAGGTAGCTTTATATTCTCTGGCCTCCACCTGGGGTAAACAAACATTTTCAGGAAATTAGAGGTAGCTTTATATTCTCTGGCCTCCACCTGGGGTAAACAAACATTTTCAGGAAATTAGAGGTAGCTTTATATTCTCTGGCCTCCACCTGGGGTAAACAAACATTTTCAGGAAATTAGAGGTAGCTTTATATTCTCTGGCCTCCACCTGGGGTAAACAAACATTTTCAGGAAATTAGAGGTAGCTTTATATTCTCTGGCCTCCACCTGGGGTAAACAAACATTTTCAGGAAATTAGAGGTAGCTTTATATTCTCTGGCCTCCACCTGGGGTAAACAAACATTTTCAGGAAATTAGAGGTAGCTTTATATTCTCTGGCCTCCACCTGGGGTAAACAAACATTTTCAGGAAATTAGAGGTAGCTTTATATTCTCTGGCCTCCACCTGGGGTAAACAAACATTTTCAGGAAATTAGAGGTAGCTTTATATTCTCTGGCCTCCACCTGGGGTAAACAAACATTTTCAGGAAATTAGAGGTAGCTTTATATTCTCTGGCCTATTAATCAGGCAAAATCCAGATTTATCAAAATCTAGGCATTTTACACTCAATGAGTCGGAAAAACTGGACTTGGCAATTCTGTCAGTGTGGCTGTCTGTCTGTAAACATGATAACTATAGTACCATTACAGCTAGGTCGACGAAATTTCATATACAAGTAATTAGTAATATATCAAATTTATAGTTCTGTATCAACTTTTCAGTGACTTTTGGAAACAGGAAGTGCAACTTGTTCTACTTTTGGTTTCTCAAATTTTAAACAATTTTTTAGCAATTTCCGGTGACCAGATGAAGTACTTTACCTTATTTCCGACTCCTCAAAAAATGCATACGAATTTATTTTTACCTTGATTCCTCTGTCTTTTTTTTACAAAGTACTAATGTTCCACACTATTATACACAGATTATGTGCAGTTCATTTGGTGAGCAATTCTTTTTTCTACGAGATTCTATTCTATTTAAAAAAAATTTAAGTATTTGAAAATTGATTTTTTTTATTTACCCACAATTCAGCGTCTAGCCATATGACAAGAGAAAATCAGCACACATAAAAAATGTTACAACTTGAAGAATAAATCAGGCATTAAGGGGTTAATAAAAAGTAGCTAGATAGGGAGTGACTTACTTGTATTATGTATATTCTAGGTCCTCTTTCATAGTCAATGAGACCATTAGCTTTGACAAACAGAGTGGCACTGGACGAGGCTTCATCTTGATTTGGAATGATCCCAAACTCAGTGGTTGAGTTCAAGGTCACCAAGTTGAATGCATTAAAGCTGCCCTACAACAAAATGTTTTCATGTCAGTCAAACAAACCAAATCAAAATCAGTTTAATGGTCTCATTTTGACAAACCAAATCAGTATCAGTTATATGGTGTCATAATTTGAACAAACCGAGTCAATGTCAGTTAAATGGTGTCATAATTTGAACAAACCGAGTCAATGTCAGTTATATGGTGTCATAATTTGAACAAACCGAGTCAATGTCAGTTAAATGGTGTCATAATTTGAACAAACCGAGTCAATGTCAGTTATATGGTGTCATAATTTGAACAAACCGAGTCAATGTCAGTTAAATGGTGTCATAATTTGAACAAACAGAGTCAATGTCAGTTAAATGGTGTCATAATTTTAAGAAACCAAATTTATGTCAGTTAAAATAAATGGTGTCATAATTTTAAGAAACCAAATCAATGTCAGTTAAATGGTGTCATAATTTTAACAAACCAAATCTATGTCAGTTAAAATAAATGGTGTCATAATTTTAACAAACCGAGTCAATGTCAGTTAAATGGTGTCATAATTTGAACAAACCGCGTCAATGTCAGTTAAATGGTGTCATAATTTGAACAAACTGAGTCAATGTCAGTTATATGGTGTCATAATTTGAACAAACCGAGTCAATGTCAGTTAAATGGTGTCATAATTTGAACAAAACGAGTCAATGTCAGTTATATGGTGTCATAATTTGAACAAACCGAGTCAATGTCAGTTAAATGGTGTCATAATTTGAACAAACAGAGTCAATGTCAGTTAAATGGTGTCATAATTTTAAGAAACCAAATTTATGTCAGTTAAAATAAATGATGTCATAATTTTAAGAAACCAAATCAATGTCAGTTAAATGGTGTCATAATTTTAACAAACCAAATCTATGTCAGTTAAAATAAATGGTGTCATAATTTTAACAAACCGAGTCAATGTCAGTTAAATGGTGTCATAATTTGAACAAACCGAGTCAATGTCAGTTAAATGGTGTCATAATTTGAACAAACTGAGTCAATGTCAGTTAAATGGTGTCATAATTTGAACAAACCGAGTCAATGTCAGTTAAATGGTGTCATAATTTTAACAAACCGAGTCAATGTCAGTTAAATGGTGTCATAATTTTAACAAACCAATTCTATGTCAGTTAAAATAAATGGTGTCATAATTTTAAGAAACCAAATCAATGTCAGTTAAATGGTGTCATAATTTGAACAAACCGAGTCAATGTCAGTTAAATGGTGTCATAATTTGAACAAACAGAGTCAATGTCAGTTAAATGGTGTCATAATTTTAAGAAACCAAATTTATGTCAGTTAAAATAAATGGTGTCATAATTTTAAGAAACCAAATCAATGTCAGTTAAATGGTGTCATAATTTTAACAAACCAAATCTATGTCAGTTAAAATAAATGGTGTCATAATTTTAACAAACCGAGTCAATGTCAGTTAAATGGTGTCATAATTTGAACAAACTGAGTCAATGTCTGTTAAATGGTGTCATAATTTGAACAAACTGAGCCAATGTCAGTTATATGGTGTCATAATTTGAACAAACCGAGTCAATGTCAGTTAAATGGTGTCATAATTTGAACAAACCGAGTCAATGTCAGTTATATGGTGTCATAATTTGAACAAACCGAGTCAATGTCAGTTAAATGGTGTCATAATTTGAACAAACCGAGTCAATGTCAGTTATATGGTGTCATAATTTGAACAAACCGAGTCAATGTCAGTTAAATGGTGTCATAATTTGAACAAACCGAGTCAATGTCAGTTATATGGTGTCATAATTTGAACAAACCGAGTCAATGTCAGTTAAATGGTGTCATAATTTGAACAAACAGAGTCAATGTCAGTTAAATGGTGTCATAATTTTAAGAAACCAAATTTATGTCAGTTAAAATAAATGGTGTCATAATTTTAAGAAACCAAATCAATGTCAGTTAAAATAAATGGTGTCATAATTTTAACAAACCGAGTCAATGTCAGTTAAATGGTGTCATAATTTGAACAAACCGCGTCAATGTCAGTTAAATGGTGTCATAATTTGAACAAACTGAGTCAATGTCAGTTATATGGTGTCATAATTTGAACAAACCGAGTCAATGTCAGTTAAATGGTGTCATAATTTGAACAAACCGAGTCAATGTCAGTTATATGGTGTCATAATTTGAACAAACCGAGTCAATGTCAGTTAAATGGTGTCATAATTTGAACAAACAGAGTCAATGTCAGTTAAATGGTGTCATAATTTGAACAAACCGAGTCAATGTCAGTTAAATGGTGTCATAATTTTAACAAACCGAGTCAATGTCAGTTAAATGGTGTCATAATTTTAACAAACCAATTCTATGTCAGTTAAAATAAATGGTGTCATAATTTTAAGAAACCAAATCAATGTCAGTTAAATGGTGTCATAATTTGAACAAACCGAGTCAATGTCAGTTAAATGGTGTCATAATTTGAACAAACAGAGTCAATGTCAGTTAAATGGTGTCATAATTTGAACAAACCGAGTCAATGTCAGTTAAATGGTGTCATAATTTGAACAAACTGAGTCAATGTCAGTTAAATGGTGTCATAATTTGAACAAACCGAGTCAATGTCAGTTAAATGGTGTCATAATTTTAACAAACCAAATCTATGTCAGTTAAAATAAATGGTGTCATAATTTTAACAAACCGAGTCAATGTCAGTTAAATGGTGTCATAATTTGAACAAACCGAGTCAATGTCAGTTAAATGGTGTCATAATTTGAACAAACTGAGTCAATGTCAGTTAAATGGTGTCATAATTTGAACAAACCGAGTCAATGTCAGTTAAATGGTGTCATAATTTTAACAAACCGAGTCAATGTCAGTTAAATGGTGTCATAATTTTAACAAACCAATTCTATGTCAGTTAAAATAAATGGTGTCATAATTTTAAGAAACCAAATCAATGTCAGTTAAATGGTGTCATAATTTGAACAAACCGAGTCAATGTCAGTTAAATGGTGTCATAATTTGAACAAACAGAGTCAATGTCAGTTAAATGGTGTCATAATTTTAAGAAACCAAATTTATGTCAGTTAAAATAAATGGTGTCATAATTTTAAGAAACCAAATCAATGTCAGTTAAATGGTGTCATAATTTTAACAAACCAAATCTATGTCAGTTAAAATAAATGGTGTCATAATTTTAACAAACCGAGTCAATGTCAGTTAAATGGTGTCATAATTTGAACAAACCGAGTCAATGTCTGTTAAATGGTGTCATAATTTGAACAAACTGAGTCAATGTCAGTTATATGGTGTCATAATTTGAACAAACCGAGTCAATGTCAGTTAAATGGTGTCATAATTTGAACAAACCGAGTCAATGTCAGTTATATGGTGTCATAATTTGAACAAACCGAGTCAATGTCAGTTAAATGGTGTCATAATTTGAACAAACAGAGTCAATGTCAGTTAAATGGTGTCATAATTTTAAGAAACCAAATTTATGTCAGTTAAAATAAATGATGTCATAATTTTAAGAAACCAAATCAATGTCAGTTAAATGGTTTCATAATTTTAACAAACCAAATCTATGTCAGTTAAATGGTGTCATAATTTGAACAAACCGAGTCAATGTCAGTTAAATGGTGTCATAATTTGAACAAACCGAGTCAATGTCAGTTAAATGGTGTCATAATTTGAACAAACCGAGTCAATGTCAGTTAAATGGTGTCATAATTTGAACAAACCGAGTCAATGTCAGTTATTGTCATCTGCAGCCCAGGAACGTTGGCACCAGCCACAATGTTTTCATCCACGTAGGCCACGTAGTTGCTCTTGTCAAAGGTTGGTGTGTTGTCATCAATGTCATTCACTGTTATCTTAATGTGAACAACCGAGGTTGTAACTGGGTCGCCTCCCAGCTGAAGTGGATTGTTTGACAACACTTCCCTAGCCTAGAGGACCAGACAGAAATATGCACATTAGTTCATGCGTTAATGAGTTGTTTTTTTAAAGCTTTCAAATCTGTTTGTGTATTTGTGGCAAATCTTGTCACTGAATTTCAACCCATTCCTAATGCAACGATTTCATTCAAACATTTCAAACACATTCCTCTTTGATGACAAGAAAATCTACTGTTTAATTGACTTAGATACTACTACAATCATCAATAATAAAAGAAGATATAATCTCCAGCAATGACTTGATCAGTCTGTGTCAAACCATCAACTGTTTGTCATGGTTTCCACAGCATTAAGAACGGCAAACCATCAACTGTTTGTCATGGTTTCCACAGCATTAAGAAAGGCAAACCATCAACTGTTTCTCATGGTTTCCACAGCATTAAGAAAGGCAAACCATCAACTGTTTGTCATGGTTTCCACAGCATTAACAAGGGGTAAATTAACTGCCCTTATAAACTACTGATGGGGTTTTGAAACAAATACTTTTGGTAGTATGTGGTGTGCATTTCATTAATTACAAATTACTAAAGAGGTGAAATGAAAACAATATTAAAATATTAGTAATAAGCTTTTAAATTCACTGAAAATGAAAAAAATGAAAATATGCTAGCACTGGTTGCACGAAAATTCTCTACTCATTACTCTTTATTTTAAAATTAAAAGCATAGAGTTATTTTAGTTTTCAGTGCCGTATTGAAAAACTGATTCTTTTAGTTTTTATATTTGTTTTTTTATAAAGTTGATACAAGCACACTTACCACAATTGTTAAATCTAAAGGCTCAGTTTTTTTAAAGTTGATATTATCAAAATCAATTCTTGACTTGATGGTAATTTCACCAGTACCGGAGTTAATGGCAAATTCATCAGCTGTGTAGAAAAAAATGTTGTAAAAATTTAACTTCAGTTAAATCATGTTTGACATTTACAACTTCTGCTTAAGTTTTATATGTGGTCAACACTTCTTTCTAGGTTATAGCTAGGTTGTCATATTGGCAAGGTTAGGTGTAGTCCATCTGGACTTGTCACATTGGCAAGGTTAGGTGTAGTCCATCTAGACTTGTCATATTGGCAAGGTTAGGTGTAGTCCATCTAGACTTGTCATATTGGCAAGGTTAGGTGTAGTCCATCTAGACTTGTCATATTGGCAAGGTTAGGTGTAGTCCATCTAGACTTGTCATATTGGCAAGGTTAGGTGTAGTCCATCTAGACTTGTCATATTGGCAAGGTTAGGTGTAGTCCATCTAGACTTGTCATATTGGCAAAGTTAGGTGTAGTCCATCTAGACTTGTCATATTGGCAAGGTTAGGTGTAGTCCATCTAGACTTGTCATATTGGCAAAGTTAGGTGTAGTCCATCTAGACTTGTCATATTGTATTCAATCTAAGCATGTGAACAAAGAAAAGATGTGGCCTGACACAAATGGGAGTGGCCAGAGGTGAACTTACAACCAATCAGCTCATAGTAAATGCTCCTAGGGTTGGTCACATCTCCATCTACAGCTGACACTCTGTTCACTGATGTCCCCTGGAATTAAAAACAATACATGTGTTAATAGAAAACTTGGCCACTTTCATACCTTCTTTTCTAGAATTTTATGTGAATAGAAAACATGTTTTAAAAAAAGGAAAAAATGAGCAACTTACTATGGGCAATTCTTCATTAATTGTTTTTGGGTCTTTAGTAATCCAACGAGGGGGTGTGTCATTGATATCTGTCAGCTCAACGTGAACCTCAGTTGTTACGTTGTGAAGACCATCCTACACAATCATTTGGTGGTAAAGAAACAAAGCACTCAACATCTACAGAACCCAGGCAATGTTTAACATATCAAAAAGATTTACTTTCCTGTTTAACATATCAAATAGGTTTACTTTCCTGTTTAACATATCAAAGGTTTACTTTCCTGTTTAACATATCAAATAGGTTTACTTTCCTGTTTAACATATCAAATAGGTTTACTTTCCTGTTTAACATGCCAAATAGGTTTACTTTCCTGTTTAACATGCCAAATAGGTTTACTTTCCTGTTTAACATATCAAATAGGTTTACTTTCCTGTTTAACATATCAAATAGGTTTACTTTCCTGTTTAACATATCAAAAAGATTTACTTTAATTAGACTATGATAATCCCCTAGCTGCAGTATTTCAATTACAAACTCAATAACCAGAAGGTTTTTGCTACCTACGACTTGATGTAGGCACCCATCAGAGCTCAGGGGCTTTGTACAAATCTCTGTACAAATCTCAAGATTTTAATTGATTCTCTGTACAAATCTCAAGATTTTAATTGATTCTCTGTACAAATCTCAAGATTTTAATTGATTCTCTGCACAAATCTCAAGATTTTAATTGATTCTCTGTACAAATCTCAAGATTTTAATTGATTCTCTACACAAATCTCAAGATTTTAATTGATTCTCTGTACAAATCTCAAGATTTTATTGATTCTCTGCACAAATCTCAAGATTTTATTGATTCTCTGTACAAATCTCAAGATTTTAATTGATTCTCTACACAAATCTCAAGATTTTAATTGATTCTCTGTACAAATCTCAAGATTTTATTGATTCTCTGTACAAATCTCAAGATTTTATTGATTCTCTGTACAAATCTCAAGATTTTAATTGATTCTCTGTACAAATCTCAAGATTTTAATTGATTCTCTGTACAAATCTCAAGATTTTAATTGATTCTCTGTACAAATCTCAAGATTTTAATTGATTCTCTGTACAAATCTCAAGATTTTAATTGATTCTCTTTACAAATCTCAAGATTTTAATTGATTCTCTGTACAAATCTCAAGATTTTAATTGATTCTCTGTACAAATCTCAAGATTTTAATTGATTCTCTGTACAAATCTCAAGATTTTAATTGATTCTCTGTACAAATCTCAAGATTTTAATTGATTCTCTGTACAAATCTCAAGATTTTAATCAATTCTCTGTACAAATCTCAAAATTTTAATTGATTCTCTGTACAAATCTCAAGATTTTAATTGATTCTCTGTACAAATCTCAAGATTTTAGTTAAGCAAACTTAAGATCTGGCACTCAACAAGAAAATGACTTACAAAGGCCAAGAGTTGAATGGCATAGGATATTCTTGTTTCATAATCCAGCGGATTCTTGACCAGCAGGTTACCTTTCCAATACTTGTTGCTGTTTTCTGTCCTTCTAAGTTCAAATTTGTCACAGGCATCTCTAAACTGTTGGATGAAATCATCAGGTACATCAGAGCAAGTGATGTGTGACATAAGTGTGTGATGTGTGATGTAAGCTACCTATGTGTGATGTGTGATGTAAGCTACCAGTGTGTGATGGATGATGTGTGATGTAAGCTACCTGTGTGTGATGTGTGATGTAAGCTACCAGTGTGTGATGTGGGATGTAAGCTACCTATGTGTGATGTAAGCTACCTGTGTGTGATGTGTGATGTAAGCTACCTGTGTGTGATGTGTGATGTAACCTACCAGTGTGTGATGTGTGATGTAAGCTACCTATGTGTGATGTATGATGTAAGCTACCTATGTGTGATGTGTGATGTAAGCTACCAGTCTGTGATGTGTGATGTAAGCTACCAGTCTGTGATGTGTGATGTAAGCTACCAGTCTGTGATGTGTGATGTAAGCTACCAGTGTGTGATGTGTGATGTAAGCTACCAGTGTGTGATGTGTGATGTAAGCTACCAGTGTGTGATGTAAGCTACCAGTGTGTGATGTGTGATGTAAGCTACCAGTCTGTGATGTGTGACATCAGTGTGTGGTGAGTGACTTACCAGAAGTGTGTTACCCAGACAAGTTACAGTGATGATACTGTTTGCTACATCCAGGTCAGTGACCTCAATGTACGCCACAGAAGTTCCTACAGTAGCATTCTGCAAGGGAAAAGATTTACAATTGGCTTCATGGCACACAGTCTCAGGTGTGCTACATACTAGCTTTTAAAAGGTCCCACACTCAACACAAGAAAGTAGTTACCTCACTCAGACTCTTGAAGATTGCATTGTCAGCAAACACTGGCAAGTTGTCATTCTCGTCATTGATAAACACCTTCGTGTCCACCGTCTGGTAAGCGACAAATAAAATAGTTTTTAAGACTCCGGGGTTCCTGGCATAATGTTGTGGTAGGGGAAGATGTACATTAGAAGAGAAACTATGGATTAAAACCTGGAAGACTTACATTTGTCTGGCCATCTGTATCAACAACTCTTATAGTCATCTTGATTTCCTACAATAAATACAAGGCCAATTATAATCATTTCCTACAGACAAGGCCGATTAGTTGCTTAAAATTATTAGAGTTAGTCAAGTCCTTTAGTGACATGAAAATGTACTTCATATTTATGCCTTAATACATTAGGGAACAAAGATATTTAAACAACTAACATATGCAAATTCAAAATCCAAGAGTTTCTTGAGGGTGACAATCCCAGTGGTCTCACCACAAGCGAAGTAGCTGCCTCCATTGCCATCAATATAGTACTTGAGGGTGGAGCCGGGGTGGTCGGGGTCATTGGCTTGTATGGTGCCAATGGTTGTACCTACAGGACATTTATAGATGTCAGGGTTAGCGTGGTCTAATGTGTCATATGTCAGGGTTAGCATGGTCTAATGTGTCATATGTCAGGGTTAGCGTGGTCTTGATGTGTCATATGTCATAGCTTTATGTGGTCTAGATGTGTCATATGTCAGGGTTAGCGTGGTCTTGATGTGTCATATGTCAGGGTTAGCTTTATGTGGTCTAGATGTGTCATGTCAGGGTTAGCATGGTCTAGATGTGTCATATGTCAGGGTTAGCGTGGTCTAGATGTGTCATATGTCAGGTTAGCTTTATGTGGTCTTGATGTGTCATATGTCAGGGTTAGCTTTATGTGGTCTAGATGTGTCATATGTCAGGGTTAGCTTTATGTGGTCTAGATGTGTCATATGTCAGGGTCAGCTTTATGTGGTCTAGATGTGTCATATGTCAGGGTTAGCTTTATGTGGTCTAGATGTATCATATGTCAGGGTTAGCTTTATGTGGTCTAAATGTGTCATATGTCAGGGTTAGCTTTATGTGGTCTAGATGTGTCATGTCAGGGTTTGCTTTATGTGGTCTAGATGTGTCATATGTCAGCTTTATGTGGTCTAGATGTGTCATATGTCAGGGTTAGCTTTATGTAGTCTAGATGTGACATGTCAGCATGGTCTAGATGTGTCATATGTCAGCGTGGTCTAGATGTGTCATATGTCAGGGTTAGCGTGGTCTCTAGATGTGTCATATGTTGGGTAGTGAATTATGTATTCTAGAGGCGTCACAATGTCATGTAAAGCTCAAATAAAGATTATGAGGTTACCTATTGGCAGAGATTCACTCAAGTATTTGTTGTTTAGGGCTGAGTAATCTATGAACCTCGGAACAGAGTTTTGTGCAGACGTTTGCGCCACTGAAAATGTGAACAAAGATGTTGGCCACATTGAAAATGTGAATAACATTCTAACAAAGCATTTAACTGTTTTGTAAAATTTAATTTACCCTAATATTTATTTAGAAATAATCATGTCAAAAATGAAAGCAAAAGTTTTGAACTTACCTAACAATGTTAAACCCAAAATCCACATAATTAAGGGTACCATTATGAAACCTGAGAACAGAACCAAAAATATAAACTAGGAACTTTGACAATAAAATATAAACAGTGATTCAGTGAGTAGACCAAATGAAAAGAAAAAATGGACAGAAAGTTTCCCAAATCATTTAAAATATGCAGATAGGCCTTACAATTACAGTCTAACAATTGTTTATTAATCAAAAAGAATGGGCTGAATGGGAATTTATAAAAGTTTGCAGATCAAAAAATTACTTCATTCCTGCCTTAGTAATTAATAGTAATTAGGCCTATAAAAATAAAACTAATTACTAGATTATATCTAGATTATATTATTCTTAATATTCTCCTACTTATATATAATATATACTATATATATACTAGTATATACTATAGTATACTATACTATATACTATTATATATAGGCCTACTAAGTTACTAACTATTTTATAGTCTAGTTTTACTGTAGAAAATAAAACTTACTGTATTACACAGTAGGCCCAACAAGTTACACACCCTAAAAATGAAATTCTTACTAAAGCAAGGCCAATACAATACACGATTGCCATACATTCATTTCTATTTTTTGACACAGAAAATAATGCATTTAGAAACCGGTTTGACAACATTGTTATTGTGATGGGAGGTACCATTGCTAAAATCAAAATTAAAACAGGCAACATATAAAAAATTAATTCAATGTTGTTTTTTATAATTTTTTAAAATTAAATAAATGCGACTATTTGAAAATTTTAAAATCTTTTTTTTTAAATATTGTTAATTTTTGCATATCTACTTAAGTTTAATATAAAGAGTAAGAATCTAATATCTAGCCAATTTGTTTCCCTCATATTTTTATCCTAGTTCTATAATTTAAATGGCAGCCTCCTTAACAGGGTTATTTTTGGACTGGATAAACCGGTGTAGACAGTAAATAGCTACTAAATAAATAGCTGAAACAAATGAAAGTTTTAATCAGTCAGCTGCAGTAAAAAAAAATTGAAAATGTAATATTATAATAATTATATCATCCGAATATCAATATTTTGTGAGGAAATAATTTCTAGATCTTGACCGTATTCCGTTCTAATAACAAACTGCTATTAATATATATTCCTAGATCTATAACAAAACTAAAATTAAACCCTGTCTTAATCGTGCATTGATCGTGCAATTTTTAGTTTAAAAAAATAAAGCTACTAAATATTTCACATAGGTTGTGATACTGTTAACAAAATGTATACTTTCGTTTAAATTGTAAAATTATTTTAAAATATATCGTTGTTCTAATTGATGAATGTTGAGTAGACTGCCGTAATAGCGACATTGTCAGTAATGCAGACAGAGCCGGCGTTAGGGGTACGCGGGGCCTAGGGCCAACCATCCGCGCGGGGCCGTATATTTTTCCACTGGCATTGGTGTCTAAAACATGTACAATTAGGCGTTTTTTTTTTTCTCAACGCGAATTAATATTTATAACGATATATTTGGTATTTTTCAGCTGCTTATCAATGTCGTATATTAGTTTTAACATAAAGACACTGATTAAAAAATAATTTGGTTTACTTAGAAGTGCTTTTGAAATGTTGCTCGTTTCTGTTTAAGCTTTTTGTTTGAAAAATACAAAAAATAAAACATATATAAGTTCGAGACACGCTTTAAAGAAACGATGAACGTCAGCTTCATACTTGATTTTTTACATTAATGTTTATTTATGAAAATCTTACAAGTACGTTCACAAACGAAGATCTACTTTTCTTGCCTTTCGTGAAAAAAATTCTTTGATTATATCATCATAGTCCTAATTGGAGACAATGTCTTTTTCTATTGACAGAATCGACAAGCCGCAGAGCCTGTCTTGGGACATCGTTGATACATGTTCCCTTCTTCTTCTTCGTTCTTAATTATTAGTGTTGAAGGGGATCGAGATTTATCTGCCGTGGGTTTGTTCGAATTTATCAACCATGAGCTTATTGCCGACTCGACCACGCCTCCAACACAATTAAGCGTTACGTGTCAACTGGTTATGCGCCATTGAGGCCATTGACTCCGATTTCAGCCTGCTTTTCTTTTTGGATTTGCTTCCATAGCCTTTGTCCAACCAAGAACAAACTACAAGGCAGCAGTTGTTTAATTTTGGAGTTGTCTCTCCTAGAAGAGTGGCTGTCCCCAGCTAACGAGCCTCATCTGCCAGAGGGTTCGAACTCGAGACTTTTCGGTTTAGCAACCATGAGCTTTACCGTTCTAAAATATAAAAATAAATACAAGTATAATGTATTTAAAGATGACCTGACAATATATAAAATGAATATGAACATAATTACTGTATGGATGCCTATCAAACGTATCGTGGTGAATATGCATAATTACACAAAAGATGCCCATACAGTGTATAAATTATGATTTTAGAGATAAATACTCTGGATGTCCGGGACATGTCCCCATCCGCTCTCCCCCCCCCCCTCCTCCTCTGCAAGCCATCATCAGGTCACTGACTGTTTACTACAGGCACCCCCGCCTGCTCACTAAAAAAAACATTTTCAACCGTCCGCATACAATAGGGTATCTCTTTACGTGTGATCCCGATTTTTACCTCCCATATCAGGTCGGGGGCTAATTCGCGACCGCCATCTCCAGTCACCTCAGGACAATTGCGAGTCGACTGTGCCAGCGATGTGTGACACTAATATCTTTCTTTAGAATAACGGTCTGTACCAGTCCATGTAGAGGATAACTCACTAACATCAGCCGTGGCCTCAGTTTTAAGGGGGAAGGCTCTGGTAAAAAAAAACGTTTTTAATACTTGTTAGAAAACAGTTATTTCTTTACAGCTTTATTAAGATACATCCGCATATGCATTTCCACAAAAAAAAAATTGGTGGAAAAATCTTGGTAACTATGACAACGGCGGCCATCTTGAAAAATTAACCCCTTCGTAGGTTTTTCACCATTCATAACATATTACATTTTAAGCCAAATAAACCAGGGGTCTCCAAACAGCGGCCCGCGAGGTCCTCTCATCCGGCCCGCGGAGATCATTTTGTCCACGGAAAAAAACGTTTGTTGTTGATGGCTAAGGGACTTTGCCCAGAAAAGTCAAAGACATGCCTGGAAGAAACTGGCCCCCGAACTGAAATTTTATAGTTAATGCGGCCCTCAGACTGAAAAGTTTGGAGACCCCTGATAATCTTCTTCCATATTTTGGGGCACTCAGCTAAAAAATTTAAGTGCATATCTTCAAACTAATTTTTTATGAATTTTCAAAATTTGTGTCCGTTTAAAACACTAATTTTAATGCCCCATTTAGAGGGTGACACCAAACCATAAAATTGCAAAATGTACAGAAGAAAAATGCCTTTTTTTTTGCCAGATCCATTAGTGATCAATTAAAGTTGAATAGTTTTTTAAGTACAAAGACTGTATTATTAACAGACTATAGATAAACAAACTATGTTTCTTGGGGCAGGGGGTGACACTGCAGTAGTGTTATATGACTAAAGGCCGGAAGCATGCCAATTTGAAGGTAAAGCAGGGTATTAGTGTAGTGCTTACAATCTTATGAAGTTTCCAAAGTATTGCATTCAAAATAAAACTTTAAACTTGGTTCTCAGAATATTTATTCAAAATAATGTATAGAACTTCTGTCCACACATATGGCTGCGACTCTTGCCCTTGATGACACGCGTTGTCTCCCTTACATCATTGTTTCCATCCCCGTGGCTCATGTTAGTCCAACGACCTAGATCTAGATACAAATCATATATCGGTCGGTCATACAATCAGTTCCAATCGTGCGGCAAAACAAAAAAAAAAAAAGCTGATGTAGGTAGGGTCAGCTTGTGATGCGTGCAGTGTTTCTTCCAGACTTTTTTCTCCGGCGGGGGGGGGGGGGGGGGAAGGGGGGGGGCACTTATAAAAGTATATATTTTCTATATTACGTTGGGGGGGGGGGGTAGTGGTAGACTTCCTTCTGGGTGGGGAATGCCTTGAAGAAACTCTAGAAGCGTGTTTATGCGATCAACCTAAATAAACCTTCAAGAGAGTCTTGCTGTATCAACTTTTTCTGTGTGAGGTTTTTCAATTAACAGGTCTAGATCTAATAATTAAATTTTGCTTGAAAAATCGACTGTTCTAGTGTATTTTTTATGGGTACTTCCTGGCGAATCCTGAAAAGATTTGTCTGGAAGATGTTGAAAATTGGAGTAAAATAAAAATAAAAAGTGCAGATCTGCAGCTTAAAGCAATTGCTGCCATTAAAAAAGGCTCACTTTTGACGTTTTGGGCTAAACATACAACATCTGTTTCTACAGCTACGAATAAGGAAACAGCCTACGATGTGACTAAAGAAATACCCAATAGGTCATTGAAGTCAGATGAAAAGGTGCTCGATGCTCGTCAGTGTTTCTTTTAGACTTTTTCTCCAGGGGTGGTAGACGTGCTCGGGATGGGGGGGGGGGGGCGATGAGGCAGTGTCGCCAAGAGATACCTGAAAGAAACACTGATGCTCATGACGTCAGTGGTTTCAAACCCTCTACCAGCAAACTATCAACAGCTAAGCACGCTACTGTCCAGATAAATTCACAGATTGAGATTCTGAATTCTGATCTAGTCGGCTTGTATGAGCGACAAACTCGCGGAATGTTAACGCATGAACAGATCATGGAGCTTACAGAAAAAAAGCAGTGAAAGAGTGATTTGGAAATAAGCTAAAGAGAAAGATATCTTATCAAATAAAATGTCTGAAAACTCTTGAAAAGAAAATAAAGAGTTGTCCATATATATATATATATATATATATATATATATATATATATATATATATATATATATATATATATATAATTCTGGAAAAAAATTGACCCCCCCCCCAATGAGTCAGTCTTGACTGATTTTTTTTTCTTATAGGTAGTAAAGCACATTGCGTTTGAACCAATAGCTGTTTTATAAAATACGAGCCGATCCCCGGCGTATCATACGCTGCTATTTAGTTGTTTTATTTTCTACCTTTCAGTAATTCATAATTTGTGAATTCGACAGTACCAATGCTGCCACTGAAAATATGTTCTTTAAGGACGATAACCCCCCTCCTTTCCCCCAACACCTACCCCCCCTCTTAGTTACCTCCCCTAAGCTTAAAATCGTTTCAAACTAAATTATCTGCCCCTAATAGCCGTCACTAAACCCGGTTCTACGATTGTAAACATTTAGCGTGAACCATAGCTCACCAGACCATGTGGGGGTGGGGGTGGTAGGGATATGCCTAGAGAGGAAGAGAGGGGGCTGCTAGGCGCGCTTACAGCTTGGTGTTTTCTATGGTATCCATAAAGAGAATTATATATATCGATTTTTCTCAAACAAGTTTAATAACATTAAAATATATAGGCATATAATTCACGTGTAACGGGTACCGACGGCTAGTGCATCACCTAGAAGAGTTAGTGTCCATGCTTGGAACGAATGAAGTAGGCTTTATAAGTTAAGATGACAAGGCCAGTGTTCCTCTTGGGTTAACTAAAAAACGGAGTCCGTGAGCTTGCCTGACCATGACTGGGTTGTGGCTGCTGGACATAAGCCGATCCCTTCAGTTTATGCCGGGATAAAAATTCAGCCCAACGCCTTGAGAAATCGAGAAGCTGTTGGAAACTCCGGCCCAACATACATATCAATCAGATCTGGTAAACATTCCTCATCCACAGCACTTAGTCATGGACTTGATTTTGAGAAATAACGTATTTCTACTATTTACAGTTTACATGAATATGGTGAAATCACAAGCATGTTTCCCAGAAACATGCGTAATCGCAAAACTTCGCAACGGAAAACAGAGCAAACAGAAAAATGCGCAAATACAAAACTGATTATACTTATACAATTTAATTTTGACTTATTTCGCAGAAATATGATGTAGGCCTACTTATTTTTGAGATGCAAAAAAAAAAAAAAATTGACTCTGTTTTTCCCACGTTTTCTTTAACTTGCTTTCGCCTCTGTTTGTTTGTTTTTCCAATCAAATCTTGCGATCGAAATTTCGGGCACTTCCCAGTTAGCTAGCGCGCTGAAATTTTCAGGGAAGCTTTGTTTCGGATGACAATAAAATATTCAACTGTTATTATTACTAAATTGATCCATGGAAACATTTTATTGATCATTTTATACCCCTATATAATTGTACAAAAAACGTGGGGAAAAAGGGACATAACCCAGTAACTGTAATATGATGAAAACAAGGTTCGGTACTCTCCCTCTTTTTGCTTACTGAGTAGTTATCACGCGGTGTTTGTCTACAAACAACCAGACCGTAACAACTGGTGGCCAGTATGGGGGAGACGATATGGTCGAGTGGTTGGGCACACGATTGCTAACCCACTCGACACGGGTTCAAATCAATGTGTTCTAGTCAGTAACGTATTCACACAACGTGTTTTTTACGAGTTGTCTTTTTACGAGTTGTCTTCGTTTACCCAAAAAAAAAAGTGAAAAGATAAAATCGATAGCAAACAAACAGACAAAGACTAAAAAAAGTAGAAAATAATAATCATTAAAAAAGTTTTAAAAAACCCACGTTTTCTGATTGAACTAAAAAGTAGAAAATAAATGCTATACATCACAATAATGCAAGCGATCACTCTACTATAAGCGATGAAAAACGTGGGGCGCCGTGATTTTCTTACAGTTTCTAATACTGTTGACTCTCTACAAGCTCCCTAATAAAAGTCAATAGTATTATCTAATCAGTGTTTCTTCCAGACTTTTTTCTCCGGGGGGGCACTTGAAATCTTCGGGGGGGGGGGGGGCGGTAAATTTTCTTCGGGGGGGCGGACACTGCTAAAAGTATATATTTTCTATATAAATTATATAAATTTCATTTCGTTCGGGGGGGGCGGTAAAAAATTTTCGGGGGGGGGGCTTCGCCCCCCCCCCCCCCGAAGAGATGCCTGGAAGAAACTCTGTATCTAATCAATGGTAATATAACTTTTACTTCGGCGCCCCACGTTTTTCATCGCTTATAGTAGAGTGATCGCTTGCATTATTGTGATGTATAGCATTTATTTTCTACTTTTTAGTTCAATCAGAAAACGTGGGTTTTTTAAAACTTTTTTTAATGATTATTATCTATGTATATGTGTTTGTGTTGAATTCAAAACATTGTGTTTGTGACAATACTTTTACAGATATAACCTCTCAAACATGGCAACTTTTACGGTTTTTGAAAAAAAAGAGTTAAAATCCAACTTTTTAAAACGTTTGACACCCCTGGACGTTTAATTCACCATCTATATCACTCATTAGGGATTTGTGTGTGTGTGTGTGTGTGTGGTGGGGGAAGGGAAGGTCGTTGGGGCACCACAGTTTACTTCATAATTATTCACCATCCATCTCTGACCTCTGATACTTTGATTATTCAATAATTAATGTCATCCACCCTGTGTCGCCTTTTGCCTTCCCCATTATTCAATAATTAATGTCATCCACCCTGTGTCGCCTTTTGCCTTCCCCATTATTCAATAATTGATGTCATCCACCCTGTGTCGCCTTTTGCCTTCCCCATTATTCAATAATTAATGTCATCCACCCTGTGTCGCCTTTTGCCTTCCCCATTATTCAATAATTGATGTCATCCACCCTGTGTCGCCTTTTGCCTTCCCCATTATTCAATAATTGATGTCATCCACCCTGTGTCGCCTTTTGCCTTCCCCATTATTCAATAATTGATGTCATCCACCCTGTGTCGCCTTTTGCCTTCCTCATTATTCAATAATTAATGCCATCCACCCTGTGTCGCCTTTTGCCTTCCCCATTATTCAATAATTGATGTCATCCACCCTGTGTCGCCTTTTGCCTTCCCCATTATTCAATAATTGATGTCATCCACCCTGTGTCGCCTTTTGCCTTCCCCATTATTCAATAATTGATGTCATCCACCCTGTGTCGCCTTTTGCCTTCCCCATTATTCAATAATTGATGTCATCCACCCTGTGTCGCCTTTTGCCTTCCCCATTATTCAATAATTGATGTCATCCACCCTGTGTCGCCTTTTGCCTTCCCCATTATTCAATAATTAATGTCATCAACCCTGTGTCGCTTTTTGCCTTCCTCATTATTCAATAATTGATGTCATCCACCCTGTGTCGCCTTTTGCCTTCCTCATTATTCAATAATTAATGCCATCCACCCTGTGTCGCCTTTTGCCTTCCCCATTATTCAATAATTGATGTCATCCACCCTGTGTCGCCTTTTGCCTTCCCCATTATTCAATAATTGATGTCATCCACCCTGTGTCGCCTTTTGCCTTCCCCATTATTCAATAATTGATGTCATCCACCCTGTGTCGCCTTTTGCCTTCCCCATTATTCAATAATTAATGTCATCCACCCTGTGTCGCCTTTTGCCTTCCTCATCTTCTCCCTCCTGGAACAATTTATTGCAATATTTTTTGGATAGTGATCAGGCTGTTTGATGCTGTTTGATGCTGTTTGATGCTGTTTGATGCTGTCTGATGCTGTTTGATGCTGTTTGATGCTGTTTGATGCCCATATCAACTCGACTTTCTTATGTTAACTATGCTCAGTAGACTCTCACAAGAGACTAATCTGCGTAGACGACTCATCTCCAGGGCCTGGATTCTTCTCTGGAGGTCTGCGTTGATGGTCCATGCCTTGCATCCACACAGGGTACGTTGATGGTCCATGCCTTGCATCCACACAGGGTACGTTGATGGTCCATGCCTTGCATCCACACAGGGTACGTTGATGGTCCATGCCTTGCATCCACACAGGGTACGTTGATGGTCCATGCCTTGCATCCACACAGGGTACGTTGATGGTCCATGCCTTGCATCCACACAGGGTACGTTGATGGTCCATGCCTTGCATCCACACAGGGTACGTTGATGGTCCATGCCTTGCATCCACGCAGGGTACATTGATGGTCTATGTCTTGCATCCATACAGGAGAACAGACACCACCAGAGACCAATAGAAGTGTTGTTGTCATGCCAAATATTTCTTAGTTTACTGAGTGCTGTTGTTGTTTGCTTCATTCCTTCATCGGACTAGTATGGCGCCAAGATACATGAATGAAAGAAATACCTCCAATCTTTGTCCATTTCCATGTAGTATAAGTTTGCTCTGGATTTGTTGTTGACTTTGTGCAACAAGTCAGAGCACATCTGCGAAATCCAAAATTTTCATGTGTCCGCCAGATTCCGTTTGTTTCTTGTAGTGTGGTTCATTATTCAATCAATCAGTCAACCAAATACCCTTGTCTCACTCCTATGTGTACTTTAAATCTGAAATTTCGCTATTGTGCATCACATCGAAATTATGGTACAATATTATTTTTTATTTTTTTAAAAGAATAAATGGTAGTAGCTATATCAGAACAACACGCCAATTTTGTTTTGCATTGGAAAATTTAAAATAAACATTTTTACAATTAATTGCGGGCCCTTAATTGACGCTTAAAGTATTTAAAAAAAAACAACAACCGAACACCGTATATTTATTATCATGAGGGCTAAACACTAAACAGGGCTAAACTAAATGTCGGACAGCCTCTTGAGCTTTTGTTATTAATTTTCAATTTCCCTATAATCTGATCGGTCTGCCCCTTCCCCATTGCGGGGGTTTCACCCCTGTTGTCTAGTCTAGCTCTATATAATTTTGTGGAAACCGGTTTGTTCACTTTGACAAACTGGTTTTTAAAAAAGTTAGTTTAAAATATTGCCGAAAAGCAATTTAAAACGAGCATTATTTTAAAAAGTATTTTTTACAAACAGAAAAAATCTTTAAAACTTAATGCCATTTTCACTATAGAGATCAATTTTAAAATATCCCCGAAAATTACACTAACATTCAAAATAATTAATTTGTAAGAATATTTATTTTCAGATGTATAGTTTCATTCGTTTTTTTAAACCACTGTAGATCTAGTTAAAATGGCGGCCTCCCATGAATACGATTTGTTTATGTTTATTTTTGGACTTGCCAAACCGGTATTCCAGTACTGTCAATGTGTAGAGCTGAAGGGTGTGCTGGGTGTGCTTTACACTTGTTTTGTTTTCTCTAGTATATGGCTCGTCTCTATCATTTCAACCAAGGTATGCTTTATTTATTTAATAAAAATATAGATCTAGGCGAGTTAACTGCGAAGTTTATTATTTTTTAATAATTTTTATTAGGCTAGGCCCTAGGCCTATAAAAAAACGGCCCGTAACGTAACGACCGTATTGTCATCAATAGGTCAATAGTCAATAGTAGTTAATTAATAGGCCTTGGTTAATTATTGATAGTTATTAATTAGGTCGGTCATCTATCATTTTAGGTACTTAAAATCGACCAATGTGAAAAAAGGTGACTCATTAGTTAGGCCAAAATTTTAGTAGCCGTTTTTTCACATTTTTAGGAATATTTTATCTTTTGAAAGTACAAAAATGTTTCAAAGTTTCATTCATGTAAGTAGAGTTTAGTAGAGTAACATTACCATTCCCTAACACCCTTAGCCCGAAACGGAGACTCCTTTCCGGTTCGAGACAACTAATTCCGTTACTATTTGACATAGAATGAAAACCAAAGCATAGAAATACTCTCCATCCAAAGAAGAATAAAAATATGTATTCCCTTTTTTTCATTCGCAATATAACTTTTAAATATATGCCCCCGAAACCGACGACTCAAGTCGTCCTGGACCCGAACACAATTTTCCTGGTTTTGCCTCCACCAGATTGGTCTTTCCTCCATCTGACTAAGTCATATTTTGCTGTTTTTTTCAGCTCAGTTGAATAAATAATCTTGTACTATCAATATTTTATGTGTTTAGTTTTGTGTTTCAGTGTGTATTTGTTTTTAAATGCCAAAAATAATATAATTTATAACAATGGAAAAAAAAAATAATAGAGGAGATAACTCTTCCCAATAGAATGCTAGAATAATTACTGTGTTATGGTTTACTATAGGTCATCGGGTCCAGGCAAAGCACGAAAATTTTCAGCCTCCTTACGACTACCCCCCAAAAAAATGTATTTAGTAAAGAAAATAGGATTTTTATAAACATATGTTCTGTAGCCTATCCCATTCAATTTCAGTTCATTTTTTCGGAAAAAAAACTAAACATTGTTTTTAAAAGACGCTAAGTTGGGAAGAGGCTTTGCTTGTCCCAGCAACATAAAAATTGCCGCCTACATGACTGTTGCTTTTAATTGCCCATATCCCACTGTGGGTAATTCAATGGATCAAAATTTGATATGAATGGACTTATAAATGAACATATGTGCTACCAATTCTAATGTTTTTGTATAAAACATTCAAATAACAGTTCAATTACTACAATTACTATTCAAAGTGAGAGTTTGGGAGGTGTTCAGGTCGAGGCGCACAGTCGGGCAGGGCAGAGTTACTCTTGATCTAGATCTCTCTATCTGTTTTTAAACATTTGTATTAAAACTTTTCAGTAATAAATAAAGGGTAAAACCTTAGTTTAGCATGGTAAATTGAGCCAAAACTAGTTATGTGGGGGAGAGGGAATTAATGAATATGACTCTGTTTTATGACTTTAACCCTTTATTTACGGAATTAGGTTCTGAATGAAATTTTTTCTTAAACAATGTGTTATCTATTGCTTTTGGCACACTAAAAGCACATGTCGAAGGAAATTTTGTTTCATACATTTTTAATGGCCCAAACAGATATTGGTACTTATAAGTACCGTCAGGAATCTAGGACATTTTTTCCAAAAAATAAAAAATGTACAAAACAGGAACAAAAGATACAATTTATTAACTGATAACATTGAAATCATTACAACAATAATTTTTTTTTTAATTTTCACACATAAACACAGCACAAAAGTATATTTTGAGTAAGATTTTTACTGGATTTTCTATCGGAACACATCTTAGACCTCAAACACAGCATTAGGTGTCGACATATCATGCTCCTCCCTCATTCAGCATTGACATATTCTTGTCTGTGGTCTTTCTGGTGTGGTAAAAGTTGCTGGACTGAACCTACTTTTGAAGGAAGCTTCCAATAGCTATTACAATGAGCCGTATAAACAAATATTTTTAAAATGAAAGCCTAGTCATTCAGTACGCTACTATTAGCAATATTAGTATAATTGTAGCCTACTAGAATGTTATGACAAGTCTAAACTACAGGATGAAGTTCATCAATCAAAGTGAGCTCAATGTGTTTAGGATAGCCATAGTGGCTTACTGTTTTATGTTTACTGATTAAAATTTACAAAACGATCTATATTATATGCAGATGTATGGACTATTACTAGTCTTCAGGTATACATTACGTGCATGCAAGTTCTTGTAGGCAAAACAGTTTTTTGCAATAAATATAACTAACAAATCTTACTACTAGAACTAGACTTTGGCATACAAATAAAGTGTACTAAACCTAGTAAACTAGCCTGCAACTGCTACATTTATTCTTGTTATTCTTTTACTACTTGAAATATGCATTTAATTACAATATTTCATAAGCAAACCTTCTTATGAATGTATAAATATCACTTTTTGAAAACATTTCGATAATAAATTATCAAAATAATATTTATGTCACTACACATAAAAAATCTGCCATTTCCAAGTAATGGGGGGGGGGGGGGGGATCTACCACAGAGATATAAAAAAAATGAATGAAAGCTGGAAGCAAACAAAGCGGTTACAGAAAATTGTGTAGTATTTAAATAATTAAGTATCATACTTACAAAATTCATAGCTTATAAAAAGTGTAGGCTTAATAGTGAAAGTCTACTGTTAGATAAAATAAACAGGCCTAAATGTATCACCAATAAATGATGTCATTCTTTTTAAAAATAAAGCCTTGTTGTAGGTTGTATGTGGTCATAATTTTGAGAGTTGCAATTCCTAGGAGTTTTTCTCATGTATTCGAATAAATGTGAAAGGTATTATTCCTACAAAGTTCAGACAAGTCATTATTTTATAAAGTCAATTCTTATGTTTATAAAAAAATGATTTTTGCCTTGCAGCTATTTTCTTTTACTTTGATAAATAACAATTTACCCTTTTAGTATTGTGATATACAATACATTATCTTATGTCAGTTTGATAGCTATGCTTTTTTATGATTTTAAAATTTTCAAGCCTATTCAAGAATGTTATTAAAAGTTGTTTCACTGCACACTTTTGAATAGAATGTTTCTTTATATTAACAATTTTAGATAAGGACCTATAGACCTACAAATGGGACCTGGCTGTCTATGTTTGATTGCTCTCTATGCAGGTGAAGTTGTCTTAGCAAACATTTGTTACAAATTTATTCAAATAAATGCTTTTTTTAATTCATCTCATTTGTCTGGAGATGCATCTCTTACTGTAAACATTCTTTTTTTTTTATCCACACTTAGGTTTGAGTCATATAGTACAAGGTAAGTTTTAAAAATTTCAGTTACATTTTTCTTTGTCTGTGTTTGGTCATTGCTCCCTTTTATTTGAAGCTATTTGAAGCAGCCACTTGATGATTGAAATATTTGCCAATTCTCTAGGTCAAAACCAACCACCTACATGGGATGTATCATCTATAAGTGTCTTCCCACAAGGCTTCAGTGAAGCCACTCCATTAGGTAAGCTCTAGATATTGTCTCGCTCACATTGTTAACCACTGTTGAGTTTTCATTGAAAAGTGCCCATATAAAAGCTTGTTATTAAAATTTTAAATTACTAGCACAGTATATCTTCTTTCTTCTTCTTCGATCTTAATTTTTAGTGTTGGAAGGGGATCGAGCCTTATCTGCCAGAGGGTTAACTCGAGACTTTTTCGAATTTATCAACCATGAGCTTTTGCCGACTCGACCACGCCTCCTTCACAATTAAGGATACGTGTCAACTGGTTATGCGCCATTGAGGCCATTGACTCAGATTTCAGCATGCTTTTCTTTTTGGATTTGCTTCCATAGCCTTTGTTAAACCAAGAACAAACTACAAGGCAGCAGTTGTTTTGATTTTGGAGTTGTCTCTCCTAGAAGAGTTGCTGTCCCCAGCTAAGAAGCCTCATCTGCCAGAGGGTTCGAACTCTAGACTTTTCGGTTTAGCAACCATGAGCTTTACCGACTCGACCACGCCGACCCCTATAGTATATCTAATTATCTATATTTACATTTCAATTCTGCTCAGTGTCCACAAACGATAGAAGGGCAGACATTGGAAGTAGTGAATCTGTTTACCATGTGTTTTCTCTTACAGGAACTCCATTGGCTAACTTAAAATGTGTTTGTTTACCATGTGTTTTCTCTTACAAGAACTCCATTGGCTAACTTAAAATATGTTTGTTTACCATGTGTTTTCTCTTACAGGAACTCCATTGGCTAACTTAAAATGTAATGACCCAGAAGGTGACCCCATTACTTACATCCTGAGGCTGGGCAACAATGTCAGGGTGTTTGCTAATGGAACTTGTGTGCTCTCAGGAAAACTAGACTTTGAGGTCAGCATTTTTTCTATTGTTTGCCACGTTTGAACAGTGTACATTGATAAGCCTTCACATCCTTGGGTTTGTTGTATGAAAACCTTGAGTGTACATTGATAAGCCTTCACATCCTTGGGTTTGTTGTATGAAAACCTTGAGTGTACATTGATAAGCCTTCACATCCTTGGGTTTGTTGTATGAAAACCTTGAGTGTTCATTGATAAGCCTTCACATCCTAGGCTTTGTTGTATGAAAACCTTGAGTGTACATTGATAAGTCTTCACATCCTAGGGTTTGTTGTATGAAAACCTTGAGTGTACATTGATAAGCCTTCACATCCTAGGCTTTGTTGTATGAAAACCTTGAGTGTACATTGATAAGCCTTCACACCCTAGGGTTTGTTGTATGAAAACCTTGAGTGTACATTGATAAGCCTTCACACCCTAGGGTTTGTTGTATGAAAACCTTGAGTGTACATTGATAAGCCTTCACACCCTTGGGTTTGTTGTATGAAAACCTTGAGTGTACATTGATAAGTCTTCACATCCTAGGGTTTGTTGTATGAAAACCTTGAGTGTACATTGATAAGCCTTCACATCCTAGGCTTTGTTGTATGAAAACCTTGAGTGTACATTGATAAGCCTTCACACCCTAGGGTTTGTTGTATGAAAACCTTGAGTGTACATTGATAAGCCTTCACACCCTTGGGTTTGTTGTATGAAAACCTTGAGTGTACATTGATAAGTCTTCACATCCTAGGGTTTGTTGTATGAAAACCTTGAGTGTACATTGATAAGCCTTCACATCCTAGGCTTTGTTGTATGAAAACCTTGAGTGTACATTGATAAGCCTTCACACCCTAGGGTTTGTTGTATGAAAACCTTGAGTGTACATTGATAAGCCTTCACACCCTTGGGTTTGTTGTATGAAAACCTTGAGTGTACATTAAGCCTTCACACCCTAGGGTTTGTTGTATGAAAACCTTGAGTGTACATTGATAAGCCTTCACACCCTAGGGTTTGTTGTATGAAAACCTTGAGTGTACATTGATAAGCCTTCACACCCTAAGGTTTGTTGTATGAAAACCTTGAGTGTACATTGATAAGCCTTCACACCCTAGGGTTTGTTGTATGAAAACCTTGAGTGTACATTAAGCCTTCACACCCTAGGGTTTGTTGTATGAAAACCTTGAGTGTACATTGATAAGCCTTCACATCCTAGGGTTTGTTGTATGAAAACCTTGAGTGTACATTGATAAGTCTTCACATCCTAGGGTTTGTTGTATGAAAACCTTGAGTGTACATTAAGCCTTCACACCCTAGGGTTTGTTGTATGAAAACCTTGAGTGTACATTGATAAGCCTTCACACCCTAGGGTTTGTTGTATGAAAACCTTGAGTGTACATTAAGCCTTCACACCCTAGGGTTTGTTGTATGAAAACCTTGAGTGTACATTGATAAGCCTTCACACCCTAGGGTTTGTTGTATGAAAACCTTGAGTGTACATTGATAAGCCTTCACATCCTAGGGTTTGTTGTATGAAAACCTTGAGTGTACATTGATAAGCCTTCACACCCTTGGGTTTGATGTATGAAAACCTTGAGTGTACATTGATAAGCCTTCACATCCTTGGGTTTGTTGTATGAAAACCTTGAGTGTACATTGATAAGCCTTCACATCCTTGGGTTTGTTGTATGAAAACCTTGAGTGTACATTGATAAGCCTTCACACCCTAAGGTTTGTTGTATGAAAACCTTGAGTGTACATTGATAAGCCTTCACATCCTAGGCTTTGTTGTATGAAAACCTTGAGTGTACATTGATAAGCCTTCACACCCTAGGGTTTGTTGTATGAAAACCTTGAGTGTACATTGATAAGCCTTCACATCCTAGGCTTTGTTGTATGAAAACCTTGAGTGTACATTGATAAGCCTTCACATCCTAGGGTTTGTTGTATGAAAACCTTGAGTGTACATTGATCAGCCTTCACACCCTAGGCTTTGTTGTATGAAAACCTTGAGTGTACATTAAGCCTTCACACCCTAGGGTTTGTTGTATGAAAACCTTTCCAATGGTGAAGTAGGTAGGACACCCCCTGACAACCACCCAGATGTTAGGGTGTTGAGGGCAACCACCCAGATGTTAGGGTGTTGAGGGTACTCCTGCAGTTAGACAACTACAGCCATCCAGGGTGGCAGCACAAGTTGAGTCAGGGACTGTTGTAGCCCACAATATCCCTAGTGTAAGGAGCCATGAGTCTAGTCAGGGACTGTTGTAGCCCACAATATCCCTAGTGTAAGGCACCATGAGTCTAGTCAGGGACTGTTGTAGCCCACAATATCCCTAGTGTAAGGAGCCATGAGTCTAGTCAGGGACTGTTGTAGCCCACAAAATCCCTAGTGTAAGGCACCATAGTGGGGAGCACAGGGCACCTCTTGTTGTAATACCCTTGACCCCATCTGCAGGATGCCCAGGTGCGAAGTTAGTGGCATCTGTTTAGTAAATGGTGGCGCTATTGGGGTCAATAAAAAGCTGAAGAGTTAAATGTGAAAACTTCAATAATTACTTCAATTTTGTGTTTGAATTATTGAAAACTTCAATAATTACTTCAACTTTGTGTTTGAATTATTGAAAACTTCAATCATTACTTCAACTTTGTGTTTGAATTATTGAAAACTTCAATACTTCGATAATTGCTTGATTTATTTTCAGGCTAAAGATCCTTTTGGTTATGATCTGGTGTTTGAATTATTTTCAGGCTAAAGATCCTTTTGGTTATGATCTGGTGTTTGAATTATTTTCAGGCTAAAGATCCTTTGGGTTATGATCTGGTGTTTGAATTATTTTCAGGCTAAAGATCCTTTGGGTTATGATCTGGTGTTTGAATTATTTTCAGGCTAAAGATCCTTTGGGTTATGATCTGGTGTTTGAATTATTTTCAGGCTAAAGATCCTTTGGGTTATGATCTGACTTTCGCTTGTGTGGATGTAAACAATGTTGGTCAATATCTTCATGAATGGGTAACTCTAATTTTGTTTGATATAAATTAGTCAAGAATTGCCTTTTATTAAAACAAAAGTGTCAAAAGAAAACTAAAACATTGTATACTACAACAGCTATGATTATACACATTTTTTCATGAAAGGTATTTTGCTTTTTTTTGGCTAGCATAATTTCTTTAAATTCATTAACTTGCACACCATTATTTTCTGTTTCTTCATGTATTTGCTAAAACACTTATTTTTAAATAGACACATTTTTGTTCATGCATTATGTGTTTATTAAGTATGATTACTATAATACATAGTTTAAAATTAAATATGGCTTTTGTAACAAAGACATTTATTGAAGCAAGTCTGTATATTTGTTAAGGTTGAAATCCGCACACAAATCAGTGTTAACGATGCTAATGACAACCCACCCAAATTTGAAACTGATAGTGTTGAAGGATACTCCTTTTACATTTCTGAGGTAGGTTGTAATGTAAGGACTGGTTCAAGGATTTAGGTTTCTATAGTGGACAAAGTTACCAATATATTATTTAATTGGGCAAATGTAAATATATTATATTGCTGTGCTAAAGATTGTGTTGAGGCGTCTCTACCTCAGTCCACCTAGATCAGACAGGTACTGGCTTGGCACAGTACTCATTCATACAAAGACAAGGCCATACAAAAAATAAAACAGGAGTGATCGCCTCTAAACTTTCTCAAATATTTTAATATAACACGGCGGATGGCAACTCAGGTTATAGACATGATTTTTAATCCATTTTAAATACTTAAACTTTTTAAAATAAAATAAAATCTCGTAGAAAAAAGAATTGCACACCAAGTGAATGCCAAACAAAATGTGCTTAAAGGTGCGGAATATTATTAGTACTTTATAAATTCACATGCGTTTTTTTTTTAGAAATTAGAAATAGCGTAAATTACTACTTCCTGTCAACGGAAATTAATCAAAATTTGACAGAAGGCAGAGAATTTGATCTTTTACTTACGTGTGAAATTTCATTTGTCTTATCTGAAATAGTACTCAAGTTATAGGCTTTTGAAAAATTAAAAGTAGAAAAATTGGGATCTACGATTTTGATATAATACATATATATGAAACTAGCCGTCCGGGCCAGGCCCTGCACTGGCATATCTGAAAAACGTATCTGTAAAGGATCATAGCTTGTGTGTTTAGTAATCAGCATTTATCCGGCATTGCCCACCCTAACCAAAACCAACCAAAACACACAAAAAACGCAAACATAACACTAACACAAAACAAACACAATCGAAAGCACAAAAACAAACGCAAAGACAAATCCAACCACAAACACAAAGAAAACACAAACACTAACGCAAACAAAAAAGCAAACGAAAACAAACCCAACCACAACCAAACAAAACCAAAACACACCAAAAAAAAAACAACGCAAACATAACACAAATACAAACACAAATGGAAACACTAACACAACCACAAACACAAAGAAAACACAAAATCAAAGAAAAAAGCAAATGAAAACACAAACGCAAAGAAAAAAAGCAAACGAAAACAAACCCAAATCCAAACGCTAACACAAACGCAAACTCAAACACAAAGAAAACAAATGCAAATATAAACTCAAAGTGTGCGCAGTCTAGCCCGGGGCACCAAATCGCACCATGACAACGTGGGGCGTAACCGCCTGATTCAACTTAGTAAACGACTATAGTACCCAACTTATTCATAGTCTTTTGAACTCACGCGAACGTAGGTACCATAGCGTACACAGGAAGGCCCGGGACGCCAAGTAGCACCCTGTCGGGGTGCCGGAGGACGCCCGGATTTGATTTACTTAAAGACTATAGTAACCTTTCTTATCCATAGTCTATCGCACTGTTTAAAACAAAATTATGCAACATAGCGCTCACATGATAGCCCAGGGCGCCTAATCGAACCGTTCAGGGGCGCTGGCGGTCGCGCCTGTTTCAATTTAGTGAACAAAATTATAATACTCCAAGCTTATCCGTAAATGGAAAGAAATAAACATATTGGATTTGTAGGACCTGGCTTATTAAATGTTATTGATTTTAAAAAATTAATAGTAAACTGTATGTTCAGTGTATAGAATAAATAAAAGGCAGTATTAAAAATACCAATGACATTGCACTTAATCAATCCCCGCCAATTATGTAATTATTTTTTTTTCCTAACACCAAAACAAAGTAATAAAAAGTAAATTCTTTCTTCCCCTGATTTAATGGGTTTTTTTAAAGGGAAGTAACTGTGTTTTCCAAATTAAGGGACGTTATGAGAACTAAAGGACAAAATGCAAATACATTTCAGACACAATTTTAGACATTTTGTAAACGTTGATACACTTTTTTTGTAATTTTATGTAATGTTCATAATTGAAAATTATTATTCTAAGTATATAAAATGAAAATTGTTTTTAAAGACTTTCAATAGTAATTTTATAACTCATAAATTTAGACCCTGAGCACTATAATAATCTAACACTTAAATCCATCAAAGTATACACGACAAACTTATTACAAACATTTCTTAAAGATACAGAATTGAGCTTTATATATTAGATTTCATCAACCTAGATGTAATGGTACTCAAGTTATCGTGTTTACACACACACACAAGCACACACATACACACACACAGACATATGGACAAGATTGCAAAACTATGTTTTTCTGACTCAGGGAGGTGTAAAACGTCGAGATTTGCAAAAATCTAGATTTTTTTTTTGCACGATTGCAAGACTTTTTCTATACTTCGTATATATGAGAAAGTAAAAATGACCACTGCTTAAAAAGATATCATTTTTATATTGTAAAAATATATTTGTTACCTTACACCTGGTATACCTTCTCCCTCCCCCCCCCCTCCCCCCACACAGGATGCGCCAGTGAGGACAATGCTGAAACCCTCCATAAGGATTAGAGATTTGGATCGAACAGTTAATGCTCGGCTGGATAAGCTCTACATTATATGTAACAGTCCTTTTCCTAGTGAGCTCTCTAATTTAACACAAAGTGTAAGTATTCCAAGTATTCTTTTGACAGTGAGTGTGTTGCAAAGATACTGGATAGGAGATCCATCAGATCATAAGTTCACTAATGTTTGATCCATCAGATCATAAGTTCACTAATGTTTGATCCATCAGATCATAAGTTCACTAATGTTTGATCCATCAGATTGTGACCTACTTGGGTTGAGTCATTTTTGTTTTTACATTGTATAATTCCTTATATGGAATGATGGTGTAACACCTGGGGTTTTTCCACTGACTTATTAAGGTGTTTGAGACATAGAAATTTTCCATTAAAATCTGATTGAATGATTCTGATCAGATGATTATCCCAACCAATGGCGACATGAGTTGAGGATAACCTCCCCTGTCACAGAAGTCTTTAATTGCACTGCACACTCGCAACACGAGGCAGTTTATCTTGACCTGGCAGTCTACGAGGCCGTTTTACCTTGATCAGGCAACCGTCCATATTGTCCGGCTATAGACTCTGACCATTTGAACGTGAGAGTACTTAAGACCTGTGTGTGCCTTGCTTTCTTCAGTTGATTTAGTCTTCTAGTTTAATATTACTTGTCGCTAAGTAAGTCTTGAAGCTACAGCAGTGTTGTGTGGCCTGTAGCTGTTCTTTAGACAGTGTAGAAATCTGTGATAGTGTTTTTTCCTGCATTTTGTAAGTTGGGTTTTTGATATTGTATACATTAAATATTTTATCTAGTTCATCTTTGTGTTCTGCCACAACTGTGTTCGCTGATTAAAAGGTCGTATGTAGATTGGATGAGTGTTAATTACAATAGTATCACTAGCTTCCCTAGACATTAAATTCGAGCCCTAGTGTGTCGTTGTGTTAAGTGTTCATCCACTTAGGCCGTAAGGTATTTGCATATGACCCCGAAAAAAGAATCCGGGGACGTTCTCCTTCTATTTGGCTGATAGATAGGTTAACGTTACAAAGTGGGGGCCCGTCCGGGATTTAATCTGTCGTTCCAGTTGTTGGTTATATCAGTTGAATACTAAGGTTAGTTGGATTTAGTTGTTTTTATATCCAGTAGCGCAGTGTTCTTACAACGCGCGCTCAGGCTAGAGTATCTAGGTCAAATAAGCAGACGTGTCACGTCCTACATTTAGAGGTCAAGTACACGGCCCAACGCTGTGTATTAATTTAAAGGATCTAGGCTTGTTGTGATTTGAAAGTTAGTGTTATGGAGTCTTTTTTGGCTAATCCTACTTTTGAAGGTGTAGAAAAGTTGAGTAGAAAAGTTTTGATTAGTGTTGTTAAGGAATTGAAATTGGATTATTCTGTTACGCAGAAGTCAGAGGTGTTGAGAGATAAAGTTGTTGTTCATTTTATTAATGAAGGGGTATTTGATGAAAGCTTGTTGGCTGGGGTGTTACTCCGCGAGGAGAAACCTCTAGAGAAGATAGAATTAGAAGCTAGAATTGCTTTAGAGAAGGCTTTAAAAGAAAAGGAGTTTGAAACTAGAAGTGCTCTAGAGAAACAGGAGTTAGAGGCTAAAATTGCTTTAGATAAGAGGAGGTTGGAATTAGAGTTTGGTCAAGTTAGTGATGTCACTTCTCAGGTAGATCCAAAAAAGTTGTCGGTAGGGCAAGTGATTGCCAAATTTGGGAAATTAGTTCCTAAATTTGATGAAACAGATTTGGTCGTTTTCTTTAACTCGTTTGAGAGTTTAGCGAAGACATGTGAATGGCCCGAAACTTCCATTACTGCTTTATTGAGCTCTGTCCTTACTGGGAAAGCTGCAAAAACATACCAGGCACTCTCTCACGACGTTCAAAATAACTATAGTTTGGTCAAGACTGCCATTTTGAAGGCCTACGCACTGACGCCCGAGGCCTATCGGACAAAATTCCGAACACTCCGCAAGTTACCCACACAATCATATGTGGAATTTCTCTTTGAAAAGGAGAAAATATTCTCAAGGTGGCTACACTCTGAGGAAGTTTCTGAGTTTGAGAAACTCAGGTCACTTATCCTAAGGGAAGAATTCCTATCGTCCCTGCCTGAAGAGATACGACTACACATTCTGGATAACAAGATAACTGACATCCAGAAGGCTGCTGAGTCGGCTGACACATATATGTTGGTGCATAAGAAACCACCAGTGTCAGGAAACCGCCTCAACCCCGTGCTTCCCCTTTTTGGCAGCAATCCTCCCGTTGGCCAACACGTGAAGGCATCACAGTCCAGAGAGAAACCAAGATCAACTCTCAATCGTCGAGCAGTATGCCAGTTCTGCAAAAGACCTGGTCATCTTGTCAAAGACTGTTACAAACGTCGTCAATATAACAGAGAGGTGGTGCGTACTTCCGCGCACTATGCTCTATCCCCTCAAGCAGCCAGTTCAACTATGAACTCTAGAATTGTAAAGGACTCTAATCCTAAGTGTCCGCAAGAAGGTAGTCAAGTCTCCACACATTATGTGCAGTCACATTTTGACTGTTCTCACCACCATCCAGTTTCTTCCGAGTCTACCGAGCTCGAGGGATCGAGAAAAGTTGACTTTTCATCTTTTATTGCCGAAGCCATCATTAGCAAACCAGGTGATCCGTTGTCTCAGCGGAATATCACCGTCCTAAGAGACACAGGAGCGTCACAATCACTCCTTTTGAAAAGTTCAATGGACATTACACCTGAGACGAACACCGGAAGGATTTCCATTATCCAGGGAGTGGGGACAAAATCTACTGTCGTCCCTCTACACAAGTTTGCCTTGAAACATCATCTCGTCGAAGGTGAGGTCATTTTAGGTGTGATAGACAGTATTCCAGTCCCAGGAGTACACCTACTTCTAGGGAATGACCTTGCGGGAAGCAAAGTATACCCCTATACGGTTTCAGACCCTTTGTCAACAGTTCCAGATAATGATAATGAACTGTATCCTGCATGTGCGGTGACAAGAAGCCAGACCAAACAATTGGCTGACACAACGTCTGAACCACACCCGCCATCATCGTCAAGAAATTCGACTCCCAAACTGGAGTCTATGCTTCCAGAAAACACAAGCCTGGGCTTACCCCTGAGGATATCTCAGGAAGACATCATTAAAGCTCAACAAGTCGACGCGGAACTCAAAGCAACGGTCGAAAAATCTCTATCATCTGACGATGGAGAATATTTCGCCGAGAATGGCCTCTTCTTTCGTCGCGCTATACCAGTGAATGCCTCACCAGCCGAACCATGGTTGAGTAAAAACCAGCTGTGGATCCCTCCACCTTATCGGCATGAAATACTTAAGCTGGCACATGACCATCCAATGTCAGCGCACCCAGGTGTCACTAAAACGACGGCGAAGATCAAAGAACTGTTCTTTTGGCCCAAAATGAGAAAAGATGTGTCGCGTTACTGTAGAAGTTGCACGAACTGTCAGTTGGCCGGAAAGCCAAACCAGACAATTCCTAAGGCCCCTTTGAGTCCGATTCCTGTATTAGAAGAACCTTTTTCTAAAATCGTCATGGACTGTGTAGGTCCCTTGCCTAAAACCAAGGCGGGCAACGAGTACCTACTTACCTTTATGTGTTCAAGTACCCGTTTTCCCGAGGCGATTCCCTTACGGAACATTAAGGCAAAGACTGTAGTCAGAGCCATGACCCGGTTCTTCACTACCTTTGGATTACCTAGAATCGTGCAAACAGATCAAGGCAGCAACTTCACCAGTCGCCATTTTCAGGAAGCACTAGCCAAGCTAGGCGTTACCCACATCACCAGCTCAGCCTACCACCCTCAGTCTCAAGGCGTACTTGAGAGGTTCCACCAAACCCTCAAAACCATGCTAAGAACGTTCGCTAACAGTAACACCCAATGGGATGAGTCTGTTCCTTGGATTATTTTCGCCGCGAGGGACTGTGTCCAGGACTCTTTAGGCTACTCGCCTTTTCAACTTGTGTTTGGACATTCTGTCCGTGGTCCCCTGAAGCTGATACATGAACGGTGGACAGGTACCAGTGATCATCCAGTGGAAAACTTCGACGATTTTCACGTTCGACTGAAAGCCGTGTGCGAAATGGCTCACAAGAACTTAAGAAAGGCCCAAGTGAGAATGAAAGGACTGTATGATAAGAGTTCTTGTAAGCGAACATTCAATCCAGGCGACAAGGTTCTTGTGCTAGTGCCTAATCTGAACAATGCGTTATCCTTGAGATATTGTGGACCCTTTACTGTGCATTCAAAATTAAGTGATTTGAACTATGTTGTCAATACGCCTGATAGAAGAAAGAAACAGACCGTGTATCATGTTAACTCACTGAAAAAATATTATGATAATTGTAACAATTTTCATTCCACAGCTGAAATTACTTTACCTGTATGTTCAAATGTTTCTGATGATGTGATACATGATAAATTGAAACCCCCAAAATTGGTAAATTCTTCCTTTTTAGATAATTTGAATGTCCACCTTATGCATTTGTCCACAGAGGAAAGCCATAGATTGTCTCAGTTATTTGAGACATTTCCCTCTATTTTTGGGGATGTCCCCAAAGAAGCGAAAGTACCACCTCATGATGTAGACGGTGGTGACGCAAAACCCATTAAACAACACCCCTATAGAGTTAACCCGGAAAAAGCTGCTTTGATAAAAGATGAAATTGATTATATGCTCAAGAATGATATCATTGAGCCCAGTTTCAGCAACTGGAGTTCCCCATGTCTCCTAGTACCGAAAGACGGTGGATCTTTCAGGTTTGTGACCGACTTTAGGAAGGTGAATGCGCTCACCAAAGCTGATTCCTATCCATTACCTCGGATAGAAGACGTTATTGATAAAGTTGGTCAGGCTAAGATAATTTCCAAAATTGATTTACTTTCAGGATACTGGCAAATCCCCTTATCTGACCGTGCAAAAGAAATATCTGCTTTTGTAACCCCTAATGGTTTTTATAGATACAAACGTATGCCCTTTGGTATGCGAAATGCTGGTCAAACTTTCCAGAGGGTCATTAACTCTGTCATTGCTGACATAGACCAATGTGAGGCCTACATAGATGATATAGTTGTATTTTCTAATACTTTTGAAGAACATATTGTTCAGTTGACTAACCTTTTTAGAAAATTGTCTGAAGTGAATTTTACTGTAAACTTACATAAAAGTGATTTCTGTAAAGCTTCAATTACCTATTTGGGTTATCAAGTGGGAACGAACCAAGTTCGGCCCATTGAAGCTAAAGTAGATGCTATTGTAAGGTTACCACCTCCCAAAAATTGTAAAGAGATCAAAAAGTTCCTTGGGATGGCTGGTTACTATAGGCGGTTCTGTCAAAACTTTTCAGCTATTGCTGAACCTCTTACTGCATTATTGAAAAAGGGTGTTAAGTTTGAATGGTCAGATAAATGTCAAGAAGCTTTTTTAACCATTAAGTCATTTTTATCAAATGCTCCTGTTATGGCTGCACCAAATTTTAGCAAGCCCTTTAAACTTGCCATTGATGCTAGCAACTTAGCCATTGGCTCAGTCCTATTTCAAGAAGACAACATGGGAATTGACCATCCCATTGCCTTTTTTTCCAGGAAGTTAAATGAGAACCAAAAGAATTATTCTACTATTGAAAAAGAAGCTTTAGCTTTGGTTTTATCATTACAACATTTTGAAGTCTATGTCTCTTCTTCAACCAATCCAGTCAGAGTGTTTTCTGACCATGATCCCCTGAAATTTACCTCTAAGTTAGGACAGACAAATCAAAGAATATTGAGATGGTGCTTATATTTCCAAAATTTTAATCTGGAAATTTCACACATTAAGGGTAGTGATAATGTTGTGGCTGATTGTTTGTCAAGGATGTAAAATCTTGTTGTACACATTGATCATGTGACATGCTTTGTGGTTCATTAGGACCATAAACAGGTTTTGTTTGAGTGTCACTCATATGAAAATGAGTGGTGGGAGTTTTGAATTTTTTTCAAAATTCCAATCCTGTTGAATATTTTGTTTATTTTCAGGTGAACCTTAATTAAAGGTGGTTTTTGATTATATGTAATCTTTTATAATAATATGTCTCATATGACTCAATTGATATTGTAGCTAGTCATTGAAATAAAGGTCTTACCCTGGCGGGTTTACCACTTTTAATATCCACATGGAAATATTGTAATACCCTTTTTTGAGGGATTTTGATGTATAATTACTTTTTGAAGGGTTACTCCCCTTTCACCAATTGTAAAAGTTGGAGTTACTTCCCTTTTATGTTCAGGGATATTTTCATCTGGTATTATGATTTTGATTGCCTACATTTGTAAAACATTTTTGTTATTTCATTGCCAGATTGGTTCCTTATGTATGTTTTTGTGGAACCTATCTGTCACTTCCAAAAAGGGAGGGGATGTGACCTACTTGGGTCGAGTCATTTTTGTTTTTACATTGTATAATTCCTTATATGGAATGATGGTGTAACACCTGGGGTTTTTCCACTGACTTATTAAGGTGTTTGAGACATAGAAATTTTCCATTAAAATCTGATTGAATGATTCTGATCAGATGATTATCCCAACCAATGGCGACATGAGTTGAGGATAACCTCCCCTGTCACAGAAGTCTTTAATTGCACTGCACACTCGCAACACGAGGCAGTTTATCTTGACCTGGCAGTCTACGAGGCCGTTTTACCTTGATCAGGCAACCGTCCATATTGTCCGGCTATAGACTCTGACCATTTGAACGTGAGAGTACTTAAGACCTGTGTGTGCCTTGCTTTCTTCAGTTGATTTAGTCTTCTAGTTTAATATTACTTGTCGCTAAGTAAGTCTTGAAGCTACAGCAGTGTTGTGTGGCCTGTAGCTGTTCTTTAGACAGTGTAGAAATCTGTGATAGTGTTTTTTCCTGCATTTTGTAAGTTGGGTTTTTGATATTGTATACATTAAATATTTTATCTAGTTCATCTTTGTGTTCTGCCACAACTGTGTTCGCTGATTAAAAGGTCGTATGTAGATTGGATGAGTGTTAATTACAATAGTATCACTAGCTTCCCTAGACATTAAATTCGAGCCCTAGTGTGTCGTTGTGTTAAGTGTTCATCCACTTAGGCCGTAAGGTATTTGCATATGACCCCGAAAAAAGAATCCGGGGACGTTCTCCTTCTATTTGGCTGATAGATAGGTTAACGTTGCAAGATCATAAGTTCACTAATGTTTGATCCATCAGATCATAAGTTCACTAATGTTTGATCCATCAGATCATAAGTTCACTAATGTTTGATCCATCAGATCATAAGTTCACTAATGTTTGATCCATCAGATCATAAGTTCACTAATGTTTGATCCATCAGATCATAAGTTCACTAATGTTTGATCCATCAGATCATAAGTTCACTAATGTTTGATCCATCAGATCATAAGTTCACTAATGTTTGATCCATCAGATCATAAGTTCACTAATGTTTGATCCATCAGATCATAAGTTCACTAATGTTTGATCCATCAGATCATAAGTTCACTAATGTTTGATCCATCAGATCATAAGTTCACTAATGTTTGATCCATCAGATCATAAGTTCACTAATGTTTGATCCATCAGATCATAAGTTCACTAATGTTTGATCCATCAGATCATAAGTTCACTAATGTTTGATCCATCAGATCATAAGTTCACTAATGTTTGATCCATCAGATCATAAGTTCACTAATGTTTGATCCATCAGATCATAAGTTCACTAATGTTTGATCCATCAGATCATAAGTTCACTAATGTTTGATTCATCAGATCATAAGTTCACTAATGTTTGATCCATCAGATCATAAGTTCACTAATGTTTGATCCATCAGATCATAAGTTCACTAATGTTTGATCCATCAGATCATAAGTTCACTAATGTTTGATCCATCAGATCATAAGTTCACTAATGTTTGATCCATCAGATCATAAGTTCACTAATGTTTGATCCATCAGATCATAAGTTCACTAATGTTTGATCCATCAGATCATAAGTTCACTAATGTTTGATCCATCAGATCATAAGTTCACTAATGTTTGATCCATCAGATCATAAGTTCACTAATGTTTGATCCATCAGATCATAAGTTCACTAATGTTTGATCCATCAGATCATAAGTTCACTAATGTTTGATCCATCAGATCATAAGTTCACTAATGTTTCACTATGATTTCAGAGCGAGGAGACATGTAAAAAATTCATGTTAAACTACACTCAGGAGGATGAAGGGCTTTACACAGCTTCACTGACTCTAATAGACAAACTGGACTATGAGACCCGCCCTGTTTACTCCTCAAAACTTGTTGCTATTGTGAGTTTCAATTATTGGACCTTAGTTTAGTACCCAAACCAGACTGTTATTGAGAGCTTAGTTTAGTACCCAAACCATGACTGCTATTGAGACCTTAGTTTAGTACCCAAACCATGACTGCTATTGAGAGCTTAGTTTAGTACCCAAACCATGACTGCTATTGAGAGCTTAGTTTAGTACCCAAACCAGACTGCTATTGAGACCTTAGTTTAGTACCCAAACCATGACTGCTATTGAGAGCTTAGTTTAGTACCCAAACCATGACTGCTATTGAGAGCTTGTGTGTGTTGTGCAGGATGCACCAGGAGTTACCCCCCAGTTCACCACCACAGTCAATGTGCAGATCAATGTGATTGATGCTCAGGACGTGAACCCCATCTTCATCAACCCTGGGACCAGTACATCCATCAGTGAAGGGGCTCCAGTTGTAAGTACATAGTTTCTCAACATATATCATCTTTATAAAGTAACTAAGAATTCCTTATTTAAATTACTAACATAATTGAGCTGGAACTGACTTTTTTCTCAAGGGGACGACTTTAGGATCTTTGACCATAGCAGCCCGTGATGGGGACTTTGGGGATAAAAGGCCAGTGGACTTGACTTTTTTAACTGGTAAAATCTTTCTCTTTCTCCTTACTTTTTACTTTCTCGTATATACGAAGTATAGAGAAAGTCTTGTAATAGTGCAAAAAAAAAAATCGAGATTTTTGCAAATCTCGATGTTTTACACCTTACTGATACGGAAAAACATAATTTTGCAATCTTGTCCGTATGTCTGTGTGTGTGTGTGTCTGCAAACACGATAACTTGAGTACCGTTACAGCTAGGTTGTTGAAATTTCATATATAAGTATTTTGTAAAAATCGTAGATCCGTATCAACTTTTGAGCGATTTCCGATAACTGGAAGTGGTACTTTTTTTACTTTGAATTTTTCAAAAGCCAATAACTTGATAGATAAATGAAATTTCACATGTAAGTAAAAGATCTAATTCTCTACCTTCTATCAAATTTTGAGTAATTTCCGTTGACCTGAAGTACTAATTTACGCTATTTCTGATTTCTCAAAAACAAATGTAAATTTATAAAGTACTAATAATATTCCGCACTATTATGCACATTTTATTTGGCGTTCACTGGTGTGCAATTTTTTTTTCTACGAGATTGTATTCTATTTTAAAAAGTTTAAGTATTTAAAATGGATTAAAGTTCATGTCTATATCCCAAGTTCCCATCCCCTGTTTTTTTATATAAGAATATTCGAGAAAGTTTAGGGGAGATCACTCCCAGTTTATTTAACCGGTAAAAATTTCACTTTCTCCTTACTTTTTAAACTGGTAAAACGTTCACTTTCTCATCATTTTTTTTAACTGATAAAACTTTCACTTTCTCCTGACTTTTTAAACTGGTAAAACTTTCACTTTCTCATCACTTTTTAACTGATACAACTTTTACCTTCTCATCACTTTTTAACTGATACAACTTTCACTCTTTCTTCACTTTTTAACTGGTAAAACTTTCACTTTCTCATCACTTTTTTAACTGATACAATTTTCACTCTTTCTTCACTTTTTAACTGATAAAACTTTCACTTTCTCATCACTTTTTTAACTAATAAAACTTTCACTCTTTCATCACTTTTTAACTAATAAAATTCTTGTTTCATTGTTTACTTTATCCACCTGACATTCAGATTGATACCTTTTTGATTTGTAGTGTTTATGTGTATGTACTGTTTGTATAGTTTATGTGTATGTGCTGTTTGTATAGTTTATGTGTATGTACTGTTTGTGTGGTTAATGTGTATGTACTGTTTGTGTGGTTAATGTGTATGTACTGTTTGTATAGTTAGTGTGTATGTACTGTTTTTATAGTTTATGTGTATGTTCTGTTTTTATAGTTTATGTGTATGTACTGTTTGTATAGTTTATGTGTATGTACTGTTTGTGTAGTTTATGTGTATGTACTGTTTTTATAGTTTATGTGTATGTACTGTTTGTATAGTTTATGTGTATGTGCTGTTTGTATAGTTAGTGTGTATGTTCTGTTTTTATAGTTTATGTGTATGTACTGTTTGTATAGTTTATGTGTATGTACTGTTTGTGTGGTTAATGTGTATGTACTGTTTGTATAGTTAGTGTGTATGTACTGTTTTTATAGTTTATGTGTATGTGCTGTTTGTATAGTTTATGTGTATGTGCTGTTTGTATAGTTTATGTGTATGTACTGTGTTTATAGTTTATGTGTATGTTCTGTTTTTATAGTTTATGTGTATGTACTGTTTTTATAGTTTATGTGTATGTACTGTTTTTATAGTTTATGTGTATGTGCTGTTTGTATAGTTTATGTGTATGTACTGTTTGTGTAGTTTATGTGTATGTACTGTTTGTGTGGTTAATGTGTATGTACTGTTTGTATAGTTTATGTGTATGTTCTGTTTTTATAGTTTATGTGTATGTTCTGTTTTTATAGTTTATGTGTATGTACTGTTTGTATAGTTCAAGGGTCTCCAAACTACGGCCGCGGGCCGGATGAGGCCCGCGAGGTCCTCTCATCCGGCCCTCGGAGATCTTTTTGTCCACGGAAAAAAATGTTTGTTGTAGGTGGCTGCAGAAAAATGCCACCTCAATGGTATACCTGGAAGAAACTCTGGCCCCCGAACTTATATTTGATAGTTAATGCGGCCCTCGGGATGAAAAGTTTGGAGATCCCTGGTATAGTTAATGTGTATGTACTGTTTGTTTAGTTTATGTGTATGTGCTGTTTGTATAGTTAATGTGTATGTACTGTTTGTATTTGCCAGAGAATCCTGTGTTTAACCTGAGCCAAGTGGTCCCATCAAATACCACAGATGGGGTCTACCAGACCTTTCTCATTGTGCGCAGTCAACTTGACAGAGAAAGAACAGCCACTTATGATATTTCTATTCTGGTAAACAATTTCTAGCAACTTATGATATTTCTATTCTTGCAAACAATTTCTAGAAACTTATGATATTTCTATTCTGGTAAACAATTTCTAGCTAACTTTATAATAGTGCAACACTGTAAACATTTTCCCAATATCACCAACAAATGTTGACACATAACATTTTCCCAAAATCTCCAATGAACTAAAGACAGCTGGGATGACTTGGGAGACAGCCAATAGGACAAAATGGAAGTTATCCTGGAGGCCCCAAGCTCCACAAGAGTAAATAAGTCAAGTCAATATCTCCAGCAAATGTTGTAACTGAGGTTGAAATGTTTTCCTGCAATGTGTTTCTCCAGCAAATGTTGTATTGTAACTGAGGTTGAAATGTTTTCCTGCAATGTGTATCTCCAGCAAATGTTGTATTGTAACTGAGGTTGAAATGTTTTCCTGCAATGTGTTTCTCCAGCAAATGTTGTATTGTAACTGAGGTTGAAATGTTTTCCTGCAATGTGTTTCTCCAGCAAATGTTGTATTGTAACTGAGGTTGAAATGTTTTCCTGCAATGTGTATCTCCAGCAAATGTTGTATTGTAACTGAGGTTGAAATGTATTCCTGCAATGTGTTTCTCCAGCAAATGTTGTATTGTAACTGAGGTTGAAATGTTTTCCTGCAATGTGTTTCTCCAGCAAATGTTGTATTGTAACTGAGGTTGAAATGTTTTCCTGCAATGTGTATCTCCAGCAAATGTTGTATTGTAACTGAGGTTGAAATGTTTTCCTGCAATGTGTTTCTCCAGCAAATGTTGTATTGTAACTGAGGTTGAAATGTTTTCCTGCAATGTGTTTCTCCAGCAAATGTTGTATTGTAACTGAGGTTGAAATGTTTTCCTGCAATGTGTATCTCCAGCAAATGTTGTATTGTAACTGAGGTTGAAATGTATTCCTGCAATGTGTTTCTCCAGCAAATGTTGTATTGTAACTGAGGTTGAAATGTTTTCCTGCAATGTGTTTCTCCAGCAAATGTTGTATTGTAACTGAGGTTGAAATGTTTTCCTGCAATGTGTTTCTCCAGCAAATGTTGTATTGTAACTGAGGTTGAAATGTTTTCCTGCAATGTGTTTCTCCAGCAAATGTTGTAACTGAGGTTGAAATGTTTTCCTGCAATGTGTTTTGGTCCAACTTGCAGGCCACAGAACTGGACAAGACCAGCCTGAACAGGACCAATGCTACAGCTATTGGCAACTACAGCGTTTTTGTCACGGACATCAATGACAACCCACCACGCTTCAACCAGACCCAGTATAGCATCAATGTTACAGAGTTGGAGGGGGGAAGCTCTTCTATACAGATTGCCAACCTCCACATTATCTGTTCAGATCCTGATGCTGTAAGTAGCCAACCTTGACCTTGTCTGTACGAAGTATCCAACCTTCACCTTGTCTGTACAAAGTATCCATTCTTGACCTTGTCTGTACAAAGTATCCAACCTTGACCTTGTCTGTACAAAGTATCCAACCTTGACCTTGTCTGAACAAAGTATCCAACCTTGACCTTGTCTGTACAAAGTATCCATTCTTGACCTTGTCTGTACTAAGTATCCAACCTTGACCTTGTCTGTAAACAGTATCCAACCTTGACATTATCTGTTCAAAGTATCCAACCTTGACCTTGTCTGTACAAAGTATCCAACCTTGACCTTGTCTGAACAAAGTATCCAACCTTGACCTTGTCTGTTCAAAGTATCCAAAGTATGCAACCATTTCAGCTTGCCTTTCTTTGTGCTCCTACGAGAAGATTTGATTTAATTTCAGTCCCCCAATAACCAGTACACTATCAGCATAGTGAACCAGACGTTCCCAGCAGCGTACAGTGTTAGTCCTGATACCACATTCTCTGATTTGATTTAATTTCAGTCCCCCAATAACCAGTACACTATCAGCATAGTGAACCAGACGTTCCCAGCAGCGTACAGTGTTAGTCCTGATACCACATTCTCTGATTTGATTTAATTTCAGTCCCCCAATAACCAGTACACTATCAGCATAGTGAACCAGACGTTCCCAGCAGCGTACAGTGTTAGTCCTGATACCACATTCTCTGATTTGATTTAATTTCAGTCCCCCAATAACCAGTACACTATCAGCATAGTGAACCAGACGTTCCCAGCAGCGTACAGTGTTAGTCCTGATACCACATTCTCTGGCCTGGCTAATGTCTTCCTCAAGATTGACAAACCTGAGTACCTGGACTACGATAACCCACTGTATAGGGAGCAGACTGTTGTAGTAAGTCAACGCAAGCTTGTGATTTATTTATTTAGCTTGTGGCCCATGTGAACTTGATTTATTACAAGCTTTTATTTAACTCACTTCCTCGTCAGTCGTCAGTCTAGACCGAAACGCCAGAGTGAAAATTCTGACAGTTCTACTTGACCGATACGATTCACACTTGGCACGTGGGTCAAGACATGAAGACAATGCAATCTGAAATTAAATTTGACTTAATTGGATGCCTAATTAATTTTTTATGAATTAATTAAAATTTGGACCGAATTAGTAGGCATGTCTATCCAACCACACCACACGCGTCATCACCTTCAATAGCTGCGCCATCACGTTCAATGGCTGCGCCATCACGTTCAGTAGAGGCGCAATGTTTTTAGTCATGTAACTCTATTGTAAATAAAACATGTAAAGTACTGAAAAAAATTGATAAAAAACGTTTTAATAACAAGCTTTTATGTAATAATGCAATAATAAGTAGAAAATAAATTATAGACTACTATTTAAATAACTATAAAGAAAAGCATGGGTGTCTTCCTTAACATTAGTAAAGGTATCCAATAGATACTAAAGTGACCCATGCTTTTCTTTATAGTTATTTAAATAGTAGTCTATAATTTATTTTCTACTTTTTAGTGCATTATTACATAAAAGCTTGTTATTAAAACGTTTTTTTATCAATTTTTTTTTAGCTTGTGGCCCATGTGACCTTGATTTATTTAGCTTGTGGCCCATGTGAACTTGATTTATTTAGCTTGTGGCCCATGTGACCTTTATTTATTTAGCTTGTGGCCCGTGTGACCTTGATTTATTTAGCTTGTGGCCCATGTGACCTTGATTTATTTAGCTTGTGGCCCATGTGACCTTGATTTATTTAGCTTGTGGCCCATGTGACCTTGATTTATTTAGCTTGTGGCCCATGTGACCTTGATTTATTTAGCTTGTGACCCATGGGAACTTGATTTATTTAGCTTGTGGCCCATGTGAACTTGATTTATTTAGCTTGTGGCCCATGTGAACTTGATTTATTTAGCTTGTGGCCCATGTGACCTTGATTTATTTAGCTTGTGGCCCATGTGTACTTGATTTATTTAGCTTGTGGCCCATGTGACCTTGATTTATTTAGCTTGTGGCCCATGTGACCTTGATTTATTTAGCGTGTGGCCCATGTGACCTTGATTTATTTAGCTTGTGACCCATGTGACCTTGATTTATTTAGCTTGTGGTCCTTGTCAATGTGAACTTGATTTATTTAGCTTGTGGCCCATGTGACCTTGATTTATTTAGCTTGTAGTCCATGTGACCTTGATTTATTTAGCTTGTGGTCCATGTGACCTTGATTTATTTAGCTTGTGGTCCTTGTCAATGTAAACTTGATTTATTTAGCTTGTGGCCCATGTGAACTTGATTTATTTAGCTTGTGGCCCATGTGACCTTGATTTATTTAGCTTGTGGCCCGTGTGACCTTGATTTATTTAGCTTGTGGCCCATGTGACCTTGATTTATTTAGCTTGTGGCCCATGTGACCTTGATTTATTTAGCTTGTGGCCCATGTGACCTTGATTTATTTAGCTTGTGGCCCATGTGACCTTGATTTATTTAGCTTGTGACCCATGGGAACTTGATTTATTTAGCTTGTGGCCCATGTGACCTTGATTTATTTAGCTTGTGGCCCATGTGAACTTGATTTATTTAGCTTGTGGCCCATGTGACCTTGATTTATTTAGCTTGTGGCCCATGTGTACTTGATTTATTTAGCTTGTGGCCCATGTGACCTTGATTTATTTAGCTTGTGGCCCATGTGACCTTGATTTATTTAGCGTGTGGCCCATGTGACCTTGATTTATTTAGCTTGTGACCCATGTGACCTTGATTTATTTAGCTTGTGGTCCTTGTCAATGTGAACTTGATTTATTTAGCTTGTGGCCCATGTGACCTTGATTTATTTAGCTTGTGCTCCATGTGACCTTGATTTATTTAGCTTGTGGTCCATGTGACCTTGATTTATTTAGCTTGTGGTCCTTGTCAATGTAAACTTGATTTATTTAGCTTGTGGCCCATGTGAACTTGATTTATTTAGCTTGTGACCCATGTGACCTTGATTTATTTAGCTTGTGGTCCTTGTCAATGTGAACTTGATTTATTTAGCTTGTGGCCCATGTGACCTTGATTTATTTAGCTTGTAGTCCATGTGACCTTGATTTATTTAGCTTGTGGTCCATGTGACCTTGATTTATTTAGCTTGTGGTCCTTGTCAATGTAAACTTGATTTATTTAGCTTGTGGCCCATGTGAACTTGATTTATTTAGCTTGTGGCCCATGTGACCTTGATTTATTTAGCTTGTGGCCCGTGTGAACTTGATTTATTTAGCTTGTGGCCCATGTGACCTTGATTTATTTAGCTTGTGGCCCATGTGACCTTGATTTATTTAGCTTGTGGCCCATGTGACCTTGATTTATTTAGCTTGTGGCCCATGTGACCTTGATTTATTTAGCTTGTGACCCATGGGAACTTGATTTATTTAGCTTGTGGCCCATGTGACCTTGATTTATTTAGCTTGTGGCCCATGTGACCTTGATTTATTTAGCTTGTGGCCCATGTGACCTTGATTTATTTAGCTTGTGGCCCATGTGACCTTGATTTATTTAGCTTGTGGCCCATGTGACCTTGATTTATTTAGCTTGTGACCCATGGGAACTTGATTTATTTAGCTTGTGGCCCATGTGACCTTGATTTATTTAGCTTGTGGCCCATGTGAACTTGATTTATTTAGCTTGTGGCCCATGTGACCTTGATTTATTTAGCTTGTGGCCCATGTGTACTTGATTTATTTAGCTTGTGGCCCATGTGACCTTGATTTATTTAGCTTGTGGCCCATGTGACCTTGATTTATTTAGCGTGTGGCCCATGTGACCTTGATTTATTTAGCTTGTGACCCATGTGACCTTGATTTATTTAGCTTGTGGTCCTTGTCAATGTGAACTTGATTTATTTAGCTTGTGGTCCATGTGACCTTGATTTATTTAGCTTGTGGTCCATGTGACCTTGATTTATTTAGCTTGTGGTCCTTGTCAATGTAAACTTGATTTATTTAGCTTGTGGCCCATGTGAACTTGATTTATTTAGCTTGTGGCCCGTGTGACCTTGATTTATTTAGCTTGTGACCCATGTGAACTTGATTTATTTAGCTTGTGGCCCATGTGACCTTGATTTATTTAGCTTGTGGCCCATGTGAACTTGATTTATTTAGCTTGTGGCCCATGTGACCTTGATTTATTTAGCTTGTGGCCCATGTGACCTTGATTTATTTAGCGTGTGGCCCATGTGACCTTGATTTATTTAGCTTGTGACCCATGTGACCTTGATTTATTTAGCTTGTGGTCCTTGTCAATGTGAACTTGATTTATTTAGCTTGTGGCCCATGTGACCTTGATTTATTTAGCTTGTAGTCCATGTGACCTTGATTTATTTAGCTTGTGGTCCATGTGACCTTGATTTATTTAGCTTGTGGTCCTTGTCAATGTAAACTTGATTTATTTAGCTTGTGGCCCATGTGAACTTGATTTATTTAGCTTGTGGCCCATGTGACCTTGATTTATTTAGCTTGTGGCCCGTGTGACCTTGATTTATTTAGCTTGTGGCCCATGTGACCTTGATTTATTTAGCTTGTGGCCCATGTGACCTTGATTTATTTAGCTTGTGGCCCATGTGACCTTGATTTATTTAGCTTGTGGCCCATGTGACCTTGATTTATTTAGCTTGTGACCCATGGGAACTTGATTTATTTAGCTTGTGGCCCATGTGACCTTGATTTATTTAGCTTGTGGCCCATGTGAACTTGATTTATTTAGCTTGTGGCCCATGTGACCTTGATTTATTTAGCTTGTGGCCCATGTGTACTTGATTTATTTAGCTTGTGGCCCATGTGACCTTGATTTATTTAGCTTGTGGCCCATGTGACCTTGATTTATTTAGCGTGTGGCCCATGTGACCTTGATTTATTTAGCTTGTGACCCATGTGACCTTGATTTATTTAGCTTGTGGTCCTTGTCAATGTGAACTTGATTTATTTAGCTTGTGGCCCATGTGACCTTGATTTATTTAGCTTGTGCTCCATGTGACCTTGATTTATTTAGCTTGTGGTCCATGTGACCTTGATTTATTTAGCTTGTGGTCCTTGTCAATGTAAACTTGATTTATTTAGCTTGTGGCCCATGTGAACTTGATTTATTTAGCTTGTGGCCCATGTGACCTTGATTTATTTAGCTTGTGGCCCATGTGACCTTGATTTATTTAGCTTGTGGCCCGTGTGACCTTGATTTATTTAGCTTGTGGCCCATGTGAACTTGATTTATTTAGCTTGTGGCCCATGTGAACTTGATTTATTTAGCTTGTGGCCCATGTGAACTTGATTTATTTAGCTTGTGGCCCATGTGACCTTTATTTATTTAGCTTGTGGCCCATGTGACCTTGATTTATTTAGCTTGTGGCCCATGTGACCTTGATTTATTTAGCTTGTGGCCCATGTGAACTTGATTTATTTAGCGTGTGGCCCATGTGACCTTGATTTATTTAGCTTGTGACCCATGTGACCTTGATTTATTTAGCTTGTGGTCCTTGTCAATGTGAACTTGATTTATTTAGCTTGTGGCCCATGTGACCTTGATTTATTTAGCTTGTGGTCCATGTGACCTTGATTTATTTAGCTTGTGGTCCATGTGACCTTGATTTATTTAGCTTGTGGTCCTTGTCAATGTAAACTTGATTTATTTAGCTTGTGGCCCATGTGAACTTGATTTATTTAGCTTGTGGCCCGTGTGACCTTGATTTATTTAGCTTGTGACCCATGTGAACTTGATTTATTTAGCTTGTGGCCCATGTGACCTTGATTTATTTAGCTTGTGGCCCATGTGAACTTGATTTATTTAGCTTGTGGCCCATGTGACCTTGATTTATTTAGCTTGTGGCCCGTGTGACCTTGATTTATTAGCTTGTGGCCCATGTGAACTTGATTTATTTAGCTTGTGGCCCATGTGAACTTGATTTATTTAGCTTGTGGCCCATGTGAACTTGATTTATTTAGCTTGTGGCCCATGTGACCTTTATTTATTTAGCTTGTGGCCCATGTGACCTTGATTTATTTAGCTTGTGGCCCATGTGACCTTGATTTATTTAGCTTGTGGCCCATGTGAACTTGATTTATTTAGCTTGTGGCCCATATGACCTTGATTTATTTAGCTTGTGGCCCATGTGAACTTGATTTATTTAGCTTGTGGCCCATGTGAACTTGATTTATTTAGCTTGTGGCCCATGTGAACTTGATTTATTTAGCTTGTGGCCCATGTGACCTTGATTTATTTAGCTTGTGGCCCGTGAGACCAACACACCTGAACGTTACTCTGGCTCCACCACCATCAGCCTACATGTGACTGACGTCAATGACAACTCACCTGTCTTCAAGGAGGGGCTCTACACCTTAAATGTCAGTGAAAATGTTTCATCATACCAGTTTCCTGCCATCACTGTAAGTCTTTCAGTTTTTTCCTTTTACATTGTGCTCCATTAAATCAGTGTTTGATTAAGGTAGCAAAGCTAAAACTATTTGGTTCCTAGTGCTGGAACCTGCTTAGTTATCAGTGCTAAAACCTGTGTAATTGTCAGTACTAAAACCTGTATAATTGTCAGTGCTAAAACCTGTGTAATTGTCAGTGCTAAAGCCTGTATAATTGTTAGTGCTAAAGCCTGTATAATTGTCAGTACTAAAACCTGTATAATTGTCAGTGCTAAAACCTGTATAATTGTCAGTACTAAAACCTGTATAATTGTCAGTACTAAAACCTGTATAATTGTCAGTGCTAAAACCTGTATAATTGTCAGTGCTAAAACCTGTATAATTGTCAGTGCTAAAACCTGTGTAATTGTCAGTGCTAAAACCTGTGTAATTGTCAGTGCTAAAACCTGTGTAATTGTCAGTGCTAAAACCTGTGTAATTGTCAGTGCTAAAAGCTGTGTAATTGTTAGTGCTAAAACCTGTATAATTGTCAGTACTAAAACCTGTATAATTGTCAGTGCTAAAACCTGTATAATTGTCAGTGCTAAAACCTGTATAATTGTTAGTGCTAAAGCATGTATAATTGCTAGTGTTGAAACCTTTTTTGTCAGGCTACAGATAGAGACTCAGGGGATAACAAACTGATCACATACAGCCTATCTGGGGCAACAAGTAACTTGTAAGTCTTCTTTTATTTCTTTTCCACTATTTAGTTATCCACTGTCCACATTTTATCCGCTCCCCACATTTGTTAGTTCAACTAATAGACTCCACCCACTCCCCACATTTGTTAGTTCAACTAATAGACTCCACCCACTCCCCACATTTGTTAGTTCAACTACTAGACTCCACCCACTCCCCACATTTGTTAGTTCAACTACTAGACTCCACCCACTCCTTTAGTGCCCTGCTTTGATTAAGCATCTACCAACCAGCCAGCATTAAGGCTAGGTGCCGTACAAAATTTCGGTGTATTGGGAGCCCGATGTCGAATTTCAGTTTTGACCTAATTATTAAAATACATTCATTTCTAAACAAAAAAATGCATTCGTTATTACTAGAAAATAGTGTTTTGTATTTTAAAATAATTTTCTTGTGATGTGTATGTGCATGTTTTGTCTGTCTTTTCAATAAGACAGAGAAATTTGTGAAAGTTTGGTACTATAAAACGTACAGAAAATTAAAAATAACCACTACTTGTTATGCACCACCAGAAAGCTCTTTGTCTTCTCTACTTCGATATGGTATTTATATAGACCAATGAAATTTAACTATTTATTTTGAAATATTTGAATGACACACACTTTTTAGACAATTTTGACCTATATACTATATATAGATGAAAATTTTCCACTCGACCATTCTTCCGCAACAGTGTAAAATTCTATTGGCTGGCCTATTTTTACAAGCTAATGAAAATATTTCTGATTAGCTAGCTATTTTTAGTTTGACAGCTTCCTTCCGGAGTGTTGATATCAACAAACGAGCTACACATTGCATTCTCATTCTCTCAGTGGATTTGTTTCTGATGCTATTACATTTGTGAACATTCCTCGTAGATATTTAAATTTATTTGCAAATTCTATATATATTTGCTTGTTTAATGTGTAAATAAAAATCAATAATCAAAACCCTGATTTTATAAGCATTTATTGGGTAGTTTTTTTAAAAATTGAAGTTTTTACTCTTCTTTTGCGCTTTTCTCAAAATTACAAATTTGACACTTCAAATTGCTACTCCTCAGTTAGTTTTACTTGTATCTTAGTGAAACTTTACCTTATTAATCCACAGATACATACACATAACTTCTATGTTCAATTTCTATCAAAACTTGCTTTATTTTTATTTTAAAGCCAGAAATAAGCTACATTTGTGCACATTTTAGCGTTTTTTATCAGGTTGATAGAAATTTTTTTTAGAAAAAATAGTTGGCTTTTCTTAAAATGTGAAACATAGAACTTAATAAGTTTAAATCGCCCTATATAATGCGTGCATTTTGGTGTGTTTAGCACTTGTGGTTATAAAGCCTTAGCATTTTGAAAATCATAAACAAAAATCCAATATGGCGGCCGTTACCATGGCAACCATATGGTAAAATAGATTTGTATACCTTTTTTAAAAACAACTTTCAGTATATGTTATATGGGTAAAGTTTCAATGGATTAGCTTGAATAATAACGAAAAAGTGCATTTGGTGTAGCACCTAGCCTTAAATCCTCTTCTCTCTGTGTGAGCACTATAGCTTCCTTTGTTCCTTCTAGGTTCTCTCTGTGTGAGCACTATAGCTTCCTTTGTTCCCTCTAGGTTCTCTCTGTGTGAGCACTATAGCTTCCTTTGTTCCCTCTAGGTTCTCTCTGTGTGAGCACTATAGCTTCCTTTGTTCCCTCTAGGTTCTCTCTGTGTGAGCACTATAGCTTCCTTTATTCCCTCTAGTTCCTTTGTTCCCTCCAGTTCCTTTGTTCCCTCCAGTTCCATTGTTTCCTCTAGTTCCTTTGTTCCCTCTAGTTCCTTTGTTCCCTCCAGTTCCTTTGTTCCCTCCAGTTCCTTTGTTCCCTCCAGTTCCTTTGTTCCCTCTAGTTCCTTTGTTCCCTCCAGTTCCTTTGTTCCCCCCAGTTCCTTTGTTTCCTCTAGTTCCTTTGTTCCCTCTAGTTCCTTTGTTCCCTCCAGTTCCTTTGTTCCCTCCAGTTCCTTTGTTCCCTCCAGTTCCCTTGTTCCCTCTAGTTCCTTTGTTCCCTCCAGTTCCTTTGTTCCCCCCAGTTCCTTTGTTTCCTCTAGTTCCTTTGTTCCCTCTAGTTCCTTTGTTCCCTCCAGTTCCTTTGTTCCCTCCAGTTCCTTTGTTCCCTCTAGTTCCTTTGTACCCTCTAGTTCCTTTGTTCCCTCTAGTTCCTTTGTTCCCTCTAGGTTCTCCATCAACAATGAAACTGGTGTGGTCAGCCTGAGGGGTGCACTGGACTATGAGACCAACACGCAGTACGTGTTTCTTGTCTCAGCCACAGACCACGGCTCACCCCCTCGATCTAGCCAGGTAAAGTACACCTTTTTCAAACAGCAAACTAATGTTCTGATCTAGCCAGGTAAAGCACACCTTTTTCAAACAGCAAACTAATGTTCTGATCTAGCCAGGTAAAGCACACCTTTTTCAAACAGCAAACTAATGTTCTGATCTAGCCAGGTAAAGCACACCTTTTTCAAACAGCAAACTAATTTTTCTGATGTAGCCAATGTGTGAGGAACTAATGTTCTGATGTAGCCAGTGTGTGAGGAACTAATGTTCTGATGTAGCCAATGTGTGAAGAACTAATGTTCTGATGTAGCCAATGTGTGAGGAACTAATGTTCTGATGTAGCCAATGTGTGAGGAACTAATGTTCTGATGTAGCCAGTGTGTGAGGAACTAATGTTCTGATGTAGCCAGTGTGTGAAGAACTAATGTTCTGATGTAGCCAATGTGTGAGGAACTAATGTTCTGATGTAGCCAATGTGTGAAGAACTAATGTTTTGATGTAGCAAATGTGTGAGGAACTTATGTTTTGATGTAGCAAATGTGTGAGGAACTAATGTTCTGATTTCTCTCCTAGACGCAACTAGTGATTTATGTGCTGAATGTGAATGATGTGGCCCCAGTGTTCAGCCCACCATCCTACCAGACATCAGTCACAGAGAGTAGCCTTACTTTTTTAAACCCTGTTGTAGTTTATGTAAGTCTCAGTAGCCTTACTTTTTTAAACCCTGTCGTGGTTTATGTAAGTCACAGAGAGTAGCTTTACTTTTTTAAACCCTGTTGTAGTTTATGTAAGTCTCAGTAGCCTTACTTTTTTAAACCCTGTCGTGGTTTATGTAAGTCTTAGTAGCCTTACTTTTTTAAACCCTGTCATGGTTTATGTAAGTCTCAGAGAATAGCTTTACTTTTTTAAACCCTGTCATGGTTTATGTAAGTCTCAGAGAATAGCTTTACTTTTTTAAACCCTGTCATGGTTTATGTAAGTCTCAGAGAATAGCTTTACTTTTTTAAACCCTGTCGTAGTTTATGTAAGTCTCAGTAGCTTTACTTTTTTAAACCCTGTCGTGGTTTATGTAAGTCTCAGAGAGTAGCCTTACTTTTTTAAACCCTGTCGTAGTTTATGTAAGTCTCAGTAGCTTTACTTTTTTAAACCCTGTCGTAGTTTATGTAAGTCTCAGAGAATAGCTTTACTTTTTTAAACCCTGTCGTAGTTTATGTAAGTCTCAGAGAATAGCTTTACTTTTTTAAACCCTGTCGTAGTTTATGTAAGTCTCAGAAAATAGCTTTACTTTTTTAAACCCTGTCGTAGTTTATGTAAGTCTCAGAGAATAGCTTTACTTTTTTAAACCCTGTCGTAGTTTATGTAAGTCTCAGAGAATAGCTTTACTTTTTTAAACCCTGTCGTAGTTTATGTAAGTCTCAGAGAATAGCCTTACTTTTTTAAACCCTGTCGTAGTTTATGTGTTACCAATAGCTTCTTTTTGCCACTAATTTTCATATATTGGCTCTCTAATTAGCCCTATTATCCCCAGACCTCTCTAATTAGTCATGTTATCCCCAGACCTCTCTAATTAGTCATGTTAACCCCAGACCTCTCTAATTAGTCATGTTAAACCCAGACCTCTCTAATTAGTTATGTTAAACCCAGACCTCTCTAATTAGTTATGTTAACCCCAGACCTCTCTAATTAGTTATGTTAACCCCAGACCTCTCTAATTAGTCATGTAAACCCCAGACCTCTCTAATTATCCCTCTGATATCCCCAGACCTCTCTAATTAGCCCTATTATCCCCAGACCTCTCTAATTAGTCATGTTATCCCCAGACCTCTCTAATTAGTCATGTTATCCCCAGACCTCTCTAATTATCCCTCTGATATCCCCAGACCTCTCTAATTATCCCTCTGATATTCCCAGACCTCTCTAATTAGTCATGTTATCCCCAGACCTCTCTAATTAGTCATGTTATCCCCAGACCTCTCTAATTATCCCTCTGATATCCCCAGACCTCTCTAATTATCCCTCTGATATTCCCAGGCCTCAGACAATGAAGTAGGTACTAACATCACCTACAGGATCCTGAGTGGCGACCCCAACCAATCATTTGCTGTCAATGCTCTAACAGGAGAAGTAACTCTAGTGAAAAATTTAACCTTTGAAGATACTCCAGTCACCTCTACTGGCTCCCATACAGGAGTGTAAGGCTAAATCAGATTTGACTTGACACCATTAGACTGATGGATCTAGATTTGACTTGACACCATTAGACTGATGGATCTAGATTTGACTTGACACCATTAGACTAATGGATCTAGATTTGACTTGGCACCATCAGGCTGATGGATCTAAATTTGACTTGACACCATTAGACTGATGGATCTAGATTTGACTTGACACCATTAGACTGATGGATCTAGATTTGACTTGACACCATTAGACTGATGGATCTAGATTTGACTTGACACCATCACGCTGATGGATCTAGATTTGACTTGACACCATTAGACTAATGGATCTAGATTTGACTTGACACCATTAGACTGATGGATCTAGATTTGACTTGACACCATCACGCTGATGGATCTAGATTTGACTTGACACCATTAGACTAATGGATCTAGATTTGACTTGACACCATTAGACTAATGGATCTAGATTTGACTTGACACCATTAGACTGATGGATCTAGATTTGACTTGACACCATCACGCTGATGGATCTAGATTTGACTTGACACCATTAGACTAATGGATCTAGATTTGACTTGACACCATTAGACTGATGGATCTAGATTTGACTTGACACCATCACGCTGATGGATCTAGATTTGACTTGACACCATTAGACTGATGGATCTAGATTTGACTTGACACCATCACGCTGATGGATCTAGATTTGACTTGACACCATTAGACTGATGGATCTAGATTTGACTTGACACCATTAGACTGATGGATCTAGATTTGACTTGACACCATTAGACTGATGGATCTAGATTTGACTTGACACCATTAGACTGATGGATCTAGATTTGACTTGACACCATTAGACTGATGGATCTAGATTTGACTTGACACCATTAGACTAATGGATCTAGATTTGACTTGACACCATTAGACTGATGGATCTAGATTTGACTTGACACCATCAAACTGATGGATCTAGATTTGACTTGACACCATTAGACTGATGGATCTAGATTTGACTTGACACCATCAAACTGATGGATCTAGATTTGACTTGACACCATTAGACTGATGGATCTAGATTTGACTTGACACCATTAGACTGATGGATCTAGATTCGACTTGACACCATCATGCTGATGGATCTAGATTTGACTTGACACCATCAAACTGATGGATCTAAATTTGACTTGACACCATTAGACTGATGGATCTAGATTTGACTTGACACCATTAGACTAATGGATCTAGATTTGACTTGACACTATTAGACTGATGGAATTTTCCACTAAGCTGCTACCCTACCGTTGATGTTGCAGGTACACCGTAGTGATTGAAGCCTCTGACAATGGTCAGCCCCCACTCAAAGCTACAGCTCAAGTCAGGGTCTCCATAATTGTAAGTCATTTTGTCAGGCTCTCCCTAATTGTCTTATCAAGTCAGGCTCTCCATAATTGTAAGGCTTTTTTTACCTTCTTACTTAACTGACTTGGGAAAATACTCAAAACCTACAGCACCAAAAAGTCCAATCTTTACAGCATCTTTACCTAAACCAAAAAGTCCAATCTTTACAGCTTCTTTACCTAAAACAAAAAGTCCAATCTTTACAGCATCTTTACCTAAACCAAAAAGTCCAATCTTTACAGCATCTTTACCTAAACCAAAAAGTCCAATCATTACAGCATCTTCACCTAAACCAAAAAGTCCAATCTTTACAGCTTCTTTACCTAAAACAAAAAGTCCAATCTTTACAGCATCTTTACCTAAAACAAAAAGTCCAATCTTTACAGCATCTTTACCTAAACCAAAAAGTCCAATCTTTACAGCATCTTTACCTAAACCAAAAAGTCCAATCATTACAGCATCTTCACCTAAACCAAAAAGTCCAATCTTTACAGCATCTTCACCTAAACCAGATTGACCCTTATTTTATCCCATTGTTTAGTATTTCCCCTTTAGCCTCAATGTTACCTCAACTTGCCCAAGATCTTATATTCTCCCCTGTGCCCTAGATGTTGTATGCCCTTTGGCCTACATATTTGGTCTAGATGTTATTATCTGACCATTGGTCTAGATGTTATTATCTGACCATTGGTCTAGATGTTATTATCTGCCCTTTGGTCTAGATGTCATTATCTGCCCTTTGGCCTACATATTTTTATTTGTCCATTTGGCCTAGATGTTATTATCTGCCCTTTGGTCTAGATGTTATTATCTGCCCTTTGGTCTAGATGTTATTATCTGCCCTTTGGTCTAGATGTTATTATCTGCCCTTTGGTCTAGATGTTATTATCTGCCCTTTGGTCTAGATGTTATTATCTGCCCTTTGGTCTAGATGTTATTATCTGCCCTTTGGTCTAGATGTTATTATCTGCCCTTTGGTCTAGATGTTATTATCTGCCCTTTGGTCTAGATGTTATTATCTGCCCTTTGGTCTAGATGTTATTATCTGACCATTGGTCTAGATGTTATTATCTGCCCTTTGATCTAGATGTTATTATCTGACCATTGGTCTAGATGTTATTATCTGCCCTTTGATCTAGATGTTATTATCTGACCATTGGTCTAGATGTTATTATCTGCCCTTTGGTCTAGATGTCATTATCTGCCCTTTGGCCTACATATTTTTATTTGTCCATTTGGCCTAGATGTTATTATCTGCCCTTTGGTCTAGATGTTATTATCTGCCCTTTGGTCTAGATGTTATTATCTGCCCTTTGGTCTAGATGTTATTATCTGCCCTTTGGTCTAGATGTTATTATCTGCCCTTTGATCTAGATGTTATTATCTGACCATTGGTCTAGATGTTATTATCTGCCCTTTGGTCTAGATGTTATTATCTGCCCTTTGATCTAGATGTTATTATCTGCCCTTTGGTCTAGATGTTATTATCTGCCCTTTGGTCTAGATGTTATTATCTGCCCTTTGATCTAGATGTTATTATCTGCCCTTGTGTTTGTCTCCAGGATGAGAACAATCACTCCCCAGTGTTTCAAGTCACCAACATCAATAAAGAGTTGTCTGAACTTGCTCCAGCAGGTAATATCTTCTTACCACCATCTGTAACATTTATCTGCTTACTTAGCCATTTGTAACAACTAGTTAACTGTAGGTACCAGTGAACATTTGATGGAGAGAATATTGATTGTAGGTACCTGTAAACATTTGATGGAGAGAATATTGATTGTAGGTACCTGTGAACATTTGATGGAGAGAATATTGATTGCAGATACCTGTGAACATTTGATGGAGAGAATATTGATTGCAGGTACTCTGGTGGCCAAGCTGAACGCCACGGATGCTGACAGTGGAGACTTTGGTAAAATTACGTACCGTATCGGTGCTGGGCAGTCTGACAGTTTTTTTGTCAACGAGACAACAGGCACTGTGACCGTCAACTCCAACAACTCGTTTGACTATAATGTCAAGAACAACTACATACTTATAGTAAGCTTTGATGCAAACTTTTGAGTTGTCTGCATATGTATTGGCTACTTCAGAACATCTTTAACTTTTGTCAGTGGTGGATCATCTCTATAACTTTTGTCAGTATTAGATCACCTCTATAACTTTTGTCAGTATTAGATCATCTCTTTAACTTTTGTCAGTATTAGATCATCTCTATAACTTTTGTCAGTATTAGATCACCTCTATAACTTTTGTCAGTGGTGGATCATCTCTATAACTTTTGTCAGTATTAGATCACCTCTATAACTTTTGTCAGTATTAGATCACCTCTATAACTTTTGTCAGTGGTGGATCATCTCTATAACTTTTGTCAGTATTAGATCACCTCTATAACTTTTGTCAGTATTAGATCATCTCAACTTTTGTCAGTATTAGATCATCTCTATAACTTTTGTCAGTATTAGATCATCTCTATACCTTTTGTCAGTATTAGATCATCTCTATAACTTTTGTCAGTATTAGATCACCTCTATAACTTTTGTCAGTATTAGATCACCTCTATAACTTTTGTCAGTATTAGATCACCTCTATAACTTTTGTCAGTATTAGATCATCTCTATAACTTTTGTCAGTATTAGATCACCTCTATAACTTTTGTCAATATTGGATCATCTCAACTTTTGTCAGTATTAGATCATCTCTATAACTTTTGTCAGTATTAGATCACCTCTATAACTTTTGTCAGTATTAGATCACCTCTATAACTTTTGTCAGTGGTGGATCATCTCTTTAACTTTTGTCAATATTAGATCATCTCTTTAACTTTTGTCAATATTAGATCATCTCTATAACTTTTGTCAGTATTAGATCACCTCTATAACTTTTGTCAGTATTAGATCACCTCTATAACTTTTGTCAGTATTAGATCACCTCTATAACTTTTGTCAATATTGGATCATCTCTATAACTTTTGTCAATATTAGATCATCTCTTTAACTTTTGTCAATATTAGATCATCTCTATAACTTTTGTCAGTATTAGATCACCTCTATAACTTTTGTCAGTATTAGATCACCTCTATAACTTTTGTCAGTATTAGATCACCTCTATAACTTTTGTCAGTGGTGGATCATCTCTATAACTTTTGTCAGTATTAGATCATCTCTATAACTTTTGTCAGTATTAGATCACCTCTAACTTTTGTCAGTATTAGATCATCTCTCTACCTTTCAACAGATCTATGCCACAGATGGGGGTGTGCCACAAAAGACAGCAACAGCCACCATTACTGTTACAATCTTGGATGCCAACAACAAAAACCCAACTTTTGGGATGCTCATCTACTCTCGTGAGGTTGACGAAAGTAAGTCCTCAACACATGATGATCAGGTAGATGAAAATGTATCAACAGATGATGGAGATAATTCTAGAGTGCAGTGGTTCTTAATCTGGGTTAGATCAAGGAGTCAATTTCTGGGGTTCAGCGGAGGTCAAGACACACAGCATACTCAAATGATTCTTGCAGGGCTGCCTACTTGTACGGTTTTGCTCATAATTTTACGATTTTTACACACAGGTTACAGAATTATGATTATGCCACAAAGATTATGCTTTTGCCTTCAGTAGAGATCAAAATCGTCTTAGCGGCGAATTTTTTTTTTCTTGTGGTAAAACTTAATGTTCCCGGCCTGAGTTTTAGACTAGATTTAAATTATGTAGTCACAGTTTCAACTGTGTTATCCCACTCGATGGTTTCAAGCATCTTCTGTAATAATCCCCCTCCCCCATCCCTTCCCACCAATGTCATGTTAGGCGGTAGTCGTTGCTAAGTTGTGAACTTTATTGACTCCTCAAATAGTCTGTGGTCTTGGCTTGGTCATTGGACGTCTGGTCTCGCCAGGAAAATATCTCTATTAAAATTAAACCTACCTCTAGGAGTACTCTTTCAAAAAATAAAATAATAAATTATGTGAGCGTAGGTTTATACTTATTTAAAAAATGATTTGGGTGTGGGTAAAATGCTAGATGGGAAAGGGCGAGACATAGCTGCAGTGGAATTATGGGTAAAACTAGCCAGACATAATTTATGTTGTTTGAGATGTGTGAGAAGAAAAGTTTTTACTAAACAACTAGATCTAGGCCCATCTAGATAACCTTTTGTTCTAGATATTACTTAGATAAAATCAAGATTTAAAAAAAGCAATTCAACAAGAGATGTGCTAATTCTAAACATCATCACCCATAGGCCTCTCACGTTTTCTTCTGACACTGTCAAGGGGTCACTGAGTTCACATTGGTTTAAATATCGGTACTGTAGGCCTATAGCATACGTCATACTACTCATAGCAAGAACAATTCTTATTTGAGATTTTCCGTTGTCGCCTCAAACGCTTAGTTTCGTAGCGCTTTTTAGAAAAATCAATTTCTTTAAAATAAAAGCTAGCATGTGTAACGTAACGTCATCATAACGCTAATAAGTTTTTCAATAATATAAAATAAGTCTTCTTTAAATTGTATTAAAAATGCAAAAAAATACTGAAAGTTAAGGACAGATGTCAATTATTACGGAAAATCTGTGATCTTCTTACGGAAGATTTTTTTGGGGTCGGCAACTCTGTTCATGATCAGATTTTGTCAGTGCAGACAAAAGGACTCTTAAGAAGCATTTGGTGAATGTACCTATAAAATGGCGGGGTTTGGTACCTCCAAAAAGGTTAAAAACCACTACTGTAGTGTTGACCTATGTTTGTTACAGAAACTGCCATCAATGCTGTAGTGTGACCTATGTTTGTTACAGAAACTGCCATCAATACTGTAGTGTGACCTATGTTTGTTACAGAAACTGCCATCAATACTGTAGTGTGACCTATGTTTGTTACAGAAACTGCCATCAATACTGTAGTGTGACCTATGTTTGTTACAGAAACTGCCATCAATGCTGTAGTGTGACCTATGTTTGTTACAGAAACTCCCATCAATACTGTAGTGTGACCTATGTTTGTTACAGAAACTGCCATCAATACTGTAGTGTGACCTATGTTTGTTACAGAAACTGCCATCAATACTGTAGTGTGACCTATGTTTGTTACAGAAACTGCCATCAATACTGTAGTGTGACCTATGTTTGTTACAGAAACTGCCATCAATGCTGTAGTGTGACCTATGTTTGTTACAGAAACTCCCATCAATACTGTAGTGTGACCTATGTTTGTTACAGAAACTGCCATCAATACTGTAGTGTGACCTATGTTTGTTACAGAAACTGCCATCAATGCTGTAGTGTGACCTATGTTTGTTACAGAAACTGCCATCAATGCTGTAGTGTGACCTATGTTTGTTACAGAAACTGCCATCAATGCTGTAGTGTGACCTATGTTTGTTACAGAAACTCCCATCAATGCTGTAGTGTGACCTATGTTTGTTACAGAAACTGCCATCAATGCTGTAGTGTGACCTATGTTTGTTACAGAAACTGCCATCAATACTGTAGTGTGACCTATGTTTGTTACAGAAACTGCCATCAATACTGTAGTGTGACCTATGTTTGTTACAGAAACTGCCATCAATGCTGTAGTGTGACCTATGTTTGTTACAGAAACTCCCATCAATACTGTAGTGTGACCTATGTTTGTTACAGAAACTGCCATCAATGCTGTAGTGTGACCTATGTTTGTTACAGAAACTGCCATCAATACTGTAGTGTGACCTATGTTTGTTACAGAAACTCCCATCAATACTGTAGTGTGACCTATGTTTGTTACAGAAACTGCCATCAATACTGTAGTGTGACCTATGTTTGTTACAGAAACTCCCATCAATACTGTAGTGTGACCTATGTTTGTTACAGAAACTGCCATCAATACTGTAGTGTGACCTATGTTTGTTACAGAAACTCCCATCAATACTGTAGTGTGACCTATGTTTGTTACAGAAACTGCCATCAATACTGTTGTGTGACCTATGTTTGTTACAGAAACTGCCATCAATACTGTAGTGTGACCTATGTTTGTTACAGAAACTCCCATCAATACTGTAGTGTGACCTATGTTTGTTACAGAAACTGCCATCAATGCTGTAGTGTGACCTATGTTTGTTACAGAAACTCCCATCAATACTGTAGTGTGACCTATGTTTGTTACAGAAACTGCCATCAATACTGTAGTGTGACCTATGTTTGTTACAGAAACTCCCATCAATACTGTAGTGTGACCTATGTTTGTTACAGAAACTGCCATCAATACTGTAGTGTGACCTATGTTTGTTACAGAAACTGCCATCAATGCTGTAGTGTGACCTATGTTTGTTACAGAAACTGCCATCAATACTGTAGTGTGACCTATGTTTGTTACAGAAACTCCCATCAATACTGTAGTGTGACCTATGTTTGTTACAGAAACTGCCATCAATGCTGTAGTGTGACCTATGTTTGTTACAGAAACTGCCATCAATACTGTAGTGTGACCTATGTTTGTTACAGAAACTGCCATCAATGCTGTAGTGTGACCTATGTTTGTTACAGAAACTGCCATCAATGCTGTAGTGTGACCTATGTTTGTTACAGAAACTGCCATCAATGCTGTAGTGTGACCTATGTTTGTTACAGAAACTGCCATCAATGCTGTAGTGTGACCTATGTTTGTTACAGAAACTGCCATCAATACTGTAGTGTGACCTATGTTTGTTACAGAAACTCCCATCAATACTGTAGTGTGACCTATGTTTGTTACAGAAACTCCCATCAATACTGTAGTGTGACCTATGTTTGTTACAGAAACTGCCATCAATACTGTAGTGTGACCTATGTTTGTTACAGAAACTGCCATCAATACTGTAGTGTGACCTATGTTTGTTACAGAAACTCCCATCAATACTGTAGTGTGACCTATGTTTGTTACAGAAACTGCCATCAATACTGTAGTGTGACCTATGTTTGTTACAGAAACTGCCATCAATGCTGTAGTGTGACCTATGTTTGTTACAGAAACTGCCATCAATGCTGTAGTGTGACCTATGTTTGTTACAGAAACTCCCATCAATACTGTAGTGTGACCTATGTTTGTTACAGAAACTGCCATCAATGCTGTAGTGTGACCTATGTTTGTTACAGAAACTCCCATCAATGCTGTAGTGTGACCTATGTTTGTTACAGAAACTGCCATCAATACTGTAGTGTGACCTATGTTTGTTACAGAAACTCCCATCAATACTGTAGTGTGACCTATGTTTGTTACAGAAACTGCCATCAATGCTGTAGTGTGACCTATGTTTGTTACAGAAACTGCCATCAATACTGTAGTGTGACCTATGTTTGTTACAGAAACTCCCATCAATACTGTAGTGTGACCTATGTTTGTTACAGAAACTGCCATCAATACTGTAGTGTGACCTATGTTTGTTACAGAAACTCCCATCAATACTGTAGTGTGACCTATGTTTGTTACAGAAACTGCCATCAATACTGTAGTGTGACCTATGTTTGTTACAGAAACTCCCATCAATACTGTAGTGTGACCTATGTTTGTTACAGAAACTGCCATCAATACTGTAGTGTGACCTATGTTTGTTACAGAAACTCCCATCAATGCTGTAGTGTGACCTATGTTTGTTACAGAAACTGCCATCAATACTGTAGTGTGACCTATGTTTGTTACAGAAACTGCCATCAATACTGTAGTGTGACCTATGTTTGTTACAGAAACTCCCATCAATACTGTAGTGTGACCTATGTTTGTTACAGAAACTGCCATCAATACTGTAGTGTGACCTATGTTTGTTACAGAAACTGCCATCAATACTGTAGTGTGACCTATGTTTGTTACAGAAACTGCCATCAATACTGTAGTGTGACCTATGTTTGTTACAGAAACTCCCATCAATACTGTAGTGTTGACCTATGTTTGTTACAGAAACTGCCATCAATGCTGTAGTGTGACCTATGTTTGTTACAGAAACTGCCATCAATACTGTAGTGTGACCTATGTTTGTTACAGAAACTGCCATCAATACTGTAGTGTGACCTATGTTTGTTACAGAAACTCCCATCAATGCTGTAGTGTGACCTATGTTTGTTACAGAAACTGCCATCAATACTGTAGTGTGACCTATGTTTGTTACAGAAACTGCCATCAATACTGTAGTGTGACCTATGTTTGTTACAGAAACTGCCATCAATGCTGTAGTGTGACCTATGTTTGTTACAGAAACTGCCATCAATACTGTAGTGTGACCTATGTTTGTTACAGAAACTGCCATCAATACTGTAGTGTGACCTATGTTTGTTACAGAAACTCCCATCAATACTGTAGTGTGACCTATGTTTGTTACAGAAACTGCCATCAATGCTGTAGTGTGACCTATGTTTGTTACAGAAACTCCCATCAATACTGTAGTGTGACCTATGTTTGTTACAGAAACTGCCATCAATGCTGTAGTGTGACCTATGTTTGTTACAGAAACTGCCATCAATGCTGTAGTGTGACCTATGTTTGTTACAGAAACTGCCATCAATGCTGTAGTGTGACCTATGTTTGTTACAGAAACTGCCATCAATACTGTAGTGTGACCTATGTTTGTTACAGAAACTGCCATCAATACTGTAGTGTGACCTATGTTTGTTACAGAAACTCCCATCAATACTGTAGTGTGACCTATGTTTGTTACAGAAACTCCCATCAATACTGTAGTGTGACCTATGTTTGTTACAGAAACTGCCATCAATGCTGTAGTGTGACCTATGTTTGTTACAGAAACTGCCATCAATACTGTAGTGTGACCTATGTTTGTTACAGAAACTGCCATCAATACTGTAGTGTGACCTATGTTTGTTACAGAAACTGCCATCAATGCTGTAGTGTGACCTATGTTTGTTACAGAAACTCCCATCAATACTGTAGTGTGACCTATGTTTGTTACAGAAACTGCCATCAATACTGTAGTGTGACCTATGTTTGTTACAGAAACTGCCATCAATGCTGTAGTGTGACCTATGTTTGTTACAGAAACTGCCATCAATGCTGTAGTGTGACCTATGTTTGTTACAGAAACTGCCATCAATGCTGTAGTGTGACCTATGTTTGTTACAGAAACTGCCATCAATACTGTAGTGTGACCTATGTTTGTTACAGAAACTCCCATCAATACTGTAGTGTGACCTATGTTTGTTACAGAAACTGCCATCAATACTGTAGTGTGACCTATGTTTGTTACAGAAACTGCCATCAATGCTGTAGTGTGACCTATGTTTGTTACAGAAACTGCCATCAATACTGTAGTGTGACCTATGTTTGTTACAGAAACTGCCATCAATACTGTAGTGTGACCTATGTTTGTTACAGAAACTCCCATCAATACTGTAGTGTGACCTATGTTTGTTACAGAAACTGCCATCAATACTGTAGTGTGACCTATGTTTGTTACAGAAACTCCCATCATTAATATAGAATGACCTATGTTTGTTACAGAAACTGCCATCAATGCTGTAGTGTGACCTATGTTTGTTACAGAAACTGCCATCAATACTGTAGTGTGACCTATGTTTGTTACAGAAACTGCCATCAATACTGTAGTGTGACCTATGTTTGTTACAGAAACTGCCATCAATACTGTAGTGTGACCTATGTTTGTTACAGAAACTCCCATCAATACTGTAGTGTGACCTATGTTTGTTACAGAAACTGCCATCAATGCTGTAGTGTGACCTATGTTTGTTACAGAAACTGCCATCAATACTGTAGTGTGACCTATGTTTGTTACAGAAACTGCCATCAATACTGTAGTGTGACCTATGTTTGTTACAGAAACTGCCATCAATACTGTAGTGTGACCTATGTTTGTTACAGAAACTCCCATCAATACTGTAGTGTGACCTATGTTTGTTACAGAAACTGCCATCAATACTGTAGTGTGACCTATGTTTGTTACAGAAACTGCCATCAATACTGTAGTGTGACCTATGTTTGTTACAGAAACTCCCATCAATACTGTAGTGTGACCTATGTTTGTTACAGAAACTGCCATCAATACTGTAGTGTGACCTATGTTTGTTACAGAAGCTCCCATCAATACTGTAGTGTGACCTATGTTTGTTACAGAAACTGCCATCAATGCTGTAGTGTGACCTATGTTTGTTACAGAAACTGCCATCAATACTGTAGTGTGACCTATGTTTGTTACAGAAACTGCCATCAATACTGTAGTGTGACCTATGTTTGTTACAGAAACTGCCATCAATACTGTAGTGTGACCTATGTTTGTTACAGAAACTCCCATCAATACTGTAGTGTGACCTATGTTTGTTACAGAAACTGCCATCAATACTGTAGTGTGACCTATGTTTGTTACAGAAACTGCCATCAATACTGTAGTGTGACCTATGTTTGTTACAGAAACTCCCATCAATACTGTAGTGTGACCTATGTTTGTTACAGAAACTGCCATCAATACTGTAGTGTGACCTATGTTTGTTACAGAAACTGCCATCAATACTGTAGTGTGACCTATGTTTGTTACAGAAACTGCCATCAATACTGTAGTGTGACCTATGTTTGTTACAGAAACTCCCATCAATACTGAAGTGTTGACAGTACCTGCCACTGATCTCGATACAAACGCACTCCTCAGCTACTACATCAGTGATGTGACAGCTTTTGACAGAAATGGCAACCAGCTGACATCCACCATTCCATACAACTACAAAGTGAGCCCTGACAGTGAGATATATATAGAGGAGAAAATGGTTTCTAGTTGAAGTGTGCATGAGTGGCATCACTGATGCCTGTATGTTTGTCAATGAGTACTTGTACAGGTTTGTTCACATTGCGGCAGGCGGGATGACCCTAGGTGTGATGTATAAACCCCAAGTTTACGTTGGGAACAAACTGGTTAGACAACCAGTGGGGCTCTGAGTGCCATCCCAGGTTTGATCTGGTCATTCATTATAGCAGCCCACCTGGTGTAGGGTGCTCCTTAAAATGAATGTAGGCTCCATAAAGCCCGGGGCACTGCGGTCACTAGATCGCCATATGAAGCCTTGATGCAGTTACTGTAGTAAACCTGGCATCCTGTGCAGGATGTCCAATCACAGACCCCAGGGGTTAATTGGCCTCTAGAGAACTCAGGGCGCCACACGGCAGTACCTCAGGGAAACTCCCCCACACGACACAGTACCTCAGGGGAACTCAGGGCGCCAAACGGCAGTACCTCAGGGAAACTCAGGGCGCCAAACGGCAGTACCTCAGGGAAACTCAGGGCGCCACACGACAGTACCTCAGGGAAATTCAAGGCTCCACACGACACAGTACCTCAGGGAAACTCAGGGCGCCACACGGCAGTACCTCAGGGGAACTCCGCCACAAGACACAGTACCTCAGGGGAACTCAGGTTGCCACACATAGTACCTCAGGGGAACTCCGCCACACGACAGTACCTCAGGGAAACTCCCCCACACGACACAGTACCTCAGGGAAACTCAGGGCGCCACACGGCAGTACCTCAGGGGAACTCCGCCACTTGACACAGTACCTCAGGGGAACTTAGGGTGCCACACGACACAGTATCTCAGGGGAACTCAAGGCTCCACATAACACAGTACCTCAGGGGAACTCCGCCACATGACACAGTATCTCAGGGGAACTCAAGGCTCCACACGACACAGTACCTCAGGGGCATTACCCAGCATATATTTTTAAAAATTTTGACGGCAGAACTTTTCTGACCAACTTTAGTTTGATTGGATGAAAGGTGCCGCAATGTGTGTTTATGTGTTCACCTACTTTCACTTGTTTACATTTAGAGTTTCACTAACAATTGTTTTTTTAGGATGCTTTTGGGGTCAGATCAAATGGTACAATTTTTGTGAAAGGAAGCTTAGACAAATCTCTGGCTCAGGAGATCAGGTTTCAGTTGGTTGTTAGAGACAACAACACACAGTTTGGTACAGGCATTGGAACCAGTGAGTAGACACACACACACAGTCATCTGTAGACACACACACAGTCATCTGTAGACACACAGTCACCTGTAGACACACACACAGTCATCTGTAGACACACAGTCATCTGTAGACACACACACACAGTCATCTGTAGACACACACACAGTCATCTGTAGACACACAGTCATCTGTAGACACACACACAGTCATCTGTAGACACACACACAGTCATTGTAGATACACACACACACACAGTAATCTGTAGACACACACACACACAGTCATCTGTAGACACACACACAGTCATTGTAGATACACACACACACACAGTCATCTGTAGACACACACAGTCATCTGTAGACACACACATACAGTCATCTGTAGACACACACACAGTCATCTGTAGACACACACACAGTCATCTGTAGACACACACACACAGTCACCTTAGACACACACACATTCATCTGTAGCCACACACAGTCATCTGTAGACACACACAGTCATCTGTAGACACACACACACAGTAATCTGTTGACACACAGTCATCTGTAGACACACACACAGTCATCTGTAGACACACACACACAGTCACCTTAGACACACACACACACATTCATCTGTAGACACACACACAGTCATCTGCAGATACACACACAGTCATCTGTAGACACACACACACAGTCATCTGTAGACACACACACAGTAATCTGTAGACACACACACACAGTCATCTGTAGACACACACACAGTCATCTGTAGACACACACACAGTCATCTGTAGACACACACACACAGTCATCTGTAGACACACACACACAGTCATCTGTAGACACACACACACAGTCATCTGTAGACACACACACACAGTCATCTGTAGACACACACACAGTCATCTGTAGACACACACACAGTCATCTGTAGACACACACACAGTCATCTGTAGACACACACACAGTCATCTGTAGACACACACACAGTCATCTGTAGACACACACAGTCATCTGTAGACACACAGTCATCTGTAGACACACACATACAGTCAACTGTAGACACACACACAGTCATCTGTAGACACACACACAGTCATCTGTAGACACACACACAGTCATCTGTAGACACAGTCATCTGTAGACACACACACAGTAATCTGTAGACACACACACGGTCATCTGTAAACACACACACAGTCATCTGTAGACACACACACAGTCATCTGTAGACACACACACAGTAATCTGTAGACACAGTCATCTGTAGACACACACACACAGTAATCTGTAGACACACACAGTCATCTGTAGACACACACACAGCCATCTGTAGACACACACACAGTAATCTGTAGACACAGTCATCTGTAGACACACACACAGTCATCTGTCGACACACACACACAGTAATCTGTAGACACACACACGGTCATCTGTAAACACACACGGTCATCTGTAGACACACACACACACTCATCTGTAGACACACACACACAGTCATCTGTAGACACACACACAGTCATCTGTAGACACACAGTCATCTGTAGACACACACACAGTCATCTGTAGACACACACACACAGTCATCTGTAGACACACAGTCATCTGTAGACACACACACAGTCATCTGTAGACACACAGTCATCTGTAGACACACACACAGTCATCTGTAGACACACAGTCATCTGTAGACACACACACAGTCATCTGTAGACACACAGTCATCTGTAGACACACACACAGTCATCTGTAGACACACACACACAGTAATCTGTAGACACACACAGTCATCTGTAGACACACAGTCATCTGTAGACACACATACAGTCATCTGTAGACACACACACAGTCATCTGTAGACACACACACAGTCATCTGTAGACACACACAGTCATCTGTAGACACACACACACACAGTCATCTGTAGACACACACACAGTCATCTGTAGACACACACACAGTAATCTGTAGACACACAGTCATCTGTAGACACACACACACAGTCATCTGTAGACACACACACACAGTCATCTGTAGACACACACACAGTCATCTGTAGACACACACACACAGTCATCTGTAGACACACACACACAGTCATCTGTAGACACACACACACAGTCATCTGTAGACACACACACAGTCATCTGTAGACACACACAGTCATCTGTAGACACACACATACAGTCATCTGTAGACACACACACACACAGTAATCTGTTGACACACACACACACAGTCATCTGTAGACACACACACACAGTAATCTGTTGACACACACACACAGTCATCTGTAGACACACACACACAGTAATCTGTTGACACACACACACACAGTCATCTGTAGACACACACACACAGTCATCTGTAGACACACACACACAGTCATCTGTAGACACACACACAGTCATCTGTAGACACACACACACAGTCATCTGTAGACACACACACACAGTCATCTGTAGACACACACACACAGTCATCTGTAGACACACACACAGTCATCTGTAGACACACACAGTCATCTGTAGACACACACATACAGTCATCTGTAGACACACACACACACAGTAATCTGTTGACACACACACACACAGTAATCTGTTGACACACACACACACAGTCATCTGTAGACACACACACACAGTAATCTGTTGACACACACACACAGTCATCTGTAGACACACACACACAGTCATCTGTAGACACACACACACAGTAATCTGTTGACACACACACACACACAGTCATCTGTAGACACACACACACAGTCATCTGTAGACACACACACACAGTCATCTGTAGACACACACACACAGTCATCTGTAGACACACACACAGTCATCTGTAGACACACACACACAGTCATCTGTAGACACACACACACAGTCATCTGTAGACACACACACACAGTCATCTGTAGACACACACACAGTCATCTGTAGACACACACAGTCATCTGTAGACACACACATACAGTCATCTGTAGACACACACACACACACAGTAATCTGTTGACACACACACACACAGTCATCTGTAGACACACACACAGTAATCTGTTGACACACACACAGTCATCTGTAGACACACACACAGTCATCTGTAGACACACACACACAGTCATCTGTAGACACACACACACAGTCACTGATTGTGTCTCCATGTTGTTATGGCCCCTACATATGTCTCCATGTTGTTATGGCCCCTGCATATGTCTCCATGTTGTTATGGCCCCTGCATATGTCCTCATGTTGTTATGGCCCCTACATATGTCCTCATGTTGTTATGGCCCCTACATATGTCCTCATGTTGTTATGGCCTCTACATATGTCCTCATGTTGTTATGGCCCCTGCATATGTCCTCATGTTGTTATGGCCCCTGCATATGTCTCCATGTTGTTATGGCCCCTACATATGTCCTCATGTTGTTATGGCCCCTGCATATGTCTCCATGTTGTTATGGCCCCTGCATATGTCCTCATGTTGTTATGGCCCCTGCATATGTCTCCATGTTGTTATGGCCCCTGCATATGTCCTCATGTTGTTATGGCCCCTACATATGTCCTCATGTTGTTATGGCCTCTACATATGTCCTCATGTTGTTATGGCCTCTACATATGTCCTCATGTTGTTATGGCCCCTACATATGTCTCCATGTTGTTATGGCCCCTACATATGTCCTCATGTTGTTATGGCCCCTACATATGTCCTCATGTTGTTATGGCCTCTACATATGTCCTCATGTTGTTATGGCCCCTGCATATGTCCTCATGTTGTTATGGCCCCTGCATATGTCTCCATGTTGTTATGGCCCCTACATATGTCCTCATGTTGTTATGGCCCCTACATATGTCTCCATGTTGTTATGGCCCCTGCATATGTCTCCATGTTGTTATGGCCCCTGCATATGTCTCCATGTTGTTATGGCCTCTACATATGTCCTCATGTTGTTATGGCCTCTACATATGTCCTCATGTTGTTATGGCCCCTACATATGTCCTCATGTTGTTATGGCCCCTACATATGTCCTCATGTTGTTATGGCCCCTGCATATGTCCTCATGTTGTTATGGCCCCTGCATATGTCTCCATGTTGTTATGGCCCCTACATATGTCCTCATGTTGTTATGGCCCCTGCATATGTCTCCATGTTGTTATGGCCCCTGCATATGTCCTCATGTTGTTATGGCCCCTGCATATGTCTCCATGTTGTTATGGCCCCTACATATGTCCTCATGTTGTTATGGCCCCTGCATATGTCTCCATGTTGTTATGGCCCCTACATATGTCTCCATGTTGTTATGGCCCCTACATATGTCTCCATGTTGTTATGGCCCCTGCATATGTCTCCATGTTGTTATGGCCCCTACATATGTCTCCATGTTGTTATGGCCCCTGCATATGTCTCCATGTTGTTATGGCCCCTGCATATGTCTCCATGTTGTTATGGCCCCTGCATATGTCTCCATGTTGTTATGGCCCCTGCATATGTCTCCATGTTGTTATGGCCCCTACATATGTCCTCATGTTGTTATGGCCCCTGCATATGTCCTCATGTTATTTTGCAATCTCTTCCAGCCCAGATTTCCTTAAGTATCACTGGAGTGGCAGAGTCCACCATCAAGTTTGACCCCTTCAGCCAGGTGTTCATGAATGAAGATGCTGAATTGGGTTACCAGGTCATCACTCTCACAGCTAGAGACCCCAGCAACATCCCTGTGGACAACTACACCAGGCTGAGTGGTTCTCCCAGCTTTGATATCCACCCCTCCATAGGTAACATAACCAGTCTCCACACTACCATAGGCAACATAACCAGTCTCCATCCTACCATAGGTAAAATAACCAGTCTCCACCCTACCATAGGTAACATAACCAGTCTCCACACCACCATAGGTAACATAACCAGTCTCCACACTACCATAGGTAACATAACCAGTCTCCACACTACCATAGGTAACATAACCAGTCTCCACACTACCATAGGTAACATAACCAGTCTCCACACCACCATAGGTAACATAACCAGTCTCCACACTACCATAGGTAACATAACCAGTCTCCACACTACCATAGGCAACATAACCAGTCTCCACACTACCATAGGTAAAATAACCAGTCTCCACACTACCATAGGCAACATAACCAGTCTCCACACTACCATAGGTAAAATAACCAGTCTCCACACTACCATAGGTAACATAACCAGTCTCCATTCTACACTAGGTAACATAACCAGTCTCCATCCTACCATAGGTAACATAACCAGTCTCCATCCTACCATAGGTAACATAACCAGTCTCCACACTACCATAGGCAACATAACCAGTCTCCACACTACCATAGGTAAAATAACCAGTCTCCATCCTACACTAGGTAACATAACCAGTCTCCACACTACCATAGGTAACATAACCAGTCTACATCCTAACATAGGTAACATAACCAGTCTCCATCCTACCATAGGTAACATAACCAGTCTCCATTCTACCATAGGTAACATAACCAGTCTCCATCCTACACTAGGTAACATAACCAGTCTCCATCCTACCATAGGTAACATAACCAGTCTCCATCCTACCATAGGTAACATAACCAGTCTCCATCCTAACATAGGTAACATAACCAGTCTCCATCCTACCATAGGTAACATAACCAGTCACCATCCTACACTAGGTCACATAACCAGTCTCCTCCCCAGGACGTATAACATTGATCCAAAAAATTCTTACATTTCAGGACGTGTAACACTGATCCAAAAAATTCTTACATTTCAGGACGTGTAACACTGATCCAAAAAATTCTTACATTTCAGGTCGTGTAACACTGATCCAAAAAATTGATTATGAAAATGATGCTGAGCCAGACCATCTCCACCAGCTGATTGTTCGGGCCACCAACAAAAATAACACGGCCATGGCCACAGCCACTGTCACCATCTCTATAGTGGATGTCAACGACAACAACCCAGTCTTTCAATATGTGAGTCTGCTTGTTGATTAGCTTCACCAGTCCACCTGCTTGTTGATTAGCTTAATGAATCTACCTGCTTGTTGATTAGCTTAATGAATCTACCTGCATGTTGATTAGCTTAATGAATATACCTGCTTGTTGATTAGCTTAATGAATCTACTTGCTATGATTAGCTTAATGAATCTACCTGCTTGTTGATTAGCTTAATGAATCTACCTGCTTGTTGATTAGCTTAATGAATCTACCTGCTTGTTGATTAGCTTAATGAATCTACCTGCTTGTTGATTAGCTTAATGAATCCACCTGCTTGTTGATTAGCTTAATGAATCTACCTGCATGTTGATTAGTTTAATGAATCTACCTTCTTGTTGATTAGCTTAATGAATCTACCTGCTTGTTGATTAGCTTAATGAATCTACCTGCTTGTTAATTAGTTTAATGAATCTACCTGCTTGTTGATTAGCTTCATCAGTCCACCTGCTTGTTGATTAGCTTAATGAATCTACCTGCTTGTTTATTAGCTTAATGAATCTACCTGCTTGTTGATTAGCTTAATGAATATACCTGCTTGTTGATTAGCTTCATCAGTTTACCTGCTTGTTGATTAACTTAATGAATCTACCTGCTTGTTGATTAGCTTAATGAATCTACCTGCTTGTTGATTAGCTTAATGAATCTACCTGCTTGTTGATTAGCTTAATGAATCTACCTGCTATGGTTAGCTTAATGAATCTACCTGCTTGTTGATTAGCTTATTGAATCTACCTGCTTGTTGATTAGCTTAATGAATCTATCTGCTTGTTAATTAGCTTAATGAATCTACCTGCTATGATTAGCTTAATGAATCTACCTGCTTGTTGATTAGCTTAATGAATCCACCTGCTATGATTAGCTTAATGAATCTACCTGCTTGTTGATTAGCTTAATGAATCTACCTGCTTGTTGATTAGCTTAATGAATCTACCTGCTTGTTAATTAGCTTAATGAATCTACCTGCTTGTTGATTAGCTTAATGAATCCACCTGCTTGTTGATTAGCTTAATGAATCTACCTGCATGTTGATTAGTTTAATGAATCTACCTTCTTGTTGATTAGCTTAATGAATCTACCTGCTTGTTGATTAGCTTAATGAATCTACCTGCTTGTTGATTAGCTTAATGAATCCACCTGCTTGTTGATTAGCTTAATGAATCTACCTGCATGTTGATTAGTTTAATGAATCTACCTTCTTGTTGATTAGCTTAATGAATCTACCTGCTTGTTGATTAGCTTAATGAATCTACCTGCTTGTTAATTAGTTTAATGAATCTACCTGCTTGTTGATTAGCTTCATCAGTCCACCTGCTTGTTGATTAGCTTAATGAATCTACCTGCTTGTTTATTAGCTTAATGAATCTACCTGCTTGTTGATTAGCTTAATGAATATACCTGCTTGTTGATTAGCTTCATCAGTTTACCTGCTTGTTGATTAACTTAATGAATCTACCTGCTTGTTGATTAGCTTAATGAATCTACCTGCTTGTTGATTAGCTTAATGAATCTACCTGCTTGTTGATTAGCTTAATGAATCTACCTGCTATGGTTAGCTTAATGAATCTACCTGCTTGTTGATTAGCTTATTGAATCTACCTGCTTGTTGATTAGCTTAATGAATCTATCTGCTTGTTAATTAGCTTAATGAATCTACCTGCTATGATTAGCTTAATGAATCTACCTGCTTGTTGATTAGCTTAATGAATCCACCTGCTATGATTAGCTTAATGAATCTACCTGCTTGTTGATTAGCTTAATGAATCTACCTGCTTGTTGATTAGCTTAATGAATCTACCTGCTTGTTAATTAGCTTAATGAATCTACCTGCTTGTTAATTAGCTTAATGAATCTACCTGCTTGTTGATTAGCTTAATGAATCTACCTGCTTGTTGTCCAACGCCTACAATTGAAATTTCCCCTTTTCAGCCACTGTATGATGTCTCTGTACCTGAAAGCTTCACTTATCCCATGGAGGTTGTGTCCATCTATGCCACAGATGCAGACAGCAAGAGTTACGGCCCCTTAGAGTTTACGTTCTCAGGGGGACTGGATGCAGATGATTTCACCATCTTCCACGAGGTAACCAGGGCATCACTGCCTCAATCTGCCTGGCATTCTTTATTCTTTGGTTTAACTAGCATACCTGGCACCCCATGCTAGACTGACAAGACATCCATATGACAGACTGACCAAATCTAGCCCTACATGACAGACTGACCAAATCTAGCCCTACATGACAGACTGACCAAATCTAGCACTACATGACAGACTGACCAAATCTAGCACTACATGACAGACTGACCAAATCTAGCACTACATGACAGACTGACCAAATCTAGCACTACATGACAGACTGACCAAATCTAGCACTACATGACAGACTGACCAAATCTAGCCCTACATGACAGACTGACCAAATCTAGCCCTACATGACAGACTGACCAAATCTAGCCCTACATGACAGACTGACCAAATCTAGCACTACATGACAGACTGACCAAATCTAGACCTACATGACAGACTGACCAAATCTAGCCCTACATGACAGACTGACCAAATCTAGCCCTACATGACAGCCTGACCAAATCTAGCACTACATGACAGACTGACCAAATCTAGCCCTACATGACAGACTGACCAAATCTAGCACTACATGACAGACTGACCAAATCTAGCCCTACATGACAGACTGACCAAATCTAGCCCTACATGACAGACTGACCAAATCTAGCCCTACATGACACCACCACCACTAAATGACCACCACCACCACCACTAAACCACCACCACCACTAAATGACCACCACCACCACTAAACCACCACCACCACTAAATGACCACCACCACCACCACTAAACCACCACCACCACTAAATGACCACCACCACCACTAAACCACCACCACCACTAAATTACCACCACCACCACCACTAAATGATCACCACCACCACTAAATGATCACCACCACCACTAAATGATCACCACCACCACTAAATGATCACCACCACCACTAAATGATCACCACCACCACTAAGTGACCACCACCACCACTAAATGACCACCACCACCACTAAATGACCACCACCACCACTAAATGATCACCACCACCACTAAATGATCACCACCACCACTAAATGATCACCACCACCAATAAGTGACCACCACCACCACTAAATGATCACCACCACCACTAAATGACCACCACCACCACCACTAAATGACCACCACCACCACCACCACTAAATGACCACCACCACCACCACCACTAAATGACCACCACCACCACTAAATGACCACCACCACCACTAAATGACCACCACCACCACCACTAAATGACCACCACCACCACTAAATGACCTCCACCACCACTAAATGACCACCACCACCACTAAATGACCACCACCACCACTAAATGACCACCACCACCACCACTAAATGACCACCACCACCACTAAATGACCACCACCACCACCACCACTAAATGACCACCACCACCACTAAATGACCACCACCACCACCACTAAATGATCACCACCACCACCACTCGATGACCACCACCACCACTAAATGACCACCACCACCACCACCACTAAATGACCACCACCACCACCACCACTAAATGACCACCACCACCACTAAATGACCACCACCACCACTAAATGACCACCACCACCACCACTAAATGACCACCACCACCACCACCACTAAATGACCACCACCACCACCATCACTAAATGACCACCACCACCACCACTAAATGACCACCACCACCACCACTAAATGATCACCACCACCACTAAATGACCACCACCACCACCACCACTAAATGACCACCACCACCACTAAATGACCACCACCACCACTAAATGACCACCACCACCACTAAATGACCACCACCACCACCACTAAATGACCACCACCACCACTAAATGACCACCACCACCACCACCACTAAATGACCACCACCACCACCACCACTAAATGACCACCACCACCACCACTAAATGACCACCACCACCACCACCACTAAATGACCACCACCACCACCACCACTAAATGACCACCACCACCACCACCACTAAATGACCACCACCACCACCACTAAATGACCACCACCACTAAATGACCACCACCACCACCACCACTAAATGACCACCACCACCACCACTAAATGACCACCCCCACCACCACCACTAAATGACCACCACCACCACCACTAAATGACCACCACCACCACTAAATGACCACCACCACCACTAAATGACCACCACCACCACCACTAAATGACCACCACCACCACCACCACTAAATGATCACCACCACCACCACTAAATGATCACCACCACCACCACTAAATGACCACCACCACCACTAAATGACCACCACCACCACTAAATGACCACCACCACCACCACTAAATGACCACCACCACCACCACCACTAAATGACCACCACCACCACCACTAAATGACCACCACCACCACCACTAAATGACCACCACCACCACTAACTGACCACCACCACCACCACTAAATGACCACCACCACCACTAACTGACCAGCACCACCACCACTAAATGACCACCACCACCACCACCACTAAATGACCACCACCACTAAATGACCACCACCACCACCACCACTAAATGACCACCACCACCACCACTAAATGACCACCACCACCACCACCACTAAATGACCACCACCACCACTAAATGACCACCACCACCACCACTAAATGACCACCACCACCACCACTAAATGACCACCACCACCACCACTAACTGACCACCACCACCACCACTAAATGACCACCACCACCACTAAATGACCACCACCACCACTAAATGACCACCACCACCACTAAATGACCACCACCACCACCAGCAGTAAGTGACCAGCTGTATTTGACAGGAAATACCCTCTGGTGCCTTAACCAGCAGGAGGGCTCACATCCTAGTGGCAGCTGGTAAAGCTCTGGACTACAACAGGCGTGACAGCTACGACCTGACTCTTCTGGTTGGCGACAACCTGGATTTGAAGTTTTCTAACACCAGGTTGTACGGCACTGCTCAGGTGAGTACCAGGTTGGACTTATTACCAGGTAGGGCTCAGGTGAGTACCAGGTAGGGCTCAGATTAGTACCAGGTAGGGCTTAGGTGATTACCAGGTAGGGCTCAGGTGAGTACCAGGTAGGGCTCAGATTAGTACCAGGTAGGGCTCAGGTGAGTACCAGGTAGGGCTCAGATTAGTACCAGGTAGGGCTCAGGTGAGTACCAGGTAGGGCTCAGATTAGTACCAGGTAGGGCTCAGGTGAGTACCAGGTAGGGCTCAGGTGAGTACCAGGTAGGGCTCAGATTAGTACCAGGTAGGGCTCAGGTGATTACCAGGTAGGGCTCAGGTGATTACCAGGTAGGGCTCAGATTAGTACCAGGTAGGGCTCAGATTAGTACCAGGTAGGGCTCAGGTGATTACCAGGTAGGGCTCAGGTGATTACCAGGTAGGGCTCAGATTAGTACCAGGTAGGGCTCAGGTGAGTACCAGGTAGGGCTCAGGTGATTACCAGGTAGGGCTCAGATTAGTACCAGGTAGGGCTCAGATTAGTACCAGGTAGGGCTCAGGTGATTACCAGGTAGGGCTCAGGTGATTACCAGGTAGGGCTCAGATTAGTACCAGGTAGGGCTCAGATTAGTACCAGGTAGGGCTCAGGTGAGTACCAGGTAGGGCTCAGATTAGTACCAGGTAGGGCTCAGGTGAGTACCAGGTAGGGCTCAGATTAGTACCAGGTAGGGCTCAGGTGAGTACTAGGTAGGGCTCAGATTAGTACCAGGTAGGGCTCAGGCGAGTAACAGGTCAGGCTACATTTTTTGAGTAACTGCCTTCTGTGTTGGGTGTATAAATTACGAAATGTTCATAACATTTATATTTTTTAATCTGATTATATTTTAATATATTCAATGTCTAAATTATTTCTGTTACTCAAAAATATGCTGGCTACATTTTTGTATTTAAACAATGTGTTACTTCCAACTGAAAACAAGATCTAAATTGCCTGATGAAAACAGGTTTGGTTTCATTTGAAAGCTTTAGAAGATTGTATTAACATAGCTCCCTTTCAAATAGTGTTGTTGATGTTTCAGCTAAGGATTAAGGTGGTTGATGAAAACAACAACTCTCCAATCTTTAAAGAACTTGCCCGCAACATTTCCATCCCTGAGACGGCCGATGTTGGCACCAGTGTTGCTGCAGCTATAGCTACAGACGCAGACCGTGGGCGAAATGGGGAGATAACCTACTCGCTGGAGCCTGACAGTGCTGTAAACATTTCTACTGGTAGGTGGGGTATATGCTGGGAATCTTCTGTTCTAAGTTTGGGGACATGTTAGTAGCAAGCTTGTTTTTTCTAAGTCACCAAGTCTTGTCTAATGTTTAGATACCACACCATAAAGTCTTGTCTAATGTTTAGATACCACACCATAAATTCTTCTCTAATGTTTAGATACCACACTATAAAGTCTTCTCTAATGTTTAGGTAACACACCATAAAGTCTTGTCTAATGTTTATATACCACACCATAAAGTCTTGTCTAATGTTTAGATACCACACTGTTCTCCGTGCTGCCAAGTCTTGGCACCATCTATGTTGCTCGCCCGCTGCTTGGTCTGGGTGGGAACAAATATTACCTGCAAGTGAGAGCCAGAGATGGGGGGGATGTCCCCAACAGCAGCCTCATGAAGCTTGTCATCAACATCCTCAGCACTGAAGACAATGATGGGAACCCAAAGTGGCTTCAGCCAGATTCAGGATTTGTGTTGTATGCACCAGAGGTCAGTTTGTGTTGTATTCACTAGAGGTCAGTTTGTGTAGTATGCACCAGAGGTCAGTTTGTCTTGTAAGCACCAGAGGTCAGTTTGTGTTGAGATTTGTGTGCACCAGAGGTCAGTTTGTCTTGTAATCACCAGAGGTCAGTTTGTCTTGTATGCACCAGAGGTCAGTTTGTGTTGTATGCACCAGAGGTCAGTTTGTGTTGTATGCACCAGAGGTCAGTTTGTCTTGTAAGCACCAGAGGTCAGTTTGTGTTGTATGCACCAGAGGTCAGTTTGTCTTGTAAGCACCAGAGGTCAGTTTGTGTTGAGATTTGTGTGCACCAGAGGTCAGTTTGTCTTGTATGCACCAGAGTTCAGTTTGTGTTGAGATTTGTGTGCACCAGAGGTCAGTTTGTCTTGTAAGCACCAGAGGTCAGTTTGTCTTGTAAGCACCAGAGGTCAGTTTGTCTTGTATGCACCAGAGGTCAGTTTGTCTTGTATGCACCAGAGTTCAGTTTGTGTTGAGATTTGTGTGCACCAGAGGTCAGTTTGTCTTGTAAGCATCAGAGGTCAGTTTGTCTTGTAAGCATCAGAGGTCAGTTTGTCTTGTATGCACCAGAGGTCAGTTTGTCTTGTATGCACCAGAGGTCAGTTTGTCTTGTATGCACCAGAGTTCAGTTTGTGTTGAGATTTGTGTGCACCAGAGGTCAGTTTGTCTTGTATGCACCAGAGGTCAGTTTGTCTTGTATGCACCAGAGTTCAGTTTGTGTTGAGATTTGTGTGCACCAGAGGTCAGTTTGTCTTGTATGCACCAGAGGTCAGTTTGTCTTGTATGCACCAGAGTTCAGTTTGTGTTGAGATTTGTGTGCACCAGAGTTCAGTTTGTCTTGTACGCACCAGAGGTCAGTTTGTGTTGAGATTTGTGTGCACCAGAGGTCAGTTTGTGTTGAGATTTGTGTGCACCAGAGGTCAGTTTGTCTTGTAAGCACCAGAGGTCAGTTTGTCTTGTAAGCATCAGAGGTCAGTTTGTCTTGTATGCACCAGAGGTCAGTTTGTGTTGTATGCACCAGAGGTCAGTTTGTGTTGTATGCACCAGAGGTCAGTTTGTCTTGTATGCACCAGAGGTCAGTTTGTGTTGAGATTTGTGTATCCATTATATAACATAATGTTGACACATCAATGATATAACATAATGTTGGCTTGTCTGTTTTATAACCTGGTGTAGTCCTGACATTGCTCTCCAGGAAACCCCAGGCTATGTACTGAACATTCAGAACGTGACCACATTTCTTAAAGTGGACTCAAGACACGGCTCTACCATCAGCTACTTTCTGTCTCCTTATGGTCCCTACATGAACAACTTTAAGATCAACTCCAGCACAGGGGAGATCACCATCACTGGCCGGCTGGACAGGGAAGTTCAAGACACTTATCAGGTAAGCTTGGCCTTGCTTGTTTCATGCATTGCTTCACTTATCAGGTAAGCTTGGCCTTGCTTGTTTCATGCATTGCTTCACTTATCAGGTAAGCTTGGCCTTGCTTGTTACATGCATTGCTTCACTTATCAGGTAAGCTTGGCCTTGCTTGTTACATGCATTGCTTCACTTATCAAGTAAGCTTGGCCTTGCTTGTTACATGCATTGCTTCACTTATCAGGTAAGCTTGGCCTTGCTTGTTACATGCATTGCTTCACTTATCAGGTAAGCTTGGCCTTGCTTGTTACATGCATTGCTTCACTTATCAAGTAAGCTTGGCCTTGCTTGTTACATGCATTGCTTCACTTATCAAGTAAGCTTGGCCTTGCTTGTTACATGCATTGCTTCACTTATCAAGTAAGCTTGGCCTTGCTTGTTACATGCATTGCTTCACTTATCAAGTAAGCTTGGCCTTGCTTGTTACATGCATTGCTTCACTTATCAAGTAAGCTTGGCCTTGCTTGTTACATGCATTGCTTCACTTATCAAGTAAGCTTGGCCTTGCTTGTTACATGCATTGCTTCACTTATCAAGTAAGCTTGGCCTTGCTTGTTACATGCATTGCTTCACTTATCAAGTAAGCTTGGCCTTGCTTGTTACATGCATTGCTTCACTTATCAAGTAAGCTTGGCCTTGCTTGTTACATGCATTGCTTCACTTATCAAGTAAGCTTGGCCTTGCTTGTTACATGCATTGCTTCACTTATCAAGTAAGCTTGGCCTTGCTTGTTACATGCATTGCTTCACTTATCAAGTAAGCTTGGCCTTGCTTGTTACATGCATTGCTTCACTTATCAAGTAAGCTTGGCCTTGCTTGTTACATGCATTGCTTCACTTATCAGGTAAGCTTGGCCTTGCTTGTTACAAGCATTGCTTCACTTATCAAGTAAGCTTGGCCTTGCTTGTTACATGCATTGCTTCACTTATCAAGTAAGCTTGGCCTTGCTTGTTACATGCATTGCTTCACTTATCAGGTAAGCTTGGCCTTGCTTGTTACAAGCATTGCTTCACTTATCAAGTAAGCTTGGCCTTGCTTGTTACATGCATTGCTTCACTTATCAGGTAAGCTTGGCCTTGCTTGTTACATGCATTGCTTCACTTATCAAGTAAGCTTGGCCTTGCTTGTTACATGCATTGCTTCACTTATCAAGTAAGCTTGGCCTTGCTTGTTACATGCATTGCTTCACTTATCAAGTAAGCTTGGCCTTGCTTGTTACATGCATTGCTTCACTTATCAAGTAAGCTTGGCCTTGCTTGTTTTTTTTTTACATGTTGGTTCCTTGTTTGGTGGTCATACATTAGACTTGTATTGGTTGTTCATTGTTGGTTTCATATGTTGGTTGGTTAAAACGTTGTTGGCACATGTTTAAAGGTTTAATGTTGTTGGCACATGTTCAAATGTTCTGTCTACACCTTATTGTCTATGCTGTTAATCTTGTTGGCACATGTTCAAATGTTCTGTCTACAGCTCCTTGTCTATGCTGTTAATGTTGTTGGCACATGTTCTGTCTACAGCTCCTTGTCTATGCTGTTAATGTTGTTGGCACATGTTCAAATGTTCTGTCTACAGCTCCTTGTCTATGCTGTTAATGTTGTTGGCACATGTTCAAATGTTCTGTCTACAGCTCCTTGTCTATGCTGTTAATGTTGTTGGCACATGTTCAAATGTTCTGTCTACAGCTCCTTGTCTATGCTGTTAATGTTGTTGGCACATGTTCAAATGTTCTGTCTACAGCTCCTTGTCTATGCTGTTAATGTTGTTGGCACATGTTCAAATGTTCTGTCTACAGCTCCTTGTCTATGCTGTTAATCTTGTTGGCACATGTTCAAATGTTCTGTCTACAGCTCCTTGTCTATGCTGTTAATGTTGTTGGCACATGTTCAAATGTTCTGTCTACAGCTCCTTGTCTATGCTGTTAATGTTGTTGGCACATGTTCAAATGTTCTGTCTACAGCTCCTTGTCTATGCTGTTAATCTTGTTGGCACATGTTCAAATGTTCTGTCTACAGCTCCTTGTCTATGCTGTTAATGTTGTTGGCACATGTTCAAATGTTCTGTCTACAGCTCCTTGTCTATGCTGTTAATGTTGTTGGCACATGTTCAAATGTTCTGTCTACAGCTCCTTGTCTATGCTGTTAATGTTGTTGGCACATGTTCAAATGTTCTGTCTACAGCTCCTTGTCTATGCTGAGGACCACTACAACAACAGTGTATTCCAGTCAGGCCGTCAGTTTCTTGTCCAGCTCTGGGATCTCAATGACAACCAGGCAACCTTCACCAACCCCAAGAAATATGCAGGATGCCAAGTGGTAGGTCAACCCTTTAGCTGCTGATGTGATAAATGCCATATACACTTAATATGCCCTTAATATACCCTTATTATACACTTAATAAGCCCTTAATATACCCCTATTGCCACTATTGCAACTTGATCTAGCAGCTAATACCCATAGTTTCTGTTGTTTTGTTTTATGTAAAAAGTAGTTTTCACATTATTCAATTTAAAAATACAGATTTATCCCCCCTTCCCCCGTTAAAGCATTTGTCTGTGTGACACTAGAATGTCTGCCATTTGTCTGTATGCCACTAGAATTTCTCGCATTTATCTGTGTGAAACTAGAATGTCTCCCATTTGTCTGTGTGACACTAGAATGTCTGCCATTTGTCTGTGTGAAACTAGAATGTCTCCAATTGGTCTGTGTGAAACTAGAATGTCTTTCATTTGTCTGTGTGAAACTAGAATGTCTCCCATTTGTCTGTGTGAAACTAGAATGTCTGCCATTTGTCTGTGTGAAACTAGAATGTCTGACATTTGTCTGTGTGAAACTAGAATGTCTCCAATTGGTCTGTGTGAAACTAGAATGTCTTCCATTTGTCTAAGTGAAACTAGAATGTCTGACATTTGTCTAAGTGAAACTAGAATGTCTGCCATTGGTCTGTGTGAAACTAGAATATCTGCCATTTGTCTGTGCAGATTGATCGGCCACTGGTGATAAAAGTCGAAGAAAACACGGCAGCCAATGTCACCATCTACATCCTGAAAGCTTGTGATGCTGATGCCCCACCCAACAATGGCATCCTTTATTCTCTCTATAATGACAACCTTTATTGTAAGTGTTCACACCCATCATTGTCCACACTACACACACATGTCCACCCACACCACCCACACATGTCCACCAACACCACCCACACATCTGCTGTTTACCCACACCACCCACCCACACATGTCCATCAACACCACCCACACCACCCACCCACACCACCCACCCACACCACCCACCCACACATCTGCTGTTTACCCACCCCACCCACCCACACATCTGCTGTTTACCCACACCACCCACCCACACATGTCCATCAACACCACCCACACATGCCCACCCACACCACCCACCCACACATGCCCACCCACACCACCCACCCACACATGTCCATCAACACCACCCACACATGCCCACCCACACCACCCACCCACACATGCCCACCCACACCACCCACCCACACATGCCCACCCACACCACCCACCCACACATCCCACCCACACATCTGCTGTTTACCCACACCACCCACCCACACATGCCCACCCACACCACCCACCCACACATCCCACCCACACATCTGCTGTTTACCCACACCACCCACCCACACATCTGCTGTTTACCCACACCACCCACCCACACATCTGCTGTCCCCCCCTAGGCTCAGACAACAACAACAAGTCTGCCCTGAGACTGGAGCCAGATGGACGGCTGGTCACCCAGAGAATAATTGACTACGAGCAGGACAAAGAGTTCCTCATGTGTGTCAGGGCCAGCTCCTCAGTTCTACCCACTTTCCAGGGGCGCAAGAAAAGAGAATTTGACCTGACCAAGGTCAACACAACCCTGGATAATGTGGCCTACATCAGCGTTCAAGTGTCAGACCAGAACGACAACGGCCCAAACTTTCCACAGGGCCAAGTGGAAGCAGGTAGTCTTTGTTAGCAGCAGTTAAAGTAGATCATCTTTGTTAGCAGTAGTTAAAGTAGGCCATCTTTGTTAGCAGCAGTTAAAGTAGGCCATCTTTGTTAGCAGCAGTTACAGTAGGCCATCTTTGTTAGCAGCAGTTAAAGTAGGCCATCTTTGTTAGCAGCAGTTAAAGTAGGCCATCTTTGTTAGCAGCAGTTACAGTAGGCCATCTTTGTTAGCAGCAGTTAAAGTAGGCCATCTTTGTTAGCAGCAGTTAAAGTAGGCCATCTTTGTTAGCAGCAGTTAAAGTAGGCCATCTTTGTTAGCAGCAGTTACAGTAGGCCATCTTTGTTAGCAGCAGTTAAAGTAGGTCATGTTTGTTAGCAGCAGTTAAAGTAGGCCATCTTTGTTAGCAGCAGTTAAAGTAGGTCATGTTTGTTTGCAAAAATGGATGAATGTGTCTAACCGACAAACTTGTGTCTTCCAGTTATACAGACTGACCCAAAGAGTGGACCCGTGCTGTTTTTAGATGCTGTTGACCCGGACGGTGCAGGCAACAACCTCATTCTCTACCGCATTGAGAGCTCAGCTTTCTACCCACAAAATGGCGCCGCTGTTCCCATCCTAGGTGCCTTCACAATCCGCGGAGACAAGGGTGCACTCTACCCCTCCCTCCCCTCATACCAGGCTTATTCTGAAGGCCATTTTGTCCTAACAATAGTGGCAACAGATGCTTCAAACAAGTTCTCTGCTAGACAGACAATTAAGGTATGGGCAACATTTAGTCAGACATGACAGGTCTGCTAGACAATTAAGGTATGGGCAACAGTTAGTCAGACATGACAGGTCTGCTAGACAATTAAGGTATGGGCAACATTTAGTCAGATGTGATACATCAATAAACCATCAACTTATTGAAATCTTCCAGATTTATGTCCATGAAAAGGGGGAAGCTTTAAAACTGATTTTAAACCTGCAGCCAGACACTGGCTTTAATCAAGCTCAAACATTAGTCAGGTAATTAGATCAATCATCATGTCGCTTAGTTAGACCAATCATGTCATCTTAATTAGACCAATCATCATGTCGCTTAGTTAGACCAATCATCATGTCAGCTTAATTAGACCAATCATCATGTCAGCTTAATTAGACCAATCATCATGTCGGCTTAATTAAACCATTGATTAGTTTTTCAGAAGTCGTTAGTTACAAAAATGGAGTTATATCATTGCTCACGTAAATTTTTGAGCATTTAAAAGTTTTCACTTTTTAAACTCAACCAAATTTCATCCAATTATTTGTTCTGTCCTCAGTAAACTCAACCAAATTTCATCCAATTATTTGTTCTGTCCTCAGTAAACTCAACCAAATTTCATCCAATTATTTGTTCTGTCCTCAGTAAACTCAACCAAATTTCATCCAATTATTTGTTCTGTCCTCAGTAAACTCAACCAAATTTCATCCAATTATTTGTTCTCCTACCTCCAAGTCTCAGAACACAGGACACTGAATGGTTTTGATTCTTCAAAGTAAGAAACAGCATTTGAACATCAACATGACATCATTCATACATCAACATGACATCATTTATACATCAATATGACATTTATACATCAACATGACATCATTTATACATCAACATGACATCATTTATACATCATTTATACATCAACATGACATCATTTATACATCAATATGACATTTATACATCAACATGACATCATTTATACATCAACATAACATCATTTATACATCAACATGACATCATTTATACATCAACATGACATCATTTATACATCATATGACATTTATACATCAACATGACATCATTTATACATCAACATGACATCATTCATACATCAACATGACATTCATACATCAACATGACATTCATACATCAACATGACATCATTTATACATCAACATGACATCATTCATACATCAACATGACATTCATACATCAACATGACATTCATACATCAACATGACATCACTTATACATCAACATGACATCATTTATAAATCAACATGACATCATTTATACATCAACATGACATCATTTACACATTAGCATGACATCATTTATACATCAACATGACATCATTCATACATCAACATGACATTCATACATCAACATGACATCACTTATACATCAACATGACATTTATACATCAACATGACATCATTCATACATCAACATGACATCATTCATACATCAACATGACATCATTCATACATCAACATGACATTCATACATCAACATGACATCATTCATACATCAACATGACATTCATACATCAACATGACATTCATACATCAACATGACATCACTTATACATCAACATGACATCACTTATACATCAACATGACATCACTTATACATCAACATGACATCATTCATACATCAACATGACATCATTCATACATCAACATGACATCATTTATAAATCAACATGACATCATTTATACATCAACATGACATCATTTACACATTAGCATGACATCATTTATACATCAACATGACATCATTCATACATCAACATGACATTCATACATCAACATGACATCACTTATACATCAACATGACATCACTTATACATCAACATGACATCATTTATACATCAACATGACATCACTTATACATCAACATGACATCATTCATACATCAACATGACATTCATACATCAACATGACATTCATACATCAACATGACATTCATACATCAACATGACATGATTCATACATCAACATGACATTCATACATCAATATGACATTCATACATCAACATGACATCATTCATACATCAACATGACATCACTTATACATCAACATGACATCACTTATACATCAACATGACATCACTTATACATCAACATGACATCATTCATACATCAACATGACATTCATACATCAACATGACATTCATACATCAACATGACATTCATACATCAACATGACATCACTTATACATCAACATGACATCACTTATACATCAACATGACATCACTCATACATCAACATGACATCATTCATACATCAACATGACATCATTCATAAATCAACATGACATTCATACATCAACATGACATTCATACATCAACATGACATCACTTATACATCAACATGACATCACTTATACATCAACATGACATCATTTATACATCAACATGACATCATTTACACATTAGCATGACATCACTTATACATCAACATGACATCATTTATACATCAACATGACATCATTTACACATTAGCATGACATCATTTATACATCAACATGACATCACTTATACATCAACATGACATCATTCATACATCAACATGACATCATTCATACATCAACATGACATTCATACATCAACATGACATCATTCATACATCAACATGACATCATTCATACATCAACATGACATTCATACATCAACATGACATCACTTATACATCAACATGACATCACTTATACATCAACATGACATCACTTATACATCAACATGACATCATTCATACATCAACATGACATCATTCATAAATCAACATGACATTCATACATCAACATGACATTCATGCATCAACATGACATCACTTATACATCAACATGACATCACTTATACATCAACATGACATCACTTATACATCAACATGACATCACTCATACATCAACATGACATCATTCATACATCAACATGACATCATTCATAAATCAACATGACATTCATACATCAACATGACATTCATACATCAACATGACATCACTTATACATCAACATGACATCACTTATACATCAACATGACATCATTTATACATCAACATGACATCATTTACACATTAGCATGACATCACTTATACATCAACATGACATCATTTATACATCAACATGACATCATTTACACATTAGCATGACATCATTTATACATCAACATGACATCACTTATACATCAACATGACATCATTCATACATCAACATGACATCATTCATACATCAACATGACATTCATACATCAACATGACATCATTCATACATCAACATGACATCATTCATACATCAACATGACATTCATACATCAACATGACATCACTTATACATCAACATGACATCACTTATACATCAACATGACATCACTTATACATCAACATGACATCATTCATACATCAACATGACATCATTCATAAATCAACATGTAATTCATACATCAACATGACATTCATACATCAACATGACATCACTTATACATCAACATGACATCACTTATACATCAACATGACATCACTTATACATCAACATGACATTCATACATCAACATGACATCACCTATACATCAACATGACATCACTTATACATCAACATGACATCACTTATACATCAACATGACATCACTTATACATCAACATGACATTCATACATCAACATGACATCACCTATACATCAACATGACATCACTTATACATCAACATGACATCACTTATACATCAACATGACATTCATACATCAACATGACATCACCTATACATCAACATGACATCACTTATACATCAACATGACATCACTTATACATCAACATGACATCACTTATACATCAACATGACATCACTTATACATCAACATGACATCACTTATACATCAACATGACATCACTTATACATCAACATGACATTCATACATCAACATGACATCACCTATACATCAACATGACATCACTTATACATCAACATGACATCACTTATACATCAACATGACATCACTTATACATCAACATGACATCACTTATACATCAACATGACATCATTTCTCAATGTTTGTTCAACCCTGTGTCCACCTAGAACTGATGTCTGTTTTCTGGCTGTGGATACACAGACAGACACCATCCTCAACATCCGGGAAGTTGCCAGCCTGCTAGACAAGAGCCAGTATTCTAACGTGCTGCAACAGACACAGTTCAGGGCCTTTGACAGGGGGGTAAGTTCATAATCTTATGCAAGCATTCTACCCCAGCCCACCTACCTGATGGCTACCCCAGCCCACCTACCTGCTGGCTACCCCAGTCCATCTACCTGCTACCCCAGCCCACCTACCTGCTACCCCAGCCCACCTATATCTGCTGGCTACCCCAGCCCACCTATATCTGCTGGCTACCCCACCTCACCTATATCTGCTGGCTACCCCAGACCACCTACCTACTGGCTACCCCAGCCCACCTACCTGGTGGCTGACCCAGCCCATCTACCTGCTACCCCAGCCCACCTACCTGCTTGCTACCCCAGCCCACCTATCTGCTGGCTACCCCAGCCCACCTATCTGCTGGCTACCCCAGCCTACCTACCTGCTGGCTACCCCAGCCCACCTATCTGCTGGCTACCCCAGCCCACCTATCTGCTGGCTACCCCAGCCCACCTACCTGCTGGCTACCCCACCTATCTGCTGGCTACCCCAGCCCACCTATCTGCTGGCTACCCCAGCCCACCTATCTGCTGGCTACCCCAGCCCACCTACCTGCTTGCTACCCCAGCCCACCTACCTGCTGGCTACCCCAGCCCACCTACCTACTGGCTACCCCAGCCCACCTACCTGCTGGCTACCCCAGCCCACCTACCTGCTGGCTACCCCAGCCCACCTACCTGCTGGCTACCCCAGCCCACCTATCTGCTGGCTACCCCAGCCCACCTACCTGCTGGCTACCCCAGCCCACCTATATCTGCTGGCTACCCCAGCCCACCTACCTGCTACCCCAGCCCACCTACCTGCTGGCTACCCCAGCCCACCTACCTGGTGGCTGACCCAGTCCACCTACCTGGTGGCTGACCCAGTCCACCTACCAGCTGGCTGACCCAGTCCATCTACCTGCTACCCCAGCCCACCTACCTGCTGGCTACCCCAGCCCACCTATATCTGCTGGCTACCCCAGCCCACCTACCTGCTACCCCAGCCCACCAATATCTGCTGGCTACCCCAGTCCACCTATATCTGCTGGCTACCCCAGCCCACCTACCTACTGGCTACCCCAGTCCACCTACCTGCTACCCCAGCCCACCTACCTGCTACCCCAGCCCACCTACCTACTGGCTACCCCAGTCGACCTATATCTGCTGGCTACCCCAGCCCACCTACCTGGCTTTCATTTTTCAGCAATGTGACCTCATCTTTTATTTTTCAGCAATGTTACCCATCGCAGTCATCTGAGCAGAATGTCAAGTGGAGAGACCTGTGGTGGGTGCTAGTTGCCCTGGCCATCTTCATCTTCCTGTGTTGCCTCATCTTGATCGTCTTGGTGTGTATCCTCTACAGCAGGTGAGTACATGCTTGGTGTGTGTCCTCTACAGCAGGTCAGTACATGCTTGGTGTGTGTCCTTTACAGCAGGTCAGTACACGCTTGGTGTGTGTCCTCTACAGCAGGTCAGTACATGCTTGGTGTGTGTCCTCTACAGCAGGTCAGTACATGCTTGGTGTGTGTCCTTTACAGCAGGTCAGTACATGCTTGGTGTGTGTCCTCTACAGCAGGTCAGTACACGCTTGGTGTGTGTCCTCTACAGCAGGTCAGTACATGCTTGGTGTGTGTCCTATACAGCAGGTCAGTACATGCTTGGTGTGTGTCCTCTACAGCAGGTCAGTACATGCTTGGTGTGTGTCCTCTACAGCAGGTCAGTACATGCTTGGTGTGTGTCCTCTACAGCAGGTCAGTACATGCTTGGTGTGTGTCCTCTACAGCAGGTCAGTACATGCTTGGTGTGTGTCCTCTACAGCAGGTCAGTACATGCTTGGTGTGTGTCCTCTACAGCAGGTCAGTACATGCTTGGTGTGTGTCCTCTACAGCAGGTCAGTACATGCTTGGTGTGTGTCCTATACAGCAGGTCAGTACATGCTTGGTGTGTGTCCTCTACAGCAGGTCAGTACACAACATTAAGGAATTGCTTGAAACTACTCTTTAGAATAAGATGCTCATTTTAAATTGTAACCAATATTTTTCACCCTCCTAGGTACAAACTTTAGAATAAGATGCTCATGTTAAATTGTAACCAATATATTTCACCCTCTTAGGTACAAACTTTAGAATAAGATGCTCATTTTAAATTGTAACCAATATTTTTCAATCTCCTAGGTACAAACGTTATATGGAGACCAGAAAAACATGTAAGTCAAAGAAAATTTGGGGAAATTGTTAAATGATAATGAAGTTGACATTTTCTAAGATCCTGTAATGTTAGTCTGTATAGAGTTAACAAAACTGTTTTAGTATATGTCCAGTGGTCAGTATAGGGTTAACAAGTGCCAAATCTTTTCTCTCCCCAGACATGATGGCCCAGTGATCTACTGTGAGCGTCTGCTGTGAGCGTCTGCTGCCTTGTGCCTTCAAACTTTAGAGCTATGATATTAACATGATCAAATCAGTTCTCTCTTTAGAAGGCCAAAAGAAAGATTGAACTGGTTCAAAATTATTGTGTTGATAGCTGTTTAAAAAAATCATTGTGAAAATAGCTGTGAGTGTTTGTCCCCTGAGAGTAGCATGAAGTAAGTTGTTGACACCAGCAGTTGAGTGATGATCAATATCATATTTGTCTTGTATATATACACCACCCTGTGATGATAGCCTCACCTATGTCATTCCAAGTTTGTTTTTATTCCTACCATTCATAATCCCTGTAAAATATTGTTCCATCACTGGTCCAAATTGTGTTGTCTCTTCTTTTGTAATTTAATCCATAAACTCCTGATCCAACTATTTTTGGGAGAATAAATATTTATATTTTTGTTACATTTTCTTGACTTTTACAAGCTTTTATTTAACTTGAATCCCTGTGGACTGTCATCCTTTGTCCTTCACAGGTTAAAACTCAGTTGTCATCCTCAGCTAGAATAGAAAAGTATAGTCTCTATAGAAAGTCTATACTTTAACCAGTGTTGTCCACCCCCCACTCCCCCCCCCCCCCCCCCATTAGAAAAAAATGTCTGAAAGAAACCTTTCTTTCAGTGTCCCTGTTTGGCATTAAGCACAATACTAATTGTGGTTTCTGGTTTCAATCAAAAGATTATATCACAGACTAAAAAAATTATTTATACATTTATTGAGCTTCCTTTTAATTTAGTTTCAATTGTGCTTTTGTTGTTTTGGTAGTTTTCTTTAAAGTGATGATAATTATAACCAGTAGTTCAGAGAACACAAATAAATATAAAGGAATAAGAACTAAATAAATACAAGGAAATTATTTTTTAAAACTAATCTAATTAAGTTCAATAGTGAGCAGGGAGGTGGGGACTTTTACAAACATCAATGTCAAAAATTGCTGTGGGAACCTACAATGGTAAGTCATCAACTTTGACGTAAGGAACATCAACTTTGACGTAAGGAACATCAACTTTGATGTAAGGAACATCAACTTTAATGTAAGGAACATCAACTTTGACGTAAGGAACATCAACTTTGATGTAAGGAACATCAACTTTAATGTAAGGAACATCAACTTTGACGTAAGGAACATCAACTTTGATGTAAGGAACATCAACTTTAATGTAAGGAACATCAACTTTGACGTAAGGAACATCAACTTTGACGTAAGGAACATCAACTTTGACGTAAGGAACATCAACTTTGATGTAAGGAACATCAACTTTAATGTAAGGAACATCAACTTTAATGTAAGGAACATCAACTTTAATGTAAGGAACATCAACTTTAATGTAAGGAACATCAACTTTGACGTAAGGAACATCAACTTTGACGTAAGGAACATCAACTTTGACGTAAGGAACATCAACTTTGACATAAGAAACGTCAAAAATTGCTGTGGGAACCTACAATGGTAAGTCATCAACTTTGACATAAGGAACATCAACTTTGACGTAAGGAACATCAACTTTGACATAAGGAACATCCACTTTGGTGTTGGAAGTGTTCAGAGTGCTAATACACAAAAGTCTTAATCATGCACAAATATGATGTTTTTGTCATTCACAAAAATGATGAGATGTTTCACATGTATAAATACCATGAGATGTCTTAATCATGAAGTGACTGTTACAAAAATCTGCTTTTTCCACAATTCCATGTTTAACATCAAAACATGTTTTTGCTAACCACAGGTAAGACTATAGTAATACAATAGTGCAGACCACATAGCCAGATGCGGCAGGCTGCTAGTAAACCAGAAATATTGATGGGGGAGAGGCTGATAGTAAACCAGCAATATTGATGGGGGGGGGGGGGGGGCTGCTAATAAACCAGAAATATTGATGGGGGAGAGGCTGATAGTAAACCAGCAATATTGATGGGGGGGGGGGGCTGCTAATAAACCAGAAATATTGATGGGGGAGAGGCTGATAGTAAACCAGCAATATTGATGGGGGGGGGGGGGCTGCTAGTAAACCAGAAATATTGATGGGGGAGGCTGCTAGTAAACCAGCAATATTGATGGGGGGGGGGGGCTGCTAATAAACCAGCAATATTGATGGGGGGGGGGGCTGCTAGTAAACCAGCAATATTGATGGGGGGGGGAGGCTGCTAGTAAACCAGCAATATTGATGGGGGGGGGCTGCTAATGAACCAGCAATATTGATGGGGGGGGGGGGCTGCTAGTAAACCAGAAATATTGATGGGGGGGGGCTGCTAATAAACCAGCAATATTGATGGGGGGGGGGGGCTGCTAGTAAACCAGAAATATTGATGGGGGAGGCTGCTAGTAAACCAGCAATATTGACGGGGGGGGGGGGCATCTAGTAAACCAGCAATATTGATGGGGGGGCTGCTAATGAACCAGCAATATTGATGGGGGGGGGGCTGCTAGTAAACCAGAAATATTGATGGGGGAGGCTGCTAGTAAACCAGAAATATTGATGGGGGGGGGGCTGCTAGTAAACCAGCAATATTGATGGGGGGGGGGGCTGCTAGTAAACCAGCAATATTGATGGGGGGGGGCTGCTAGTAAACCAGCAATATTGATGGGGGGGGGGGCTGCTAGTAAACCAGAAATATTGATGGGGGGGGGCTGCTAGTAACCCAGAAATATTGATGGGGGGGGGGGCTGCTAGTAAACCAGAAATATTGATTTGCTGTTTACAGGAAGGATAGTATCAATTTTCTGCCACAAAACATCAACTAAAACTGTCACAATATTTTAAATCAGGCACATTGTGTTGCTAATTGGCAGAAAAATCAAAGACCAACAAATGTTGTATTAATATAAAAATTTGAATTTCTTTATCAACTCTCAATCTTGTTTTGGAAAATCCTAGCCTCAACATTTGACTAAAGCTAATAATACATTTGCCTAAAGCTAATAAATTTTAATAATACAACATTTGCCTAAAGCTAATAATACAACAATAACATGTTGCCTGAGGTGTGGGGTCCCCTTTTTTAATGTGGGGTCTGACTTTGTGAAGATGTGTGACAGTGGGAACGGAAGGGGAAAGATAAAAATCGACAAATAAACATGACGTAATTTTACAATTTATGGATGACCCCTGAAACACACGGTTATTTGAAAATAGGCCTAACGGGTAGTCTATTAAGTTCTAAATTTGGAATTTTTAAACTAATAGTTTTTTTTTAAAATTAAAGACTAAATCTATAAAGAGAGAAACACAAAAATATATCCAAAAACATTTAATTTTCTCAAGGTTATTAAAGATGTTCTGCAGGGACGAAAAAAAATTGTTTTCAATGGTCAAAGGGAAATAATCGAGCAATTACTTTTAATTTTTAAAAAAAATAGAATAAAATGATGGTCAAAGGGAAACAAACATGATTTTTTTTTAACTTTAAAATTTGGCTACGGTTACCTCGCTTATACGCGTATAATAAAAATTTTCCTGTTTATTTAATTTTTTACTACAAAAAATTTTGTTTTCCAATTATGTAGACGTTTATTAACTTTTATATTAAATCGCTTATTTTTGTATGAGTTTAAAAATGTTATTTCTATCATTTTAGGTTCGTAAAATTAAACGAATCAACTAATGAGAAAGAAAGGTGACGTATTAATATGGCTTCAAATTCAATTATAATCGAAAGTTTGTCACCGGGCGCCGGGAAGGGTCGCTAAGCCTCTGTTTTATTCACTGAATCAGGCGCGTCCGCCGGGGCTCGGAAAGGGCGCGATTTGGCGCTACCGGATAGACTGTGAGCAATATGCCTTTATGATTGCATTTAAATTGTGTTTATGGTATGAGTGATGTGTTTGTTTTTTCGTTTGTGTTTTTTTTTTTGCATTCGTTTGTGTTGTGTTTTGTTTGTTCTGTTCCCAAGTTAATACACTTAAAAAAGATTTACCGTCTTACAAAGAGCAAATTTGACAAATCCCGACAATAGTGGAGTGGGGTGGGGGTGCAAATCGAAAGTTTGAGGAGGGGGGTGCAAATCGAAAATTGAAAGTGTGTCCCCGGGCGTCGGGAAGGGTCGCTACGCCCCTGGGGGGTGACACCATTAAGTTCCGCAATGGTTGACACCCGCCCTCGCTACGCCACTGGGATCTATTTATGTGACTTAAATTTTTAATGCTGGAAAGGCTCTCTTTGGGCGCGGACTCCTAGGAAAGTGTGTTGTTCGGTGGTGATTCTAATGTTGTGGTTGTGTTGTAGTTGTGTTGTGGTTGTGTTGTGGTTATATGGTTATGTGGTTGTGTTGTGGTTATGTTGTGGTTGTGTTTTGTTTGTGTTTGTTTTGTTCTGTTATCAAGTTCATACATTTAAAAAAAAAAGGTTTACCGTTGCAGATCACGGGTATGCAGCTAGTTAGGATATAAGCGGGCTGGTAGTGTGTCAGTCATTCCGTCACCGCTATAGCTTTTGGAACCATAAAAGTAAACATCGCACCTTGCAGTGCTTTTCAGTGCATCGCAATGTCTTGTTATGAGTAATAGAGTAGGATTTGTTTTATTTTATAGTTGCTACTGTTTTTACTCTTTTGCATAACGTAAAGAAAATATTAAATACACGCACATTGCTAAAATATATTAAAAGTATCACTCTCAAATATCATTTGACTGTGTATTATAATTCAATACTACAGCTTTGAATTAGCTATTTAATATTTTTTTCTACACATTTTGGCGGCTTACTTAAAGGGTCTGACAATGATTAAAATTAATTATTTTCTATGCAACTTACTTAGGCCTCTATAGAAAAGTTTAGATCTATTTTTAGATCTATATGATATGCCTATTGCCTATTGTTTTCTATTTTGTCTAAAGTCTAAAAAAGTAAAGTGGGTTTGGGTCTGCTCCCCCTCCCCCCCCCCCCCCCCCCCCCCCCCCTTAGAGATGTCCGAAAGAAACTCTGCTTAAGAATAGTATGCTTCTTTGGGTTACCCCCGAGAAGTATACTATTCTTATGGATTCTATTTATTAATAGTATACATATTTTCTTTTAAAATTATAACTGAGTTGCTCTATTGCAAAAAATAAAAATAAATAAAAAAAAAAAGAATGGAGGATATAGAAATCTAGAGATCTAGGTATCTAACCGAGTTTCTAATCTTATTTACAAAAGATTTCTTGATCTTGTAAGTGAGAGATAAATAGATTCGGTGTCACAGAGTACGTGATGAAATGTAATCATAATGATAAAAGATTAGATTGAGTGTTTAGATCTAGAATCTAGATCTAATAATATAGATCTAGATCTACTTAACTTAGGCCTAAGTAATAGATCTCAATCTGTGTAGAATCTAGACTCTAGAGATCTAGATTTATGTAAATTTTCAGTTCTCTGAGACTAGCTAGTAGAATCTAGAAAATCTAGTAGTTAGCTAGTCCGTAGCTAAGCTAGAGTCACGAGTGAGAGTCTCAGTTCAGTTCAGAATCAGTTCTCAGAGTTAACGCAGAGTGAGAGTAGCAGATCTAGAATATTCTAGATTAATCTAGATCTAGTCTATCAAGTAATCTATCGTTTTAGATTTAGGTATGTAAAATCGCCCGCGACTAGATCTAGTAATGTGAAAAACGGGTGACTCCTTAAATTTTCCTAAATTACTAATTAGGCCTAATTAATAGGCCGCCTCATTGCTTAGATGGCTGGATTGACCTCTGACCCTGAAACGTCACGCGTCGTTTTCTGAAGGTTTTTACGTTTATTTTATGGGTCCTATCCACGACAAATGAAAAAGCTGTTAATCTCGCAAATTCTTATCATTATTTTAACACAAGATGCTAATAATATGGATAATATGCCTTAGAATGCCAGAAAAAATCGCTAGAATTGTAGTTGTAAATAATGAGAGGATTTCTAGTGGAGCACTCTCCGTATAAACTGAACCGCGGCCAAAAACGACCGGGAAAACGGCCCGTATAACAGTAGATTAATATATAATTGAGATATTTACCATGTATATTTACAGTATTATGGATGATCTTTACCAAAAATTCAATTACCCCGTAAGTAACCATGCGACAATTTCTCTCTGCTATTTTTAGTAACGTTGCGTCATTGTTACGCTAGTTGCCAGACAGAAACAACTAGTTTTTGTTTTTTGCGGAATGAACTGTTAAGTCTAGTATTTTAATTATAATTCAATTGTAGCATGTGCGGAAAAAGTAAAATTATGGACATTATTATTGTATTAGTAATTTTATTAGTATATTGATTTTTTCTTCTCTGTGGGCCGACAGTAGCAGCAATTGACTTTAATTCGTGACCGGTGGTTAACCTCGTCAATGCTGCGTGGCCTATTCGTTTATATAATTAGTGATGCTCGTTCAGTGGCCTTTTTCAGAGCTAGGCCTAATTACGGGCGATTTTTAGACTTAATTGATCGGCCGTTAGCCTTTTTCATTGCTGCGAATTTTTAAAAAAATGCTCGTTCAGCGGCCTTTTTTTTTGGCGCTAAATAATCTGTTTACGGGCATTTTAAGCGTTTATTTATTTTTTTTAAGCTAGACGTAGACAGATCTAGTTAAAAAAAATAATCTAGCATGCCTGATATGGAACTTTAAAAAAAAAATGACCGAACTTTTTAAAAAATGTCCAGAAGTAGGGAAGTAGGTCTGTTTTTCAATTTGCTTGAACAGGGGGGGGGGGGAAGAGAGAGGGAAGTGAAGACACCGACCATCTCGTGTACGCGTGTTCATTCTATGACGTGTACTATAGGCCTGCTGAAGTCACGGTGACCCCGTGACCGTGGTGGGATTTTTCATCCATGGGATAGTAAACGTAAGCAAGCAATCACGCGAGTGACGATGTTTGGAGATTTTATTTTTAAAAAAAAATCACATACCTCATGCTTTCAACATGAAAAAAAATGTAATGTAAAAAAAAAAAAAATACACTAAAACTAATACTAATACCATGTATGAACGTCAGCATATTTATTATTTAAAATTAAAAAATTAGAATTTGAAATAAAAATATTTATTAAGGTCATTTGATTTATGCAGGTGTTCATTATTTCATAAAATGGTATGAATAACATGTAGAGTAGAACTTAATAAATAATAAAATAACTAGATCTAGTTTTATTATCAACCAGTTGCTTTTTGTTATTTTCCGGTGAGTAAATTACCTAAGCTGACGCAATTACCATGGCGGGAATTAAAAGCTCGTGCACACAAGTCCACGACGTAATGTTATGCCGGTCGAGGAGTAAGAATGCTGTTTCCTCGTTCATTTTCCATTTTAAGATAATTTTTAAATTCTCTCTTTTCTTGTCAACTGTCAACCGAGTAAGCTAGATATTTAAATGTGGTGTCAAATGTTCTCTTAAGGGGTAAGGAAGTTAATGGTGTATTTAAAATAACAGAATATTTTATTTTAAAAAATCCATAATTCAACCTACTAGGCCTAATTAAATTTATTATTTCAATTTCACATTTTCAGGAGGATTTATGTTATGAAAAATACAAAAATGTTTCCTTGTTTCATTTATGTATGTCATTGTATGTAGTACTATGTAGGCCTACCTGTTTTTAAACAATTGAATTAAAACTTTTCAGTAATTAGGCCCTAATGAAGACTAGCAATGTTTTCATCAGATACAACCACAACCATGCTCATTTACTATAGATAGCAGCCATCTTGTTTAAGTTTTATTTTGTTAAACTTATAGAGTCCTTTCATATGACGTCATGTCCATTCGTGATACCTATGTCCGCCACAACGCTAGTGTACACCAGATGTAAACACAATCAGCTGTTCACCCGCGCTGGCCGCGTTCACTGTATGTAAAGAACCGCACCCGCGAAAAAGGAAAAGTACGTTAAAAAACTTGAACTCTTAGGAATTGAAGATCCTTATACTGTTATTGACAGTTTCGTAGATAATATAAATATGTGGCCAACATTTCTAAATAAAAATACTGTTAGTAATACTGTTTGCGTTTAGAGTTTAAGTAGACGAATCTGATCAAATGCAGTTCTCGATACTTTGTTTCAGGTAAGGACAGTAAAATAATAAACTTCATTTTAATTCTAAAAGATAATTATTAATAAAACAAATATGCTCGACCTTCACAAATACTAATAGTAAAAGACAAAGTCAAAAGTAATAGGCCTAATAAGAATAATAAGATCTAATAGTAGGCCTAATAATAGTGTTTTAATATCTAGATCTAGAAGCTAGCTCTAAACATGGCGTAAACAAAATTCGGACCACAGATATAGATTCTGGATTTAGGGTGACTGGCTCCGCTGACATAGAATCTAGAATCTACTTCTTTACTTAAATTTAATTACAAAATTTAGATCTACATTCGATTAAAAATACACCCATAATAAATCAAAAGTAGTCATAGTAGGCCTAATAAAGCATGTAATTGTCTCTAAGATCTAAAATCTCGCTCTACAATCTAATCATTTTTTTTAGCAAACGAAATTTTCTGAAATTGAAATAGATTGTATGACTAGACTTAGATCTAGAATCTGCTACTTAAATTAAATTTTAAATTTTTTATACAAGCATATAATTGATATTATTGTAGTAGAAGACTTTAATAAATTACTATGGCCTACCTACTTTGTGTCTTTTTACAGCAATATGTATCTGATACTGGACTGAGTTTAATTAAATTAAAATGCATATCTAGTAATTAGTCTACTATGTAGCCTAGTAGTAGAATCTAGATCATACCAGCCAACAACAAATAACCACATTATTATTAGGCCTATTTGGTTAATGATTAAGCTAATTTTTTTTTTTAAATCCACTGTTTATAAAAGAAACAAATCAAGCTAGAAACATTATAAGTAAGATGGTTTAGAATAATAACAATGGACCCAGTCTACAATTGATACAATTGCAGGTCTACATAGGGCCTACAGTCTAGTAGTTTACCGTAGGCACCTAGTGTGTAGCTAGTATACTAGTGTGTAGCTGTCCAGAGTTAAGATTCTTAATGCTTTCCCCTGATAAGCCATGTGTGCTATAAATGACATAACATGACATCGAGGTGAGAAATGTTGAAGGGAGAGCAGTGGGACTTCCCCCTTTGTTCTCCCTGCTGGGCCCTGAGGGTATCACAGAGGTGAGAAATTTTCAGGGGAGGGCAGTGGTACTGACTCCTCTTTGGTTTTATTGAGGGTTGAACACTTCCCTGCTGGATCATAAGGGTCTTAAATTATATAACATGCTACCCAGATTGGCTGAGATCTAAGAACAGCAGTGGTTATTACCCATGAATTATATTAGCCGTTGTAGTGTGGGTTTTTTAGGAGTTAAGTGGTCTCACGTTTGCTACAGTAGTGTGGTTGTACTAGATATGTTGCTACTAAATCTTGTACTTAACAGAGAATCTATAATCTACATTAACCAGATTTAGATAACCTATAATATACCTACTTAAACTCTTAACGCAAACAGTATTACTAACAGAATATTTGTTTAGAAATTCCGGCCACATATTTATATTATCCACGAAACTGTCAAACAGTATAAGGATCTTCAATTCCTAAGATCTAAGATTTCAAGTTTTTTAACGTATTTTTCCTTTTCCGCGGGTGCCGTTCTTTACACACAGTGAACGCGTCCAGCGCTGGTGAACAGCTGATTGTGTTTACGTCCGATGTACACCACTGTGGCGGCGGACGCAGGTATCACGTGATTTAGGTCACGTGTTTGCAAGGACTCTATAGCGGAAGATTCAGGGGAAGCCACTCTATTTTACAAATGGCTGCTGTTTATAAAGCAAATCGAATAGAGAAAAATGAATAAGAATGGCGATTATGAAATAAAATTTGAAGTAGAGCCCATAGAAAAATAGATAAGAATGGAGATTATGAAATAAAATTTGAAGTAGAGCCCTTAGAAAAATGGATAAGAATAGAGATTATGAAATAAAATTTGAAGTAGAGCCCTTAGAAAAATGGATAAGAATGGAGATTATGAAATAAAATTTGAAGTAGAGCCCTTAGAAAAATAGATAAGAATGGAGATTATGAAATAAAATTTGAAGTAGAGCCCATAGAAAAATGGATAAGAATGGAGATTATGAAATAAAATTTGAAGTAGAGCCCATAGAAAAATAGATAAGAATGGAGATTATGAAATAAAATTTGAAGTAGAGCCCTTAGAAAAATAGATAAGAATGGTGTAATAGATTGAGATAATT